AATAAAATTTAGTTATCATTTTAACAATTCGTAATTTTGACAACGCATCGTTGTCATTTCAACAACGGATTGTTGTCATTTCTGCAATGCATCATTGAGATTTCGACAACCAATCGTTTTACGAAAAAAAAACCCATATAAATAAACAAATATTATAGATCGAATTTGCATTTATGATTTGACAACGTTAAATATTATTTTGTTGTTGATTTGATAAAGTCGTTTACTTTTTATATTTTTGTTGTTGATTTGACAACTATCCATACATACTTTGACAACAGATGTTATTGAAAAATTATAATTGGTTAGACTAAGAACAAGACTAGACTTTTGATTACATTATGAAGTAATTTGTTGACTAGTCTACGGACTAGACTGGACTGGCTTATAGACTAGCCTATGGGCTATATAATAGACTAATCTGATCTAGTTAATTGACTAATTATTGGCATTAATTAAAAATTAAGTATCGATCCTGACAATAATAAGTAGTGCGATGTCTAATAATAAGGAGGTCAAGGAGGTAATAGAAAATTAATTCTATTTAGGAATAAAAAATTTTGACAGAACGACGGAAAACGTTATGTTGACTTAATTTTAATTTGTCGATATTGTATTTTCATTTTACTTTATATTTTTATTTATAATTCACTATTTGTTTTAAAAGATTTCTAAAGAAATTTAAAGATTTAAAAGTTTTTTATTTTAGAAAGTAGAAAAAAGAAAACATGCGGAAGACTAAAAAAATTTTAATTTTTACAAAGGACTTAAAAAAGAGTAAGACAAAGGATTTGGAATAAAAGACAAACAAGGTGTTCGTAAAAAACAATAATAAAAATAATTACAAAAATAAAGAAAATCATAAATAATTTTCCATAAAAAATATAAAACCAAAACATGCGTTTTCTTTAAAAACAAAAAAATTAAACAAACATTATTTACATGCCTATAAAGTAAAACAAATAAATAAAAACTTATAAGAAATAATTAAAAAAAATATTAAAAGTTAAAAAATATTAAAACTAAAATAATTTTATAAATTAATAATAAAAACTGAAAAACTTATTAAATATAGGACACATTTATTCCTTTTTTTGGTAAATATTATTATCTAAATTTGTTTGTTGGTATTACTAATTGTTTGATATTTTTTTAAAAATTTCAATTATTTTTTTAAAATATTTTTTGGTGTAAATTTAGTTAAACTATAGTATTTTGTTTGATAAAATAAAATTGTAAATACATTTACTCTAGTAATAAATATTATTTTTTTTTGTATATATGTATATAACTAATTTAAAACAATGAGACCATAGCTTTGTTTTTTAACATTTAATTAAGAAATTTAAATAACGTCTAATATTGTATAAAAATGTGCTTAAGTGTTAAAAGTAAAAATATAAAATGGTGCATAATTAATTAATAAATGTTTTTATCAGTAACTGTTAATGAGGTTTAAGATTTATTTTTTGTTATTATTTTTGCAGAGGGTTGTTTGTTTCCACGCAAATTCTTTTTAAAACCAATTTTTTTGAAATGTTGTATTTTTGTAGTTTTTATATGCCGAATATAAAGTTTTGAGTTAAATGCCAAAAATATGTATGTTTTGTCAATTTTGTATTGTTTTTTTGTTGAGGAAAATTTGCGTTGAAATTTTCTGTTTATTGTTGGTTTTATACATGATTTACACATAATTGGGAAATGATTGATTTTGTTTGATTTTTATTAAAAAATTAACCGTTGATTTATTAAATATTTTTTTTAAAGATCTATGCTCATAGTGCTAAAACATTTTAAATTTTATATTTTTTTTATTAAAGAGGAAATATTGGTCAGCGATCCGTACAAAATGTTCTTTTCTATTTAAATACCCAATATTAGGAGTGGATGGATTATTGAGTACAATTGTACTTTTCTACAAAAGTTTTGAGAAAGATGAATACTGCAGTTTTGCTACTAGTCCATGGATGCCACAAAGTACTAATTCATCGATAATCAATGGACCTGTAAATAGACTAGTCAATAGACTAGAGAATTGACTATCCCAGAAATAAGTAGACTGTCTACAACTCAGACTAGACCATAGATTAGTAAATAAACTTCTCAAGAGGCTAGTGAACTGACTAGTCCATAAGCTAGTCGACTGACTTTTTCATATATAACTCGCCTGACTAGTCAATAGGCTTATTATTTGACTAGTCAAAAGACAGGTTAATAGACTAGTTAAAGGACTAGTCACCGAAGAAGTCAATAGTCTATTCAATTGATTAGTCTAGAAAATAGTCCTTAGACTAGTAGTCGACCGTCAATAGACTGGTCCTCAGGCCATTTCATAGTTTAGGTCGTTATACTAGAAATATACTAGTTAATCAGTACTTTTTTGAAAAAGTAATCTTTTTGCAAAAATTTAGTAATATTTAGAATTTTTCTCTCTAGAAACATTATTTTAAAAGCTTTGGATTATAAACTCGAACCAGTATCATATGCTTCAATCTATTGAAACCTGACGAAGCCGTATAACACTACCATCCCATCTACACTGCCATATCTCCAAAACACATGCGCTCAACACAAACTCTCCTTCCTTCACACTCAATCCATCCAAATTCCTATCATTCAACAATTCCTACACAATCATATCAAGCTCCCTTTTTAAACTAGAGGTAATGCAATAATGTATCACTTGGAGGTCCAGGGGAGGGGTTCCTGCATTGCCTGCGTATAGACTGTACGTTACATGGGAATATACCCTAACTATATAGCCCTCTGATACCACAGTATCTTACGATACCCTACAATCGACCAGAATACACGGCGCCATATCGCGGCAGAATGTCGAAGCGCTTTACGTGAGTACCTGCCGTGTTGGCCTATCTCACGGTGGTCTTTTCCAACCACTGGGTGAGCTTTTGTGACGATTCACCACCGCCCATTGTGCTTCTTACACGCAGGTGGCAATTTACGTATATGGAATTTCAGGTCCATTATACGTGGACTTTGCTCAAGTACTTGAACTATCTATTCTCTGACCATTGCTGTCCCGTTGCTTAACTTCCGAGATGCAAAAACATCGCTTCCGGTTACAACCACGCAGATGGGATGGCCTCTGTTGAGTCGGCAATAGCACCTAGAGACGTAACCGGTAGACCGAAGTACGAATCCATCAAATAACCCGAGACTTTGTTCTTACTTACAGTTTTGAACATATCTGTACAAGGAAGGAAAATTTAATGGTATCATTTGTATATGATACCTTTCATCCATCATCATTCAACCCAGCACACACTTTTCATTCATCCGACATTTTCATAAGAGAAAAATATACGACACACTTATTCTAGGTAAATGGATGGGTGAGGCCCGCATACCCCACATTCATCCCGTACCATATAGAATTAACACCAACTCATTTCCAACGCTTAGTCCCACAGTCGCTCCTCTGTGGGGTATCTGTTGTTCTCGGCAACTGCACCGAACTTATCCCAAAATATTGACTTTACCTTACATAAGTCTTTTAACAGCCACATACTATTCCCGCGAATTTGGGTTTAAACCACAGCCATTACGTGGATCCCGAAGGAACCTCAACCAACTGACCAGTCAGGACATAGTCCTGCGGGCAACTGGCCACCACGTAGTACCAGATTATGTGGTTCTCTGGTTAAAACCCATGTCACATCATACCAAGGACTAGCCGAGGAGTGAAGTGACATCACCAGTTTATAGTCCCGGCAGACTAGAGTTATTGGTAGCACCTCTCTCCCTCCGGATGGCAATACACTATCATCAAGGAAACATGCCCGGGGATCCCCCATACCGCGGCACAATAAGTTTCACAAGCAACAGTCCCTCGTATATATGGCGTAAAGCATGTCTACTGAGGCCCCATTCACTGCTCAAATTCCGTTGAACACACCCTACTACACCAACAATCTTACCATGCACACGATACAGATGCGGCGAAATTTCATCCTCAAACACAACTGCACCCTTAGATAAACGACCGACCTTAGTCACATATCTGAGAGGAGTTTCGGTTATTATAATGGCCTAGGGTCAAATATAAACCGATTTCCCCAATTCTGTAATTTCTTAATAATGTCTCGATTGCTCCATTGATAACATATTTAGGAGCTTTTTATTAGGACCCATAATATATGTAGAACTGTCATAGCAAGCATACAATACAATTCCCATTTAGTTAAGATTAAAGACATTTCTTTCTCCTAATGACGAGTTTTAAGAGGTTTAACAAATAGAGCATAGATCTTAACTTAATATTTCTTTAAATATTTAAAACCAAATAAACATGCGATTTTTTTGAAATTTATTTTTAATTATGTGATTTTTAAATGGTTAAACTTTACGTAAGTTATTTTTAAAAAATATACCATGATCTTATTCATGCCTTTTTAGAAGCGTACACTTTGTAACGTGCAAAATTGCTCTTTAAACTTAAAAGATATTTTCATCCAGCTATTTTGTACTAAAACACTTTTTAAAGCAAATATTTTTTCTCTTATATCTTTACAGATATCATCTTTAAATATCACTTACTGGTGAGTAGAGCATCACTATACAATAATACATCAATCATAACCCTTTTTATAAATGAAAATTTATTTAAGTATTTTTTTATTATTTAATTTAAAAGGGGGATGCAGTTTTATTTATAACATTCCTTTGACAAAAAAAAAGTTGTTTTTTTATCAATAAAAGCGCAAGAAAGTATTAAAATAGTTGTGTGTGGTTTGTTTGTTGTTTTTTGGTTCCATTTAGCAATAAAAAATATTTAGGCATAATAAGTTAAAGTAAAGAGGTTTATCTTCAGTGGAAGTTTGTTTTTTTATAAGGGATTTGTTGACGTTTATTAAAAAAAAAAACAGAAAAAACGAGCATTATTTTTGGAAGGGCAATTTTTTTTGTTTATACATTCTCTCTAGCAATTGTTTGTTTCTATTTAGAAAGGAAGGAGGAAAAAATAAAATTCTTTTGTATACCGGTTCATCATCAGCTGTTGGACTATGTAAGGGTTCTTCCTCTTCATCATCTTCACGCTTCCGCTGAGTTTTTATCGTTTTCGATTTTCATTTGAATTAGTTTTGTTTGTTGGGTTTTTATTTTATTATTTGTTTGGTATTGATTTGGTTTTTGGTTACGTTTTTTTTTAATTTATATAAAAAATAAAAATAAAATATGTATGAACATTTTTGATGAATTTTGAACAACATTTAATTGATTTAATTAATATATTTCATTAAGCTTAGAAAATGTTTAATTAAATTAAAAAAGTTTTAATATTAAAAGGATTCAAACATTGAGGATTTTGAATTTCATATTCAATCACTTTTTACATATATTTTGCTTTTAAATATTATCAAATCTGTTATTACAATTTTATCAAAATTTTATTTAAATCCTTTTAAATTTTTAAAAAACTAAATAAAAATCAAACTAATAAATAACCTTAAGAAATATTTCAATTCTAAAAAAATAAACCAATTAACATTAATTAACTAAATTAAAATAAATAATGGCATGCCATAATAAATATGTTATACCATTAATAATCAATTAATAGTTTAATTAATACGAATATAACTAATATTTAAAATGATTATTTAATCATTTAATAACTGTTACACGCTATGGTCTTAACGCAGAAAATGTTAATTATGTTAACTTTTCAAAAAGAAACCTAAAATACTAAAACACTTTTCAAGAAAATATCAAATGCTATAAAATACTTCAAACTTTTATATAAAAATTGATTAAATTTTTAATTGAATAATATTAAACTCATTTGATTAAATATATAAATAACAAAAAAATTTTAATACAACGTAGTAATTGAACGGAAATAAATTCTTTGTATTTTTTTTTATAATAAGGAGTTTTGGCAAGAATTTTTTGTTTTTAATTAAAGGGGACTGGTTAAGAGAGTAATAAGTACCTCTTTCCAATTCTGCTATAATTATGAATCGAATTTCATAATCATAATTAAAGACATTTTTTAAACAGTTTAACGTGTAAGAAAAAGTTGAAATAATATATTAAAATTAAATTATTTTTTAAATTATTGAAATTATTCTAAATTAAATTACTTTATATATAGTAGAATCTGCTGTTAGAAAGTGTTATAGTTACTACCAATTAATTGTTTTTTTTTTTTAAATAAATAATTTTTGTGCTTTTTAAACTTTTTTTACTAAGTGTTTGTTTAATATGTTTTTAAATTAATTAACGCTAATTTAGTTTTAAAAAACCAATAAAATTTATTACTTGTACTAAATTTCTTTAAATTACATTTCAATAAAATTTTCGACTTCTGTAGTTATTAAAATTAGTTAAAATTAAAATGTTCTGTATACCTATTAAGAATTTTTTTTAAATTATATAAAAAAGTATTTTTTTCAGTTAGTTTTTAAATACCTAAATTGTTTTATAAGACATATACATATATAGGTTTCTTTATGTTGTGTAAAATTTTTATCATGATAACTTACCCCCATGCCTCCTTGTGGCTGTCCTCCTTCTCGTCTAATGCGATATGCTTCATATATTAACAGTCCCGCATAGACTTTACCCACTGTCAATTTGCCCTTATTCAATTGATCATTGGGTGGCACCAGTAGATTCAGCATTTTCTTGGCCTGCAATGGCCATATATTTGTAATAGTATCCCTAAGTTCGGAATCGGCTTGGTCCATTTCTTCCGCTAAATTGGGGAGGAAGAAGAATGAAATCAATTAATATTTTTTTGTTAAAAAAAATTTAAGGCGGAAAAAGTTTAGGTCTGAGTTGTTCAAACATTTTGCGAATTTTAGAATTCCTTGGGTTTTATAAGAGCGTCTTTGCCGGTCCGTTAAGATTATATAAATACTATCTTCTTCTGGAATAACCATTTCATTCCTAAATAGGGGCTAATTCTATGATGTTGCAAAAAATATATTAACACTTTTCTTATATTCGTGGTAAGTTACTTATTTTGGAAGGTTCTGAATGTAGTTTCATAGAAATCAGTATTTCGAAAACCAGTTCTTCACAAAATGCCTTTTTTTCATCAAAAACCCGTTTTTTTCATCAAAAGCCAGATTTTTCATTTAATACCAGTTTTTTCATTAAAAACCAGTTTTTTCATCAAAAACCAGTTTTTTCACCAAAAACCAGTTTGTTCATCAAAAACCAGTTTTTTCATCAAAAACCAGTTTTTTCATCAAAAACCAGTTTTTTTCATCAAAAACACATTTTTTTATCAAAAACTAGTTTTTTCATCAAAACCCATTTTTTCATGAAATATCAGTATTTTCATCAAAAAGCTGATTTGTCAAAAAAAAATTTTCGTCAAAAAGTTTTTTAATTTTTAAACCCACCATCAAAAGGGGTATGTTGATTTTAACATTCCGTTTGTAACACATCGAAATATTGGTCTTAAACCCACAACACTAATATATTCTGGGTCCTTATTAAAATCTAAGACGATCTAGCCAAGTCCGTCCGTCCGTATGTCTGTTGAAAACACGATAGAGTCCGAACGGATTGAGCTAGAGGGTTGAAATTTTCCAGAAATATTCTCTATATGTATAAGGTTTGTTTGGTATTGAAAATGGGCATTAAATGCTCCAGGTTTTCGGATAGACCCCATACAAGTGGATAACCGAAAAACAGCTTTAACGGGCATATATGTTTTAAAAGTGTAACTATAGCGATGAAATTCAACAATAATAAGTTTCATATGGACCAAAAACTCCCTGCCAAATTTTATGAGGATCGGTCCATAATTAACCCTACCCCCCATATAAGGTCCCCTTCTGAAAATGACTGTAAAGCTCATTATTCTCTTAAAAATACGACTACAGCAATGAAATTTGACATAATTAAGTGTCTTACTATCCAAAATCTCTCTACCACATTTTATGTGGATCGGTCAATAATTGACCATACCAACCATATAAGATCCCCATCAGAAAATTACTTTAACGCTTATTACTGGCGTAAAAATACGAGTATAGTGATGAAATTTTACATAAGTAAGTTACTTTCAAGCCATAACCTCTCTACCAAATTTTATGTGGATCGGTCCACAATTGACCCAAACCCTTTCAGAAAATGACTTTAAAGTTCATTACAGGCTTAAAAATACGAGTAAAGCGATGAAATTCGACACACATAAGTTTTATACGAGTGAAAATCTCCCGCATATAAGGTCCCCTTCAGAAAATTACTTTGATATAAGAAAATTTTATAGAAACTTAAATCTTCCTATCGAATTTCATGCGGAAAGTATCGGTACCTTACCCTACCCGCCCATATAAGCCTGCCTCCAGAAAATTACTTTAGCGCTAATTACTGACATACAGCGATGCTATTCGATTTAAACATGTTTATATGAACCAAAATCGGTCTGAAAAATTTTATGAAAAACTGTCAGTTAATTTGATGAGTGATCATGATGATAGTGCAGCATTCCTTTTATGGCATACGGTTTGATGGTGAATATTTGAGATTTGGCACAACCGAATATAACACTCTCACTTGTTTTTGTTAACATTTTTTGGTTTTTATCAAAATCCAATTTTTTTATTATCGTGTTTTCAACCGAAAGACGGACGGACATGACTAGGTGGTCTTAGAATCTGATATGGGTCCAGAATATTTAACTTTTATTGGTCTACTAGCAATATTTTAAGTGCTACAAACTAAAAGACAAAATGGTGGATATAAAAAGAAAAATAAAAGAGAGAGAAAAGTCGACACCTTCTGACATTTCATTAAACTTATAGGGAATATGTAACTTCTAACTAATATTATTTTTTGATCCATTAATCCAACACTTAGACCACATTTCAAAACAGTCACTTACTTAACTATTTTTTTTTTTAATACCCATAGAAAATTAGATTTCGTACTTACCCGCTCTCATTTTAATACTAAGATTTTCACGTATCAATGCAAATAGTGTGGTGGTAAATTGTACTCTCATCTCATCGTCCAGGGGCATATTCATACGTATCAGTTTCTTAAAGGCGAGGCGATTGGGACATTTGTTACCGAACCCCAACGGAGGATCCATATTTTTTAACATATCATACATTTCCGTATAATGGATTCGGCCACTATACAGTCAGTAACGTACAATTGCGATATATAGACGAATTTTTCGAATCGTTGTGAAGTTCAATTTTGAAGATAAAATAAAATAATTAAATTTTTAGAATTATATAAAATTCAGAGAATTTCAAATTTGCAATTATCGAGTTTAGCAAAATACACACACACACATATATATAAAACAATGAAAATAATTAGAGTAACAACGTTTACTTTTAAAGTTTTTTTTTGTTAAAGTGATTGATTTTTTGTTTATATTTTGGTGGTACATTTAGGTGTACAATTATAATAAAATAATGATAATTTAATTATTAACAATTAATATAAAGGAAATTATTTATTTAGTAAATGTGTTTTGTTTTTTTTTTTTTGCGAGTTTTTCTGTTAAAAGGAACAGTGTTTGGTTTGGCAGCTTTAAGTTTTTCTTTTGCTAATAAAGAGCTTTAGTCATAAAAAAGCTTTAAGAAAATAGTAAAAGGTTTTAAATATTTTTATGAAAATTATGGCTTGAGAAAAAAAAAACTTAATTTAAGTATATGGTTTTCATTAAGCTTTTAAGTATAGCTAGCTTTACTTGTTTAAATATTTATTGTTATATAGGCTTAGGTGAAAAAAGAGCTTTAAGCTCAAATTATTATTAAATTTGCTTTAAAATTAGTTTACCTTTTGTGTTGGCAACGTGTAACGTTTTCGTTTTTTTTATATATATATATGAAACAAATACGATCAAATAATAATCATTTAATATAAAAGCTTTAAAGCTTTGTGCGTAGAGCTATTTCGTTTGTTTTTTAGCTTGTTTTATTGTATCTTATTGCTTTTTTTATTTTGTTTTTGTGTAATTTAACTTAAATGTGTATTAGTTTAGAAAAAAGCATACAAAAATTTATTAACAACAAATTTTAACTACATACTTTAAATCAAAAATAGAACTTAAAAGGAAGAAAAAATAAAAGTTTATCAAAATTTCTTTTCAACACATTAACAATCAAACTACAATCACAATACCAATTATTTTACAGCAAAAAGGGAAAAAGGTTAGATTTGTCGTTAATTCTGGTGGTGTAAGCTTTTAAAGAATATAATTTAATGTCGTTTTAGAGCTTAAAGCTTAAATGTTTCTTCAGTTTCTGTGTAAAGATTTAAAAAATACTATTGAATGAAATTTACTTGTTTGAACTTATAAAAAGTATTTTTAGAACAAGCTTTTAAAAGCTTAAAACATAAAGCTTTAAGATTTGAAATTTGTAGGAAAGCTTTTAAAAGCTTTCAATTTGTACAGTTTTTAATATTATGATATAGTTACACTTGATATGCTAAAGTTTCAACGTTTCATTTCATTTTAGTAAAAAGCTTTAACAGACAACTTTTCATACACAGTTTGTTCTACAAAGCTTTCATAAAATTGTTACGAATAAGTTATTATATATTTAACCTTTTAGATTTCAAGAATCCAAGCTTTTTAACGCTTTTAGTAATATGTTTTTAATTAGTATATTTTAAGTTCATTTATTGAAAAAAGTTTAAAGAGTTTAAAGCTGAAGCTTTCAGTTTTTAAAATAATGAAATAACTAAAAATTTAGCTTTCAGGTTTATTTCTTTAGTGTGCATTATAAAACCGACCCTTAGGGCTTAGAAGTAAGCTTTCAATAAGCTGAACTTTTATGTTGTTTAAATTTATAAGCTTTAAGCTCTGAATTCTTGTAAGCATTTTGAAGACATTATTCTTATAAGCTCCACCATTTCTTTGAGTCTATTTTATATAAAATCAATAACAAATCTACCTTAAAAGTAAAACTTAAAAACTTTTATAAATTTAAACTTTTCAAATTTCAACATTTAAAAAACCCAAAATATGCAACATATTAAATAAATACAAACACAATAATAAAAAAATTTTAGTTAAACAAATTATTAGCAAACTAAAAATCACAGTAACCAATTAGTTAATTAATTTTTTTACAAAAAACACATTTAAATAGAAAATAATAACAGTAGAAGTAGTAGTAGTAATAGTAGTAGTAGTTTAAGAAATATATAACATATATAGAAATAATTTTGTTTTGAATTATATTAAATTGATAATTACGTCGCATTTGGATCATATTCAGCCCATATCCGTACAAATTCATCTAAATGATGTGCCCCCAATATACTGGAATCTCTTGTTAAATAATCAAAATTATCCATAATAACAGCCACGAATAAATTCAACATTAGAAATGAACAAAAGAATATAAATGATACAAAATAGGCATAGGCCAATGTCGAGCCACAAGTCTCATCGCCCTTTTCGGCTTCGTCATCGCATGGCCTCCCCTTAAGGCACGCCAGCATAATGTTCGGCCACGCCTCGCCCGTTGCACATCTAAAATAATACATTATTAGTATCGTCTATTCCAAATAGAATTTTCATTATAATAAATACAATATTTCAAATTTTAAATAAATATAAAATAAAATGTTTTTTTTTTTCAAAAACTATTTAAAGTTTGTACTAAATATTTTAAATATAAGAAAATTAAAAATGTTATATATATTTAAATCTAATTTTAAAATATTTAGTAAATATATATAAGAAAATTTTTAAGATTTTCTTTTATTAACTTTTTTTGGTTAATAGATTTTTTTCTCTACGAAAAAAATTATTCAAAATTTATACTACACAATTTGTTTATTTTTCTATATACTATAATTTGATATTTTTTTATGTTAAATAAAAGTTTAGTTTTTTTTTAATTAAATATATTTATATATTTATCGAACAATATTGAAAACTCAAATTATCTACTTGAAAAATATTTAGTTATTTACACTATAAATATTTAGAAAACAATTTTTACCAATTTTTTTTTTTATTATTTTTTTAACAAAATTATTATTTTTTTAGCCTAATTGTAAAACCTAAATGATAATGTTAATGAATTTGGAAGAAAAAAGTAGAATTTTGAATAGAAAACTAAAACAGAAAACTAATTTCTCTATTTATTTAACTAATTGCCAATTGTTTTGAAAAAGGTTTGGAACTGAAAAATGTTGCAGTAAAAATTGCCGAGAAAATAATAAAAAAGAAAAAGTCCACAAAAGAAAATTAATAAGTTTACTGAAGAAAGTTTAAATTTTTTTAATAAAAAAATAGTACAGGCATTTTTACAGTTTTTTTTTTTTAATTTTAAAATATAAAATCGTTTATTTTTCGATCCACAACTGATATTGATCTCAACTTCTTTGTATGTTGTTGGTAATTTAGTTGTCTAACTCTATTCAGTTTAAAATTACGCCCAATATTTAAACACAAGCGGACCAAGGTACTGCAAAATCTTATCTGGAACCAACTATTTAGCAATGCCAGATCTATTCAAAAGAATGATATTCTGGCCCACTCTAAGTCTAGTCTAATGGTCGAATCTATAGTCTAGTGTATAACCAAGTCTACAATAAAATCTGTAGCCAAGTCTATAATCTAGTCTATAGTCTAGTCCATAGTCTAGTCTATAGTCTAGTCTATAGTCTAGTCTATAGTTTAGTCTATAGTCTAGTCCATAGTCTAGTCTATAGTCTAGTCTATAGTCTAGTCTATAGTTTAGTCTATAGTCTAGTCCATAGTCTAGTCTATAGTCTAGTCTATAGTCTAGTCTATAGTTTAGTCTATAGTCTAGTCTATAGTCTAGTCTATAGTCTAGTCTATAGTCTAGTCTATAGTCTAGTCTATAGTCTAGTCTATAGTCTAGTCTATAGTCTAGTCTATAGTCTAGTCTATAGTCTAGTCTATAGTCTAGTCTATAGTCTAGTCTATAGTCTAGTCTATAGTCTAGTCTATAGTCTAGTCTATAGTCTAGTCTATAGTCTAGTCTATAGTCTAGTCTATAGTCTAGTCTATAGTCTAGTCTATAGTCTAGTCTATAGTCTAGTCTATAGTCTAGTCTATAGTCTAGTCTATAGTCTAGTCTATAGTCTAGTCTATAGTCTAGTCTATAGTTCTAGTCTATAGTCCTAGTCCTATAGTCTGAGTCCTTATAGTCTAGTCCTATAGTCTAGTTCGATAGTGTCTAGGTCTATAGTCTAGTCTATAGGTCCTATCTATAGTCCTAGTCTATAGTCTAGTCTATAGTCCTAGTCTTATGCTAGTCTATAGTCTAGTCTATAGTCTAGTCTATAGTCAGTCTATAGTCCTAGGTCTATAGTTAGTCTATAGTCTAGTCTATAGTACTAGTCTATAGTCTAGTCTATAGTCTAGTCTATAGTCTAGTCTATAGTCTAGTCTATAGTCTAGTCTATAGTCTAGTCCTATAGTCTAGTTCTATAGGCTAGAAATCAATATAGTCTAGTCTATAGTCTAGTCTATAGTCCTAGTCTATAGTCCTAGTCTAATAGTCTAGTCTATAGTCGTCTATAGGTCTAGTCTATAGTCTAGTCTATAGTCCTAGTCTATAGTCAGTCTATAGTCCTAGGTCTATAGTCCTAGTCTATAGTGCCTAGTCCTATAGTCTAGGTCTATAGTCCTCGTCTATCGTCTAGTCTAGAGTCTAGTCTAGTCTATAGTCTAGTCTATAGTCTAGTCTATCAGTCTAGTCATAGTCTAAGTCTCGTCTAGTCTATAGTCAGTCATAGTCTAGTCTTATAGTCTAGTCTATAGTCTAAGTCTATAGTCTAGTCTATAGTCATAGTCTTATAGTCTAGTCTAAGTCTAGTCTATAGTCTAGTCTATAGCTCTAGTCTATAGTCTCGTCTATAGTCTAGTCTATAGTCTAGTCTATAGTCTAGTCTATAGTCTAGTCTATAGTCTAGTTATAGTCTATTCTATAGTCTAGTCTATAGTCTAGTCTATAGTTATAGTCTCATAGTCTAGTCTATAGTCTAGTCTATAGTCTAGTCTATAGTCTAGTCTAGTCTAGTCAGTTAGTCTATAGTCTAGTCTATAGTCTAGTCTATAGTCTAGTCTATAGTCTAGTCTATAGTCTATGTCTATAGTCTAGTCTATAGTCTAGTCTATAGTCTAGTCTATAGTCTAGTCTATAGTCTAGTCTATAGTCTAGTCTATAGTCTAGTCTATAGTCTAGTCTATAGTCTAGTCTATAGTCTAGTCTATAGTCTAGTCTATAGTCTAGTCTATAGTCTAGTCTATAGCTAGTCTATAGTCTAGTCTATAGTCTAGTCTATAGTCTAGTCTATAGTCTAGTCTATAGTCTAGTCTATAGTCTAGTCTATAGTCTAGTCTATAGTCTAGTCTATAGTCTAGTCTATAGTCTAGTCTAGTCTAGTCTATAGTCTAGTATAATCTAGTCTATAGTCTATAGTCTAGTGTATAACCAAGTCTACAATAAAATCTGTAGCCAAGTCTATAGTCTAGTCTATAGTCTAGTCTATAGTCTAGTCTATAGTCTAGTCTATAGTCTAGTCTATAGTCTAGTCTATCTCTAGTCTAGTCTATAGTCTAGTCTATAGTCTAGTCTATAGTCTAGTCTATAGTCTAGTCTATAGTCTAGTCTATAGTCTAGTCTATAGTCTAGTCTATAGTCTAGTCTATAGTCTAGTCTATAGTCTAGTCTATAGTCTAGTCTATAGTCTAGTCTATAGTCTAGTCTATAGTCTAGTCTATAGTCTAGTCTATAGTCTAGTCTATAGTCTAGTCTATAGTCTAGTCTATAGTCTAGTCTATAGTCTAGTCTATAGTCTAGTCTATAGTCTAGTCTATAGTCTAGTCTAGTCTAGTCTATAGGTCTAGTCTATAGTCTAGTCTATAGTCTAGTCTATAGTCTAGTCTATAGTCTAGTCTATATCTAGTCTATAAGTCTAGTCTATAGTCTAGTCTATAGTCTAGTCTATAGTCTAGTCTATAGTCTATCCTATAGTCTAGTCTATAGTCTAGTCTATAGTCTAGTCTATAGTCCTAGTCTATAGTCCTAGTCTATAGTCTAGTCTATAGTCTAGTCTATAGTCTAGTCTATAGTCTAGTCTATAGTCTAGTCTATAGTCTAGTCTATAGTCTAGTCTATAGTCTAGTCTATAGTCTAGTCTATAGTCTAGTCTATAGTCTAGTCTATAGGCTAGTCTATAGTCTAGTCTATAGTCTAGTCTATAGTCTAGTCTATAGTCTAGTCTATAGTCTAGTCTATAGTCTAGTCTATAGTCTAGTCTATAGTCTAGTCTATAGTCTAGTCTATAGTCTAGTCTATAGTCTAGTCTATAGTCTAGTCTATAGTCTAGTCTATAGTCTAGTCTATAGTCTAGTCTATAGTCTAGTCTATAGTCTAGTCTATAGTCTAGTCTATAGTCTAGTCTATAGTCTAGTCTATAGTCTAGTCTATAGTCTAGTCTATAGTCTAGTCTATAGTCTAGTCTATAGTCTAGTCTATAGTCTAGTCTATAGTCTAGTCTATAGTCTAGTCTATAGTCTAGTCTATAGTCTAGTCTATAGTCTAGTCTATAGTCTAGTCTATAGTCTAGTCTATAGTCTAGTCTATAGTCTAGTCTATAGTCTAGTCTATAGTCTAGTCTATAGTCTAGTCTATAGTCTAGTCTATAGTCTAGTCTATAGTCTAGTCATAGTCTAGTCTATAGTCTAGTCTATAGTCTAGTCTATAGTCTAGTCTATAGTCTAGTCTATAGTCTAGTCTATAGTCTAGTCTATAGTCTAGTCTATAGTCTAGTCTATAGTCTAGTCTATAGTCTAGTCTATAGTCTAGTCTATAGTCTAGTCTATAGTCTAGTCTATAGTCTAGTCTATAGTCTAGTCTATAGTCTAGTCTATAGTCTAGTCTATAGTCTAGTCTATAGTCTAGTCTATAGTCTAGTCTATAGTCTAGTCTATATAGTCTAGTCTAGTCTCTATCTAGTCTATAGTCTAGTCTATATCTAGTCATAGTCTAGTCTATCTATTCTAGTCTATTAGTCTAGTCTATAGTCTAGTCTATAGTCTAGTCTATAGTCTAGTCTATAGTCTAGTCTATAGTCTAGTCTAGTCTATAGTCTAGTCTATAGTCTAGTCTATAGTCTAGTCTATAGTCTAGTCTATAGTCTAGTCTGCAGTGAGTTTACCAGTGAGAATATGGTCGAAATTTGGGCTATAATTTGAATTTTATTCGAGTCAAAGACATTCCACGAAAAAAATATATTATTAAGTAGTAAAAAATAAATTAATAAATTAATCTTAATTCTATTAATATTTTTCTCAACATTTTACTGCAACATTGACTACAAATGAATAATATGAATAAAAAAATTTTGAATTTTTAGAACGAACCAAAATTTGAAACGAAAATAATAAACTATTTTTTTTTCAACTATAGTAACAAATAAAGTGCAAATTTTGTTAAAATTATTTTCATATATTTTTTTTTAGTTTTTCAATATTTAGTATTTTAACCACCATATTAAAACCACAAATTAACTCTTAATTAACAATGCAAGCTTTTAATTAACAAATCAACTGAACAGATTTTCAAGTGACAATTATAACTAAAGGGAAAATAGAAATAAAATAAATTAAAAAAATATGCATTTAAATGATGAATGCGATAAGAGTGTGAGTTTAGTGTAGTTTTTTTATTATTTGATTCGTAAGTAAAAGAAAACAGCTAAGAATTTCAGTTTGTTTTAAACTATAAGATGTAGAAACTAATTTGTTGGGTGTGGTGTTGACCTTTTGGCTAAGACATTTATTTAAAACCTAGAAATAACATGTATGTAGTTAATTAACAAATTGTATCCTAGAAAATATGTTTAAAGCCTAAAGCTTTAAGCTAAAAATTTATTAAAACTTTTGTATCGTCTAGTTAAAATTTTTACTCGTGTTAAACTAATTTTTAATAATTTTTTACGAACTTAAGAAAAAAACATAATTTTAAATTTCGATTTTTTAGTTTTATCATTTCGTGATTTTTGTTTTTAATATAAAATTTCAAAGTAGATAATTTTAGAGTTTCATTGTTAAAACATGATTACATACCTGAATAGGAGCATGACACCTTGTATAAATGATTGGAAGTTGTTGTGCCTAGTAATGGAATTTTCCACTGTACCTAGTTTGATATTTCCAAATACCTATTTGCGATACAATACATACAGACATACACGAAGTGGCGAATGTCATAGAAGTTTTAGTTTTTTGATATGTGATTTTTTGGTTTTAATTTTTTAAAAAATTGTTTGTTATTAATTAAAAAGTATTTTAAATAAAAATGGTGTTTTGTTAGAAAAATAAAATTAATAAAAAACAAATTAAAATTTTGAAAAATAAAACATTGTAACTGAAAATTTAAAATTAGGCCAATTGTTTTTTTCGTACTAAAGTGTTTTTTGAATGTTTTATGTAAATGATTAGAACGAAATTATTATCAAAAGCGTTCTAAAATTTTAAATACATTTAAAAATCAAATTATAACAATAATAATAAATATTCAATTTTATTAACTACAAAGAACAACTGTTTATTAACTCTGGTTTTTTATTTAATCAAAATAACTAAGGTTTTTTGGTTTTGGTTTGATTTTTGAGGGAGGCTCTATATATAAATAAAATACTAGATAAAATGTTCTGCAAATTCGAAATAAATATTGTTTTGTTATTAATTTATTGTATTCCATTTTTGAACACTATTTTAACTATTCAATTAATTTTATGCATTAAGCCATTAACTGCTTAGTATTTGGTATATCTGTTCAAAATGGAAATATTTTATAAATTTTATAAAATTACATACATATACAGAAATAGGATTGAAACGAAAATGACATATTTTTTGTTTTTTTGCATAAACATGTTTATATTAATAAAATTTTGGTCCGACTTTCATTATTTTGGTTCTTGTATCATTTTGTTAAATGCTATTCCATAGTATGTATTTGTTAAAAATATAAATCAGAGATGTGAGAACTGAACTACAATACTCTGAACTAGAACAGAACTAGAAGAGAACAAGAATAGAACTAGAACAGAACTAGAACGGAACTAGAGCAGAACTAGAACTAGAACAGAACTAGAACAGAACTAGAACAGAACTAGAACAGAACTAGAACAGAACTAGAACAGAACTAGAACAGAACTAGAACAGAACTAGAACAGAACTAGAACAGAACTAGAGCAGAACTAGAACAGAACTAGAACAGAACTAGAACAGAACTAGAACAGAACTAGACATAACTAGACAGAACTAGAACAGAACTAGAAACAGAACTAGAACAGAACTAGAACAGAACAGAACAGAACTAGAACAGAACTAGAACAGAACTAGAACAGAACTAGAACAGAACTAGAACAGAACTAGAACAGAACTAGAACAGAACTAGAACAGAACTAGAACAGAACTAGAACAGAACTAGAACAGAACTAGAACAGAACTAGAACAGAACTAGAACAGAACTAGAACGAACTAGAACAGAACTAGAACAGAATTAGAACAGAACTAGAACAGAACTAGAACAGAACTAGAACAGAACTAGAACAGAACTAGAACAGGAACTAGACAGAACTAGAACAGAACTAGAACACGAACTAGAACAGAACTAGAACAGAACTAGAACAGAACTAGAACAGAACTACGAATAGAACAGAACAGCACTAGCAGACTAGACAGAACTAGAACAGAACTAGAACAGAACTAGACAGACTAGACAGAACTAGAAACAGAACTAGAACATAACTAGAACAGAACTAGAAACAGAACTAACGACTAGAACGACTAGAACATACTGAACAGAACTAGGCAGACTAGACAGAACTAGAACCATAACTAGAACGAACTAGAACAGACTAAACAGAACTAGAACAGAAACAGAACGAACTAGAACAGAAACTAGATGCAGAACTAGAACAGAACTAGAACATAACTAGAACAGAACTAAAACAGAACTAAAACAGAACTAGAACAGAAACTAGAACAGAACAGAACTAGAAACAGAGACTAGAACAGAAGCTAGCGAAAAATAAGAAAAGATATTTTTGAGAAAAACAATCAAATATAAAATCTCTGATAAATATTTTCACCAAATAGTTAATAATTTATTATATATTTAATTTTGTATTATCTTACAAAAATAATTAGTTAATAAGTTAATCAATTTTCATATAAACTCTATACTAAAATAAATATACTTTTGTTTTAATAGGGAGGAAATAATTTTAGACTATTACTCAAAAATAGGGATAGTAAAAAGCTAAATCCAATTTCAAGGGGCTGAGGAGTAGGAAAAAATGTGATTTATTTTTTCAATTCTATATTTAAAAATACAAATAAAATACGTTTATACAAAAACAAATTATTTTTATAAAATAAAACAAACAATAAAAGAACTCAACAAAATCTAAATATTTATACGAGTAGTTAAACTCTATTTGCTGATTTTTTTATACACATATAAAATTAAATTAATTAAAAAGAAGATAAACCATAATAAAATGAAATATATAATTAACTAGCATTCAAGTAAAATCAACAACGTTTATGTTTTTTTTTTCAAGTATCCAACAATATATATAAAACTTTTTCCAAAGTAAAATAATTGTTTAAATCTCTAACTACTTTTAAAAGATAATAAACCCTGCAAAAATATATATTGTATTTATAGTTGGTTTTTTTTCCAAAAAATTTTATAAACAAATTCTAAAACATTTACTTTTTTTTATTAAATATATATGTATAATATATAGTATATAGTTAATAATATGTATAGTATATAAATTTCAAATTTTTACTTTTTTTGGTTAAAATTTTAATTAAAAAAAGTTTTCTTGCAAATTATTGTTTTGTTAATTTAATTAATTTGTTTTTGGTTTTGGATTACGAAAAATACTTTTTTAAAAAAATAATTACTTTGTTTTGCAAATACTTGTTCAAAATCAACAATGGTTTTTACCGAAAAAGCAGCATGATTCCTCCGGAGAATGATTGAAAATTATTGTGCCGGTTAAGTTGCGTATCCGGATCGTATTTTATATTGCCAAAAACCTTTTCAGTTTTCGTATGGTTTGATTTTTTCAGAAGGATTTATTTGTATACGTTTTGATTTTGTTTGGTTGGGTTTTAAAATCGTTTCGTTTAGATATTTTTGAGGAATTGTTTGATTTTTGTTTGTTAAAATATAGTAGTAGTAGTAGGATTTTTTGATAAACAATAAACAAGTATACACGAATTAAGATTAATAGTTTTGTTAGAAACAATTATAAAAATGACTAAAAGTTTACATAAGTGGTTATAATAAAAAGAACTAGATTTTTTTTAGAAAATGGGAAGGAATCGTCGTGTGAGTTTCTAGAAATTTGTCATGTTTGATCTCCCACTACTTTATTAATATAAAATGTAAAATATCCATTACAAAGGAGTTTTATGAAAGTGACACTATGTTTAACTCTGATGTGAATACACAATATCGATAACATCGATAACATTTGAAAAACACTCCAATATTGGCCGATCTATCAAAATGGTTTTGATTTGCGGTAATTAGCTAAAATAGAATTAAACTTTTCGGAAGAATCTTACAATAGATTAATTATATCAGAATTAAATACCCAAGTAAACAAGAACTGAACTAGAACTGAACTAGAACAGAACTAGAACTGAACTAGAACTGAACTAGAACTGAACTAGAACTGAACTAGAACTGAACTAGAAACTGAACTAGAACTGAACTAGAACTGAACTAGAACTGAACTAGAACTGAACTAGAACTGAACTAGAACTGAACTAGAACTGAACTAGAAATGACTAGAACTGAACTAGAACTGAACTAGAACTGAACTAGAACTGAACTCTAACTGAACTAGAACTGAACTAGAACTGAACTAGAACTGAACTAGAACTGAACTAGAACTGAACTAGAACTGAACTAGAACTGAACTAGAACTGAACTAGAACTGAACTAGAACTGAACTAGAAACTGAACTAGAACTGAACTAGAACTGAACTAGAACTGAACTAGAACTGAACTAGAACTGAACTAGAACTGAACTAGAAACTGAACTAGAACTGAACTACAACGAACTGAACTGAACAGAACTGACAGAACTGAACTAGAACTGAACTAGAACTGAACTAGAACTGAACTAGAACTGAACTAGAACTGAACTAGAACTGAACTAGAACTGAAACTAGCAACTGAACTAGAACTGAACTAGAACTGAACTAGAACTGAACTAGAACTGAACTAGAACTGAACTAGAACTGAACTAGAACTGAACTAGAACGAACTAGAACTGAACTAGAACTGAACTAGAACTGAACTAGAACTGAACTAGAACTGAACTAGAACTGAACTAGAACTGAACTAGAACTGAACTAGAACTGAACTAGAACTGAACTAGAACTGAACTAGAACTAAACTAGAACTGAACTAGAACTGAACTAGAACTGAACTAGAACTGAACTAGAACTGAACTAGAACTGAACTAGAACGAGATATCATTTTTCATTTTTGATTCCTTCCCATTTTCATACTTTTTATACTTAATTTTACATATTTTAAATAATTGTTATAAATATAGCTAAAGTAAATGTGATACTATAAACTAACATTTTTAGATAAGTCTAAGACTTAATACTAACTCCTCCTTCAGAGACTAATAAACTCTAAACCCTAAACAAAATAAAAACTTAAAATCAGTAATGAAATCAAAAATAACAACATATTACCTAATTTTTAAATAAAAAACACCTGTTAAACAGTATTAAGAAAATCTATAAACCTAGACCTTAACTTTGGTTTAACTAAATCTCTATTAAACTAATTAAAATCTGTATTTGAACTATTTTCGTTTTATTCAAAAAAATTGAAAAGTGTTAAAAAATCAAAAAGTGTTTAAAAAACTCAATGTTATAAAAGAAACAAATATAAAAAAAGTTGTGTGTGATTATTTTGGGTTCTTTTATAATAATAAATATTTTTAATAAATTATAAATAGTTTGATATTTTAATATTAAAAAAAGCGTTATTTTGTTAAGGATTTTCTTTTTTTTATCAAAAATATAAAATATGTTCGGTAATTTGGAACGTATTTTTTTGACTTACCTGCATGCCAATAATGGCATAGATAAAAAATAGCATGGCTATCAGTAGACAGACATATGGAAGTGCTTTAAATGATTGTACAAATGTCCACAGCAGAATACGTATCGTGTATCCTTGACGCAGTAATTTAATTAAACGCGCCGCACGAAATAAACGCAGGAAGCCAACGTTGATTGAGTTCGACTGTAAAATATTTTTGGTCAAACAACAATATGAATGTGATGAACGGAGGGCGAGAGGGGGAGAGAGAGATAAAGAAATAGAGAGAGAAAAAACAAAAAACAAACAAACAGAGACAAACAAATAAACAAACAAAATTCATCAAATTAGCAGAGTTTTTGTTGTAATTGTTGTTAATGTTAAAGTTATTATTTTTTAGAAAATTTTTGTTGTTGTTTGTAATTGTTGTTTATTTTTTACAGTAAAAAATAATAAATGTTAATACATTTTATAATTTATTATTTTTTTAATACAATAAAATAAAATAGTTATTTTTTTTAATTTAAATTTGTTAGTAAAAGTTAGGTAGAGTATTTAGTAGTAGTAAGTTGAAATAAAGATGTGAGTTCATTTTATAAAAATTAGTCCGAATTTTTTAAACACGGTGCCGCAGAACTATAACATAACTAGAACAGAACTAGAACAGAACCAGAACAGAACTAGAACAGAACTAGAACAGAACTAGAACAGAACTAGAACAGAACTAGAACAGAACTAGAACAGAACTAGAACAGAACTAGAACAGAACTAGAACAGAACTAGAACAGAACTAGAACAGAAATAGAACAGAACTAGAACAGAACTAGAACAGAACTAGAACAGAACTAGAACAGAACTAGAACAGAACTAGAACAGAACTAGAACAGAACTAGAACAGAACTAGAACAGAACTAGAACAGAACTAGAACAGAACTAGAACAGAACTAGAACAGAACTAGAACAGAACTAGAACAGAACTAGAACAGAACTAGAACAGAACTAGAACAGAACTAGAACAGAACTAGAATAGAACTAGAACAGAACTAGAACAGAACTAGAACAGAACTAGAACAGAACTAGAACAGAACTAGAACAGAACTAGAACAGAACTAGAACAGCACTAGACAGAACTAGAACAGAACTAGAACAGAACTAGAACAGAACTAGAACAGAACTAGAACAGAACTTAGAACAGAACTAGAACAGAACTAGAACAGAACTAGAACAGAACTAGAACGGAACTAGAACAGAACTAGAACAGAACTAGAACAGAACTAGAACAGAACTAGAACAGAACTAGAACAGAACTAGAACAGAACTAGAACAGAACTAGAACAGAACTAGAACAGAACTAGAACAGAACTAGAACAGAACTAGAACAGAACTAGAACAGAACTAGAACAGAACTAGAACAGAACTAGAACAGAACTAGAACAGAACTAGAACAGAACTAGAACAGAACTAGAACAGAACTAGAACAGAACTAGAACAGAACTAGAACAGAACTAGAACAGAACTAGAACAGAACTAGAACAGAACTAGAACAGAACTAGAACAGAACTAGAACAGAACTAGAACAGAACTAGAACAGAACTAGAACAGAACTAGAACAGAACTAGAACAGAACTAGAACAGAACTAGAACAGAACTAGAACAGAACTAGACTAGAACAGAACTAGAACAGAACTAGAACAGAACTAGACAGAACTAGAACAGAACTAAAACTGAACTAGAACTTGAACAGAACTTAATAATATCTTCGAGTTATTTGGTGTTGGATACCGATTAAAGAATTGTAGTACTCAAGGATATTTTGTTTCAAAGCTGTTCATTTAATAAGACAAGGAACAGGGAAATATTCCCAAATAATTCAATTACAAATTCTGCGACTTAGTGTTATTGTGGTACTGTTTTGTCCTCTAAAGTCGTCTGAACTAATGTAAGGCATAACAATTATACAAAAATTAAAATTATTTACTTTAAATTTTTTAGCATAAATTATTTTTTAATATTTTCGAACAAAAGTAATGCGCAAAAAACTAACTTTGGGGAATTTTTAGAAAAAAGTAGAAAAAAATATTTTTTTAACTAATATTACATACAAACACCAATTAATTTAATATTTAAAAAAATAAAAAAAAAATAAATTAAAATTTGTTACATATCACAAAAAAAAAAAACTAAAAATTTCAAACTGAAAAATTCAGAAAGTAATTTCATTTTTACAAGTCGAAATTTATTGTAAAATCAAAAATAATAAGTTTTCAGTTCTTAGCAAATTTTACAGTATTTTATATTTTGATATTTATAAAATTAATTTTGCATTTCATTACAGCAAGAGAAATTGGGTGAAGAAAGAAGGGTGTTAGTCGACAGTCAATAGTTTTATTTATATATTTGTTGGTTTCTTTTATGTTATAAATTATAGTTATTCAATTAATTAAGCTTTTTTTTTAAATAAAGATCAAATCAAAATTTAAGCCAATCCAAGACATTTCATAATAATTATATATTACAAATAATATTTGGTAAGAAAATAAAATCAAAAAAATTATAATAAAATTATTTATACAAGTTATAAAAAATTATAATTTGTTTTTAAATACACCTAATATGTTTAAGGCTTTAGTAAAATTTTAAATATGCCAATTAATTTTATTTCATATAAACTAAAAATAATTTAGACTCTAATTTTAATTTAGACAGATTTGTTTTAATTTTGGAAATTTTAATGAATTTTTAAGGAAGTTGTTTTTATTTGATAAATTTTGTAATATTTTGTTAAAAATATTTTTATGGTTAATTTTTCATTATCCTTAAAAATTCACCTTTAATTTTCATAATTTAGCTAAATAAATTAATTTTTTAATTAAACTAAAAATAAATTTTATAATTTTGTTTATTTCTATACAATTTGGGATTTTAAAAATAAGGAAAACAAACACACTTTATTTTGTAATAATATAAAATTTTACGAGTTTAACTAAAATAAATGTTAATGGAGGAATAGTAAACTTATTTTTTTTTTTTTTAATTTCTAATGCCAAATAAAAATTGAAAATTCAAACGTTTTATAAACGTTGGATTTTTAAAAGACATTAAAAATTCATTTAAATGACCAAAATATTTTACGACACATCAGTTGTGGAGTTGGAGAAAGAAGAACAACCGATGTAAAGACGCATACCGCCTCGCAGTGTGGCCTCACAGCTTTATTTTTATATTTTCTTTTCACTTTTTTATAGTAAACTCTTAATAGTTTTGTTAAAAGGGTTAAACTTATATTTAAACGTTTTTTTTTATAATATTAGAAATAGGTTTATATTTAGTTAAATTTGTGTTCTATACTAAACTACTTAAGATTCTATAGATAAGAGAAAATTAAAATACTTAAATGTTAAGAGTTATAATAGTTAGAGATACATTAGCAATAGGTAGTAAACTATTTAAGAGCTAATAAATAAAAAATTCAAGTGAAATCTAAAATACTAGATATAAATATAGTAAAAAAATATAGTAAAATAAAAAATAGCATAGTGTTAAAGAGACCTAATTGGTCTATTGGTTCAGTTTTTATACATACAGAATTGTTATAACTATTCTTGTAAATCTGTTCGTTAATTGCACAATACGCTCACGTAGACAGTAAGTTTCTGTGATGAATCTGGTGATTCGTTATTGGATTAAGCCTGTGCCTCTTACAAAAACTTTGGCTGTTAGAAATGACCACTTCTAATATTGCTGATCTGTCCGTTTTATGCTCTAAATATCTATTATAACTTTTGTATCTATTGCTAGTCCGCCAAATTCTTACCCAAATGTTCACATAGATACCAAAGTTATTCTTGCAAAATTGGAAGATTTTAGCTCTAATAGTTTCTCAGATATACGAATTTTTGTATTTAATACATATGGAAGGTGCCACGTCCCTATTTCAAGTCCGATAATTTGTTCTTTAGCAACTTAAAGTCGTTCCGAAAAAATTTGAGGACTCTTACTGTTATATTTTCTCAGCTATACTAATTTAACATTTTCTTAATACGGGAGGTGCCACGTCCACTACAGCTATGCCATTTGTTCATATAGATATCAATGTTGTCCAAGCTAAATTTGAGGACTCTAGCTGTGTTTTTTTTTCTGAGATATGCGAATTTTAATAAAATACAAGAAGGCACTGTGAAAATTTTTAGAAAATCGGGTTAGGCAATTCGCCATTTATAGACTTCAAACAAATAACCCATATTAATTTTTATATATATAGAAGATGGAAATCTGTTGTTGTACGGAAATTTAAATCAGCTGCCTAGTAGAATCTCCGTGCTATAAAGGAATGCGTAAACTAGATTTTAATGAATATGACGCCAACAGACGTTATATTTTCCGAAAGCCAGAAGAAAATTAGGGCTAGATTAGTTTAGATTTAAGGGACACAAAGAACTGCGATCTATGTGCGGATCTTTTGTGCAGCCCATTGGCTCATCATACAAGTTTTGTTCACGAAGGTAACTGGTATAGTTGGTGAGAGGTTTATTTTTGGGTTGGAAAGGCAGCACCCAAGATCTTAGCTCTGCGGGACCCTAATGTTGGGAAGTTACATATTTGATATGTTCTGAGGTTTCCTTTTATAGGCCACAGAATCTGCATAGATTCGTTGAAGTGTTGCCTAGAATGAATTGATGGTATCTGAGACCACAATATTCAGTAAGTAATCCCGTTAGTACTCTGAGATCGCTTTTATTGAGAGCTAGTATAAGACCATATTGGATGATCTATATAGACAGCAACAATAGGATACGATTTCAGTTGGGAATTATGAGACATTGATTCCAGATAAGAGATCGCGATCCAGGCAAATATTAAAGCAAACTATTTCGGAAATGTGTCATTAAACTGTCATTAAACACCGAGTATTTACTGAAAACCCGGAAACCAGGCAAGTCCGTGCTTTCAGAGAATATATAAAATTGTTTAGATTTAATAAGGCGCTTTTCCTTCGACAGGAAGAAAGTATCCTATGTTGTTTTGCAGAAAATATTCCAGTCGAGTTATATCTTCAACTGGAAACTTCGAACACCTAGAAAAAAGTTCATTTTTAATGGTACTCCACTAAAAGATTCCAGAGTTCTCAACCTGTATAAAGACTGAGTATTTCGATATCCACTAGTCAAAACCTAGCCTCACTTTGAGATAAAACGAAAGCACGCGGTAATGATGATAGAAGTAGAAGTTGGAAAAGTTATATATACTAATACAGCCAAAGAACAGTTATCGTGATTGTCTTCAACTTAAGTATAAATTGAGACTGGCTTGACTAGACTACTTCTATGTTATCAGCACGATATAAAGTAGTGATTGAAAAGTATGTTAATAGGTTAGGATTAGGAAAGAAAAATCCAGCCTTAATGTTTTAATATTTTTATAACCGCCATCAAAAAAGATGGGGGTATATTGATTTTGTCTTTCCGTTTGTTACACATTGAAATATTGATCATAGACCCACAAAAGTATAAATATTCTGGGTTCATATTGAATTTTAAGACGATCTAGTCATGTCTGTCCGTCCGTCCGTCCGTCCGTCTGTCTGTCTGTCTGTCTGTCTGTCTGTCTGTCTGTCTGTCTGTCTGTGTGTCTATCTGTCTGTCTGTTTGTCTGTCTGTCTGTCTGTCTGTCTGTCTGTCTATCAACCTGATGTTTATAGGGGAGAATCCATTTTGCGGAATACAGTTTGATGGTGGGTATATCAGACTCTCACTTGTTTTGAATTGAAAACAATTCTGTATGTTTAAATTTTTGTCCAAAAACCAAGGTAATTTCGCTAAAAAAATAATATTAATAAGAACTAAAATGGTTTAAGGCCTATTAAATCAACCTCCGGTTATCTTTTAAACGATAGATATTCTGCCTGTATTAAAGAAAACTAGCAATATATCGTTACGATAACAAAATAAACCAGATATTGAGAAAATGGCGGAAAAAATAATCATTTAAAATTAACTAAATTAAAGGCTATTTTAAAAGTAAACACATTAAAGCGTAATTATACAGGATGGCATATAATTTTAATTAGTAAAATATTAGAATATGTATGTTAGTAGTTAAGCAAAAAAGTATAAATATTTTTAAATATTTTAAGAAATAGTAAATAAACCACAAGTAAGTAAGTATGAGTATATACAACAATTAGATTTGTTAAACTACCAGTACTTACATCCTGTGTGTTAAAAGAGATTTTGTAATATTTTTAGTTTGAATTTTTTTTTATTTATTAATATTTTACGTATTGATTTTGTTTTTTTCAATAATATTTTTTTTGTGGTGGTTGGTGTTTTGTAATTGTTTGTTTTTTTTTTTCAATAATTTTACAATTAAATGCAAATTGATGTTAAAAATTTTACCATTTCATAAATTGGCATTTAACAAGTTGATTTGGTTGGTTGGTGGTGGTGATGGTGGTAGTAGTATAAGAGAGAGAGAGAGTAACGGTATCGGTAGTGGGTGGTGGTGATAGGTGGTGTTTGTTATATTGTACATTGATATTTTTTATGGTTAAATTAATGGTGTTTTATATATCATTATTATTGTTTATAATAATTGTTTTATTTAGAGAAATTTCAAAATATTATTGCAAGCATTTTAATATTTTTTATATTTCATTTTTTATATATCCCATAATGACGTTATAAAAAAAACACAATGCAGTATAAATTGTTTATTTTTGTTTTTTTTTTTTTCATAATTAAAAAAGTATAACGTTTAAAAGATAAACACAATCATTCACATTTTGTTTTAATTGTTTGTTATTGTAAAAAAAATATATTTTTGTTTTTTGGTGGTTTGTCAATTATTAACAAAAATTCAAGTTGCCATACGCGCACATAAGCCCCACAGTTGATTGTTTAGTTTTTGATTCAAATTTTTGTTTTTTTGACGATTTTTGTGATTTTTTAATCAAGATGTTGCAGTTGTTTTGTTCAAAAATTCATTTTTTTTTTTTTAATTTTAGAAAAAAAGAAGAAGAAAAATATAGAAAATTTTTATTTTAAAAATTTGTTCTTATTAAAATGGCTAATTAAATTTGTCAACAAAAAGGAGGGTTTTTTTTGGAGTTTATAGTTTGGTTTGCGCAAATTATAATTGTAATAACAACAACAATTGTAGGTAAATTGTAATAAAAGCTTTTTTGAACATCAAAAGTAATAGTACATTTAGTGTGGTCTCTGGTAAATAACAAGAACAAGCAGCAACATTTTGTAACCAATACAACATTATTATTATTTAATTATGCTTTATTTTAGTTGTTTATTTAATCGATTAATGGATATTGACTAAATAAATATTACCATATAATTTGTTTTTACTAAGTAATTTGATAGTTTTATATGTTACAGTTTTAAATTTGGTTTAACTGATTTTTACTTTTTTTGTCTTTGGGTATTTATTGGTAATAAAGCTAGGGGTATGGTACAACTTTGTTTTTTTGGTTTAGTTTTATATTTTTTTGGAAAATAGTATAGAGTTGTGTGCTAGAGTTTGGTAAGCAGTTTCTTTTTTAATTTATTTTTAAATACAAATACTAAAAAAATACATATAGAGTTAAGAATTACTATAGTGAATGCTTTGATAATGTTATTAATTTTTAATGTTTGATAATTTAAAACTAATCCCAATTTGTATATTTTATAAAACACTTATTTAAGATGATTAAGTTGAGATTATGACACGATTACCTACGTTATATTTTTAACATAATTTTTCTGAGTGTATTTTGTTTATGAATTAAAATTGAGAAACTAAAAGCTTTTTTAAAAATCTTCATATAAAAGGAAATCTTCTTTATAAAGAAAATTATGTCAAAATTTTCTCATAAACACATTTATATCAATGATTTTTTCATCAACAAATTTATATGAGCTTTTTTAACAAATATTTATGAAAGTTTTTATATAAAATATATAGGAGTTTTCCAAAAAATATATTTCATTAAAAGCTTTAATACAAAAAAATTTAAATGAAAATTTCTTCGCAAACAAGAACTAATTTTAATTATTAGGTACCTAACAATCCTATTACGTAGAAGCTTTTATAAAAGCTTTTAATGTAAAATATTAAACTTTTTTAAACAGATACATATTTTTATAAAAATGCGTTTAAAAAACTTTTATCAAAAGCTTTTTTAGAAAATTTTATAAAAAGCTTTCACGAAAAAGTTGTTTAAAAAGCTTTCTTCTTAAAAAACTTTTTGTAAAATAATTTTTATGAAAAAGCATCTTCTTAAATAACTTTTTCTAAAATCATTCTTATAAAATTTGCTAATAAAAAAGCTTTATTATAAAATTTACTAATAAAAAGGCTTTCACAAATAAAAAAAAAAATACACTTTTTTAGACGCGCAACTGATTAATCAACAACTGATTAATTAAAATTTAAATTTTATAAACAGAAGCATATTTTTATAAAAAGGATTCTTTCAAATTTTTCATCAAAAGCTTTCATTAGAAAATTTTATAAAAAGCTTTCACGAAAAAGTTGTATAAAGAGCCTTCTTCTTAAAGAACTTTTTATGAAAGCATTTTATAAAAAGGTTTCGTATAAAATAAAAAAAGCTTTCATAAACATATAGGCGTTATTTCATAAAACTTTATACGAAAGCTTTTCCCAAAAAAAATATTTTTTATTAAAAGCTTTAATGCAGAAAATTTTAAAAGAAAGCTTTTTTCAAACAAATTTTAAAAGTTTAACTGAAGAATCTTAAACAAATTTTATGTTAAAGCTGTTTTTAAGTATTTTTTATAAATAGCTTTTTTTGAAAAATTTAGAAAGTTATTATATAAGACATTTTCCTGAAAAGCTTTATGTAAAACTTTTTTTTTACAAAAACCTTCAAATGAAAGTTTTTTTTATGAATATTAATATCAATCAATTTTCACATATAAATAATTACTTGAAAGTTTTATTAATTTAAAGCTTTATATAAAAGGTGTTTTTTAATGAAAAGCTTTTTTATTATAAAAGTTTATGTGAATGCATGTTAGAACAAACATTGTTATATAAACTCTTTTTTCATAAAAGATTTTAAAGAAAAGAAATTTTTTATTAAAAGCTTAACATGAAAAAGACATTTTAGTTATACAAAAAAGCTTTATATAATATTTTTCCACAAAAAAATTTTATGTTATGACTTTTCTCTTTGAAAAATTACTTTTAATAAAATGGGTATAAAAGCTTTTTGTTATTTTTTTTGCAAAAGCTTTATCATAAAACGTTTTTAAGGGCTCTTTTATACACAGTTTCATAAAATGTTTTTTATAAAAGCTTTTTCATAAAAAGTTTTTTTTAGAAAAACGTTTTCATAAAAATGAAACTTTTAGCAGATGTTTTTAATAAAAAGTTTTCTTTTTAAGTAATAAAAAGCTTCAAGAAAAACTTTTTTCATAAAATGCTTTAAAAAACTTATTTGTTAAAGCTTCTTTCAGGTATCAAGTTGTCATTGATATAAAAGATTCTAGTTAAGATATTTTATACAAAAAATTAAATTAAATACACTCAGAAAATAATATGTTTTTTTTTTTAAAGTGATACCCCCTAATGGATAGAATAACTACAAACATACATACATTAAATACATGATAAAATTATTTATGTTTTAAATGCGCTATAATACCATGATTATTAATTGTTACATGTTAACCCATCAAAGTTTTATTTAAATTATTTTATATTCTTCACTTTTATTAAGTTATCATTATTTAATTTACTTTATGTATTATATTACAATAAATAATAGAAAATTATTAAAGAGAAATTATAAGAAAATACTTTTAAAAATTAATACTCTTAAATAAGTTTCAATAATTAATAACAAGTGTTTTTATTTTTAGTAGCAGTGTTAAAAGTTAGAAAGGAGCTTAAGGAGGGAGATTAGTAAGATATTTTCTTTAAAAAAAGTGTGTAGTTTGAAAAGAATATTTATAAAAATGTATAAAAATGAATAATTTAAAAAAAAAGGGAATTGAATGAATAAATAAAACATGCCTTATTTTAATACTCAATATGAATAACTACTATGGTGCTTTTTTTAGAATTTATGTGTTTTGCTGCAGATAACAAGTGTTCAATTCATACATTCATAAAATTGGTGGTGATGTTTAAGTAAAAAATATTGTTGTTTTTATCATAATGCTTAAAAATATTATTAAATGGTGATATTTTAAAAAAAAAAAAATAAGAATTTTTTGAAAGCACTTTTTGAAATAAATTTGGTTGTTTTGTTATTTGTAAAAATAGAAAATTAACCTTTAGATTACTTCAGGATTATTAAAAAAATATATAATTAAAACTGTTAGGGATCTTCTACTATCACATTCGATTTTTTTCTCATAATTTCCTTTGATATAAATTTTTACGATATAACAGTGGCGTATGAGTAATTTATAATTATTATTTTAATATATATTGATTATACGTTAAGTATTGCCATTAAGTAATTTTAATTATATAATTTTCTGTAGCATACTTTAGGGAGCTTGAAAATAATTGTTGAGTATGAGTGATATTATTGTGTAAAATTAAATATTAAGTATACGACTTACGTTATACAATCAGTAACGAAAGTAGTATGTTTTTTGAAATTTTTTATACATTCGTGTCATTTATGTATGAAATCTTTTAATATGAGGAGTTAGTTATGTGTTCTGTCATATTCCGATCATAAATTATACTTTTGTCGCAAGAGAATACTACTCTATCAGCGACTCTTCTTTCGATTAATTTTTGCTTTTGCTATATTATACACATTACTATGGATCATTTTCGAGCCTTTTTAAAAAGCGCAACTGATTAATCTGTTTTCTGTCATAAAAAAATTGCAAAAAAAAATAATTTTGGTGATTAGGTATCTAACAATCTTATTACGTAGAAGCTTTTGTAAAAGCTTTTAATACAAAATATTAAACCTTATTACATATATATTTAAAAAAAAAAACATATTTAAAAAAAAAAATTCTGAAAAACTTTTCATCAAAAGCTTTCATTAGAAGATTTTATAAAAAGCTTTTTCATAAAAGTTTTTTTTTTTTAAACGTTTTTATAAAAAGTTCCTTTAGCAGATATTTTTCATAAAAAGTTTTCTTTTTAAGAAAACGCGCAACTGATTAATCCATTTTTTGTCATTAAAAAATGTCACAGAAAACTAATTTTTCTGATAAGGTACCCAACAATCTTATTACGTAGAAACTTTTGTAAAAGCTTTTAATGCAAAATATTAAACTTTTATAAACAGTTACATATTTTTATAAAAAAGTTTCTTAAAAACTTTTCATCAAAAGTTTTCATTAGAAGATTTTATAAAAAGCATTCACGAAAAAGTTGTATAACATGCTTTCTTCTTAAAGAACTTTTTCTAAAATTATTTTTATGAACAAAGCTTCTTCTTAAAGAACTTTTTATAAAATAATTTTTATGAAAGCTTTTTACAAAAAGCTTTCGTATAAAATGTTCTAATAAAAAAGCTTTCATAAATAAACAAAACGTTACTGAGCCTTTTTTAAACGCGCAATTGTCGCAAAAAACTAATCTTGGTGATAAGGTACTTAACAATCTTATTACGTAGAAGCTTTTGTAAAAGATTTTAAAACAAAATCTTAAACTTTTATAAACAGTTACATATTTTTATAAAAATGTTTCTTAAAAAATTTTCATCAAAAGCTTTCATTAAAAGATTTCATAAAAAGTTTTTTATAAAAGCTTTTTCATAAAAGGTTTATTTAGAAAACGTTTTTATAAAAAGTTCCTTTAGCAGATATTTTTCATAAAGTTTTCTTTTTAAGTAAACGCGCAACTGATTAATCCGTTTTTGTCATAAAAACAGTCACAGAAAACTAATTTTGATGATTAGGTACCTAAAAATCCTTTTACGTAGAAGCTTTTGCAAAAGCTTTTAATATTTTTATAAATAATCATATTTTTATAAATAAACTTCTTAAAAACTTTTATCAAAAGCTTTCATTAGAAGATTTTATAAAAAGCTTTCAGGAAAAAATTGTATGAAAAGCTTTCTTCTTAAAGAAATTTTTACAAAATTAGAAAAGTTAAGAAATTAAGAAAGCTTTTTTTAAAAAGTTTTCGTATAAAATTTTCTAATAAAAAAGCTTTCACAAAAAATTTTAAGAAAACATTTAATAAAAAAGACGTTACTAAAAAGTTTTTTATATAAAATCGTTTATAAAAAGTTTTCTATTAAATGATTTGTATACAACAAATCTTATATAAAGCTTTGTATAACCCATGTTTTTACTCAAAACCGCTTCAGTAAAAAATCTTTCATGAAAAGCTTTTTTATATGAGACAAAAACCATCCTTAAACAAATCAAACAGATTTTTTAATGAAATTATTTTTTTATTCTATTAAAAAAAGTATGCTTTAAAAAGCTTTCTTAAGAGCTTTTTTCAAAAAAGCTTTTTTAACAATTTTTTTAGAAAGCTTTGTTATTTTATAAATTCTTAAAAAAGCATTTTATAAAAACAACGAAAGCTTTTATTTAGAACTCTTTATTAAGAAAATTATTAAATATTTTTTGAAAAGCTTTTCGAGATAAGAAACTTTAATTAAAACACTTTTCAAGAAATAGAGTATATTTTTACGAAATGTTAAAATTGTTGATAAAAATTTTTAAAATAAATCCTGAACAATCACAAAGCTAATAATCGAAATATCAGTAACCAAAGTCATTTCAAACAGTGCTTTTTTGGTACCAAATTAATAAAGTGTTTAATTATGTGAAAGTAGAAAAAAGAAGCCAAACTAAAATGCAATTTAAGTTGGTTTTCAAAAACGCAAATTAAGAATTAATAAGTTTTATACAAATATTTAAGCCAACTTAATAGAGTTTACAATTCTTTTTTTTTCATCAAATGCAACTAATTAGAAAAAACTTTAAATTATTTAATTTATTTTTTTGGTAAAAGGTTTCAATAGTACAAGTACTTAAATCTTGTGACAGCAAATCACAAAATTATACAAAAAAATTTGTAAATTATTTTCAATATAGATTTTTTTTTTTTTTTTTTTTTGATAAATATTTAGCAATTATTATTTTGTAAATTTATTCAATTAAATTGATTTGGTAAATTCTTACTTACAGTTAAAGTTTGCTGATGATTAATATGGACTGTAAATTGCCTGGCGGTGTTATTTGAACTGATATAGTGGTTGTAGGTGTAATGGTATTGTATAACTGGTGGAGTTTGCTGGTGGTTGTTTTAGTTTAATATTTCAATATATATATATTGTTAAGTTTTGAAAAAGGATTTAAAATGTTTTGGTAGTGGTTGGTTGGTTGTTTGATAGTAGTAGTAGTAGTATTTTTAGTTTGGTGGTGGTAGTTTTTGATGGTGGGGTGTACATTCAAGAGTTCAAGCATGTTGTTTATTTTGATATTTTATTTAAGGTTGAAGTAGTAGATAGTAGTTAGAGTTAATTGCCATTCAATAGATTTATAGTTGAATTTGTTTGATGTTTGAGTATTTAAGATGATGATTAGTAGTTTGTATAGGTTTTTTTTTTTGTTTTTGGTTATAATGAGTGTTTATTTCAGTTTCAATTTTTAGCCATTTGTAGCGATTTTTTGCCAGTGTTTCAATTCAATTGTTAAAATTTTTGTTTTTAAGGTGTTGTTTGGTTTTTTGTGTGTATTGATTGTTTTCAATTTGTTTTGAATTTAAATTTGCATTCGCATTTTGTTAGAAGTATATGGGAGTAGTCGCATAGAGATCACAGGATTTTAAATAATAATTTAATATATATTTTTTTTAGGTTTTTTTTTTTTGTTGTCATAGTTGCAGTTGAGAAACATTTAGTATTTGTTGGTGTGTTGTGGTTGGGAATTGTTTTGATTTTTATTTAAAAATTATTTCAGTGTTTGGTTTTAATGAATAAATTGTAAAAAAACGTAATAAGTAAGTAAGGTGTTAAAAATTATATTTTTTAAATTAAATAGTTATAAAAAGGACTTGTTAAGGGTTGAGTGTTAAAACAGGAGAAAAAAATTTAAAATTAGGAAAGTGGGTGAAAAGTGTTTCTTTAATCAAAAAAAGTGTTTTGTTAGTGATAAGAAATTAAAAAAATAATATATAAAAAAGCCAAAAACTTAAAATAAAAAGTAATTGGAAACTTTTCCAAAATTAAAATCTTCTTTAGATGGGTTTACATATTTTTTGTAGTTTATGCCAATTTTGTTACTACTTAATAAGAGAAAAATAATGCTTAAAAATAAATGTTAGAATATGTTTTTTTTTTATTTTTTGTTTGATTGATAAAATAGCATTCCATGTTAAGAAATTTGTTTACAATAAATAATTTTTTTTTTAAGAAACTCAACATTTAGAGACATTCTAAAAGCGTTATGTTAAAATTTTGTTTAGTTTATATTGATAATTATAAGTTATGTTTTCGATTTGATTTTGTTAAATGTTAGTGTTTCTTGATGTAATTTTTTCTTGAAATAATGAGGATTTAATGTTAAACATAAAGATTTAAAAACATATAATAGTTAAGGATTATTACAACAAAACTCTATGAGAATTTTTCTTAAAGTTGTAAAAAGTTTTTGATGTAATTTATATTACTATAAACATTTATTCTAGTTTATGAACTAAAATATTAATATTCATTTGGAAATATGAAGAACTACTTTAGACAAACGTTGTTTTATAATTATACATTTAAAGCCTTCTTAGTAAGTTATGCTAAGACCCCTTTATAATCTGCTAGAGCACTAATCAGCTTCACATTCTATTCATCAAACTATGACAGCCAAAGTATCTATGACATATCTTATGTATAATAAATCAAGTAAGAATTTATAGTCGGGCATGGCCGACCATATGATACTCTACACGAGTGATTATGTTACAAATTTTTATTGTTTTTTTTAATAATAAAGTATTTAATTTCATGTTTACCTTAATTCAGAAATATTTTAATAGTTTGTTGACAAAAAAAGGGATTTTATAAACGAGGAGTTATAAAAATTTTGGTAGAGGGATTTACACCTACATCAATTATTTATGCAGAATATCATCATAGTGATATTAGTGTTTATAAGTGAATTTTGACCATCTGAAGGGGACTTAGTAGGGGGGATAATGTCAAATGAGGCCCGATCATTATGAAAATCAGCAATATCATTAAGGCTTACATACATCTAAATTTTTGTAGAGTGTAGAGTGCTCACAAGGTTTATATGGACACACAGACGGACGGAAAGACAAACAGACCGACAGACAGACAGACAGACAGACGGACAGACAGACAGACGGACAGACAGACAGACAGACAGACAGACAGACAGACAGACAGACAGACAGACAGACAGACAGACGGACGGACGGACAGACGGAAAACAGAAAGTGGTTCTGAGCCGATTGGTATACTTTTGGGTGTGAGAAACATCAGCACAGACGAATAATACCGTTTTCAGCCGTTAACTTTTTGGGTATTAAAAACAATATATAACAACATATAACAGTGAAGCTGCGTGTTTTTGTTGTTTTCACAGTGTTCAGCAAGAGATGGTTTGTGCAATTCGGAAGTAGTGACATAGAAAACAAAGATAGTTCAACTCAGCCAAAAAAGTATAAAGTCAAGAATTGGAGGCATTACTCCAGGAATGAAGTAGAGAAAATGGTGTGAGAGGTGAGTGATAGCATAGCTACACTACCAGTTACATAGAAAAGACTTTCTGGAGCACAGAGAAGGAAGTTGAAAAAGATTGCTCAGGAAATCCCACGACACTCCCAAGGAAAAATCAGTCTCTCTCACATGATCTGAGGCAAAGAGGATCAGGTTTCTCAAGGAGTTTACAACTGAGAATAAACATAAGAAGAAAAAGAGCTCCCCGTCATCCAATATACAACGCCAAGGTAGTGTATCTCAAAAGAAGCCGAAAAAGCTAGGAAGGAGAAGCTAGGCGGTGGAAAAGGAAAAGAGCCGCCATTTTACGCCAAATTTGCCAGAAGAAGACACCAGTTTACGATGCCGGTAATCCGGAACAAAGTAAAATAGAAGACCTGGTCAACAATACGCAATACGGAGTACGCAATCGCTTCATAGGGCAAACAACCCAGAGAGAGCGTAAGCTAGTTTTACCATGGGGGTGATATTGATGCTACAACTCACCAATGTTTTAGCATTTGGTGAAAAGTATCCCTCTTCCCTGGGAGAGTGGTAAGCTGGGACTGGCAAAGAAGAACGAGCTTCCAGTGCTCTTAAAGTCTAGACTTAAAAGGATGAGGCAATAAACTGGCTAATGAACGTATACTGGAAATTCTTGGTGGTCAAAATGCTGAGCTGGTCGTGGAGGGATGTCTTTTACAGGAAAGAAGAATGGGAGGGAACTTTATTTGTAATAGGTATCGACCAGAACTCCATGGCTCATCAATACAACAAGTCTCGAAAAGGACACTAAAAAACCTAAGAAAACAGCATCAGTAGCCCCTACTGATACTGAATATTTAACAGCTCATAGTAAAATTGTTTTTTATTTTATTATATTCTATTTATTATTATTATTTTAAAAATACTACTGGCTAAACATTTAAATAATTTACCAAAAATTACACCAAAAAATTTTGTTAACACTAAAATTCTCATAGAATTTGGTTTTTTGAACTAAACATAAAACACATGAATAATATAAAAATAACACCGAAACTAAACAATTATAATTTAAAAAAAAGACATTTAAATAAATAGATTTTTTTAATTTTTTCCCAATAAATAAAGACAACAATAAAATGCAATTATACAAAGTTGGGGAATGTTATTTCACATGTATTAATAAGTATCAATTAAAAAGGGTATTAGTAAAGATTTCAATTGTTAATATGAGAGTTAGATAGAAAGAGAGAGAGATAGATAGTTTTCAATAAATTTTGAAAAAAAGGAAAAGGATATTGAAAGTTTTTTTTTTGTAATTTTTAATTTAAGTTTAAATTTTAAAAAGTGGTTTAATTAAAATTTTTATCAAATTAATTAAATTGTTTGTTTAAAGCTCAATAACCTTTTCCTTTTGTTTAAATGTTTATGTATGTAAGTGTTAAGTATTATAGGAGCGATCGAGAGAGAGATAGAGATAGATAGAAATTGAGATAGTGTTTTAAAGTGTTTTTGTACTTACATCGTGCTGTTGTTGTTGTTGAATTGAGAATAGAGTACGTGATGAAATTTAGTTGGTGTTTTTATTTATTGGTTGATGATGAGTTTTATTTTTTTTTATTTCAATAATTGTAGAAGAAAATTGTTGTTTTTTTTATTTAAAATTTTGATGAGATGATATAATTGTTTATTGTTGTTGTTAGAGAATTTTAAGAAGAAATTGGAGAAAATTTCAGATTGGCAAAAAATTTGTTTTTTTTTTATTTTTTGGTTTAACGAAAGATTTGATGATGTTGGATAAATGGAATTTGTTTGTATTTATTTGTATTTTCATGAGTGTTTTAGTGTTTTAAATTGTTAGTTTGAAAAGGTGTTGTTGGTTTGGTTTGGTTGATTTGTTGTTGGAGTTGTTGCATGTTTTAGGTTTAATTTTATATAGTTTAATAGTATAATATATTTATAGAGTATGTAGATATAGAGAGTTGTATATAGTTTATTTTTATATATTGTTTTTTTTTTATCATATATGAGTTGCATATAGATTTAAGGTGTTTTGTAGGGATTTGTTGTTGTTTTGGTGTTGGTGGTTGTTGCCAGTGTTTTCAAATTTGTTGGGTGTTGTTTTTGATCATATTTTTGATATTTGTTTATAGTTTTTTTTTTAGTAAAATTTTGTTTTTTCAGACCCCATTTTCGTAATTGGTTAACAGTTTTTTTTGAATTGATTTTGTATTGATTTGATTTTTTTTGTGGTACACATAAACAAATTATGAAAAAAAAGGAAATTAAAAAAAAGAAATATATGAGATTAATAATATTCAATGACTTATGATTAAAATGAGTATATAATATTTTTATAATAAATAGTATTTTATATATATATTTTTATAATAAAGTAATAATATCAATAAACATAATCATATCATATTCATAATAAATAGTAACGTTAATAATAATATTATTATTATAATAATTTTAAAAAATATTTATGTATATATTTTGAATATTTGCTGTGTAAATATTTATGTTTTTTTTAGTAATATTTATATATATATTTATTAAACTGTCACCTATTCAAGTTCTTAAAGTTTTACTAAAGCTTTAAGTTAAATTAGTGATATTTTTCTTGTCTGTTATTTAAATATTTTTCATTTTGCCATAAACTGTAAATTAAACTTTAGTTTCTTAAAAGTTTAAAAACCCTAAGTTTTTTTTTTAAACAAAATTAAATAAAGTTAATAAATAATTAAATACATAACACATACATTCCAACGAAAAAAATTAAAATATTTTTTTTCTCTCAATAAACATGACAAAAAAAGATAGTTTTGCTTAAAACAAAACTCTTTTAAAAGTTAATATAAATGTTAAAGTTATTTTATTAAAATATCTTTTTTCTTTCTTTTTTGTCCTCCTTAAGTTTACACAATCTCGTTTATTTTTTGTATACAATTAAATAGTTAAATAAAATACTTATGAAATAGGTTTAAAAAAGATAAAAAATTTTCAATAATTACCCCAAATTCCATCCATAAGGCATCCACTATACTGCCCAAGACTGTGATTAAATCAAAGATATTCCAGGGATCTTTAAAGAAATTCTAGAAATAAATTTACCACAAATGATTAATTTCATAGAAAACAATTCTTTCAATTCAAAAACTGAAATTTGCAATGTTTTTTTTTCTGTTTGCTCCTTTTCTAACCTACCGTTATGCCAAATGCTATAACTTTTAAAATTGTTTCCGTTAAAAAGAACAAGGTAAATATTTGATTCATATTCGCTAAGGTCTCGCTGTGTACGCTGGGTGCATCGTGGAACTTTTAATTTTAGTTAATGAATTTGACAGACAAAGTGAGGAAAAAGTTAAATGAGATAGAAAGAGAGAGAGAAAGAGGAAAAAGTATATGCCAGTTTTGTAATAATTTGTTGAATTATTAAAATGTCTAAAATGTTTATGCCTTTTGGATTTCATTAATGCATTGAATCTTAAATAAAATAAGGATTTAAATAAAAAACTGAAATTTTTCTAAAAAAGTTTTTGTGTTAATGTACAGTGTTTAATTGAAGTGTATTCAGATAATTACATATCGGCCGAAAGTGCAGAATTAAAGCGAACATTCCAAATCTCTTAAAACATTCGAGAACTAATAGTCCTTGATCTTAGAATCTACTTCTAAAGACCTCAGAACCCGATTTTTGTCTTAATTTATACATATGTCATTTTGAAGAGTACATATCTGTCATTTATTCTCTCTTAGCTATTAAACATTATAGTGTTTTTTTGCATATGAGTGCGACTGAAGCACAGCATCGGTTTCAATGTCCCAGAGGCAAATTTTGCGGTTCAGAAAATCTCACAGGCCGGTCAAAAAAAAATTGAAGTCCAAGAATCGGAATATTGTTGTCAAACTCCTCCAGAGCATGCAAAGTCATAGGAATCTATTCACGTAGCAATTTCAAAACATTAGTGAGAAACAAGATTCACGAGATGAGTTGAAAGACGATTTTGCTCGAAGAACCAGCAATTAAACAAGTAGTAAAGTAAAATATAGGAGTTAGGGTCAAATTTGGGCCGATCCTCAAAAAATTGGGAGGAAGGATGTATTTTTATATAAATGTTAGTTATGTTGAATTTCATAGCGATACTAATGTCAATTTTTGGACGTTTAAGATATTTTCCAAAGGGCGGTTTGTATAGGGACTAGGGTCAAACGAAGGCCGATCATTATAAAAATCGGCATGGTCATTTTGCATATATAAAACTTAATTGTGTTAATTTTTGTAGAGATAGTAGTATATTTGACGTAGTTCTGACTTTAAAACCCCAAATCCGAAGGTCAGGGGCTAGGTGAAATAATGGACCGATTAAAATAGACATCATTCTTGTGCAGAAAAACGCACATCGTAAAAACTACATATTTTAAGAAAAATAGCAGGGAAGTTTATAGTACAGCCGCTTGTCCGTCTATCTACTATTTGTTTCGATCCGGGATACGCTTCACTTTAGAACAGGGTACCCGAAATGGTCTTAAGTTATACCTTCTCCGTCCGTCATCTTATGATCACAAATATTTTATATTCAAATGGGCTAAATTGAACAATTTGAAAAATATTTTTAAAGAAAATGTCCGCCTGTAATTTGATTTTCGGGATATTTATATAAAAACTCTAGCTGTTAAAGACGCCTGACATACGATTTTTCATATTTTTTTGTATGGCAGGTACCACGCCCACCATTGCTTGGATGGTTATTTGTTCTTGTGAAATCTTTGGTTGAGGTGCCACGCCCACTATTGTTAGTTTAGCATTTTTGATCTAATATTTTTAAACTTTTGTACGATTATCTTACAATAGTTAGTATCTTACTATAAAAGCAGCTTTATTTTAATGCTGAAACCTATTTGATTCCTTTGCAGATAATTGGTGCTCAAATATACTTAGAAAAATATCATGCTCCAATGCAATATTAATAATTAAAAAAAAATCTGTGACTTGTATTAAAACTTACAAAAGCTGTTCTTAAAACTCATGCTTAATAAAGCTTTACACAATTTACCATATTCACTTACTTATTCACTTTTTAAGCCCCAAAAAAAAACATTCCACATTTCGAGACAAAAAAAAAAACATTGCAAATTTCAACGTTTACTTTTTTAATTTTAAATAATCTACTTTTTACAAATATTTATAATTAATAACACTTACCTTTACACCAAATCCAATTATTTTCAGTACAGTTTCAACACTGAACATTCCTGTGAATCCCATGTTGATATACTTCAGCGATTTCTCATACATTTCACCTTGATTATGGTACTAATTTTTGAGGGGGAGGGAGTGTTTTTTTTTTATTAAAAATATTTTATTTTTTAAAAATTAAAATCTTTTATTTCAAAAAAGATTTTATATACTAGACATTTAAATACTAAACTGTAGCAGCAGTTTGTTTAGTAGACAAAGTTTTTACATTGATTGAGCTTTAAAAATAATAATGATTGTTTAAAGGAAAAGGACATAATTTTTTAAAGAGTTGGGAAAAAAAAGGAAAACTATCGAAGGGGGTTTAATTTTAGGAAATTTTATTAAAACCAGAATTAATATTAAGATATATAATATCAAAATTATACCTTTTATTTTGAGTAAACAAATCGAAAATGGATCTTTCTTTTGATCAATACTCTTGCCGCTTTTAATAATTTAAAATACTTTTTGTATATCGAGGAATATGAAATTAGCTTTTAGTGATTTTTCATTGGAGAATATGATAATGTCAGATTCCTTTTATATTCTGTGACGGCTCTTACTGATTTGAAAGAGACATGGAACATTAAATACTACATATTGTACATTTTGTCATCACGTTGTATATGTATATACTTTGACAACGGATGTTATTGAAAAATTTGGTACTAGGCGTGTATATTTCTTTTTCCCTCTGTGTAGGTATCAAAATTACCAATAGGCAAGTGCACGGACCATTCCATAGAATAGTCAGTCGAAAATTTCATACACTAGTCAATCGACTAGTATATAGATTAGTCCATGGAAAGGTCAATAAGTAAGAGCAGAGACTAGTCCATAGAATAGTTTATAAGTAGTCCATAGACTAGTTTATGCAATAGAATATTTAAAAAAATAGTCAATCGACTAGTCAATGGAGAATAAAATAATCTCATTAACAGATAATTGAAGAGACTAGGCAAGTGCAAAGATTAGTCCATAAAATAGTCAGTCGGCTAGTTTATGGAATAGTAAATCGAATAGTCAATTGACAAACCAACAGACTAGTTGCCAATAACCTTGTCAATAGGCAAGTGAAATGACTAGTCCCTAAAATAGTCAGTAGACTAGTTCATAGAATAGTCCAAATAATAGTGAACAAACTATTCAATAGATAAGTGCTTAGACTAAAATAGCCCATAAAATAGTTAGTCGACTAAGTAATCCATCGAATAGACAATCGACTAGACTATAGAGTAGTCAACAAACTTGTCAAAAAACAGTCAATCGACTAGTCAATAAATTTTATAAGACTAGTCCATAGATATACATACTTATGTAAATCTGGACTAGCCCATGGACTATTTCAAAGTCTAGTTCATAGACTTAAGCATGTACTATAGACTGGTTAGTAGACTCGTCCATAGATTTGTTTACTCCAGAAATATTTTCATGAGATAAAAAACGAAAAGTAACTTAGTACTTTTTGATAGAAGTTCGGTCTATTTGGGATAAATATCATAGTTGATGAGCCCTATTAAATAAGATTACTAAAGGCGGTACTATATTCCTATAGTTATTATACCCTTAATAGTTTAAAAACATTTTAAGAAGTTTGGAGATAAATTTTATTTTAATTTATATCCATCAAACTTTCTTAAATTTCTTAAAATATGAAATAATTTTTCAAATTAATAGATTTTACACAAAAAAATACACAACATGCTAAATTAAGAAGAAATATGAAATTTAATTATGAGTTATAATTACTTTAAAAGGCCGTTAAAATAAACATAAAGCACAGATTTTTGTATAGAATTTTGTTTAGCAAAATATAAACAGTCTAAACCAATAATAATAGTGCTTTTTTGAGTATTGAAATAGTTTTTTCGGGAAATTTGGAAAAACAAAAATGTAATAATTTAAATTAAACTAAATAAAATGCATTTTTAAAATCCATTTTTATATAACTCTGTATATAATAAAAATTAAAATTATATATTTTTTCATAAAAATACTTACCTTCATCATTAATAATAAGGTATTGAACACAATTAGCATCATTATAAAATATTCGAATGGTGTCGATACGACAATACGCCATACTTTATATTTAAATGTATTACGATTTTTGGGCATGTAACGTTCTAATGGTCGTGCTCCTATTGTAAAGTCTATACATGATTTCTGTAAAATATATATTTATATTTTTAAATATTAATTAAATTTGTTTTTGTAATTAAAATAAAATAAGTGCTTGTTATTTTTTATTTTAGGTTAGTTACACATATAGTTTACATATACTATTTTTTTTTTTTATTTTTTTGTTAGCTGATTTTATGGAAATAATATTTTTTTGGTATATATGTAAGTATATAAATGACATCTAAAGCAGAGTTAGTTGTTAGATATTTAGTATAATTTTTTATAATTATATATAATCTATATAATATTTTTATATTTTCTAATTATAATGTGTTTTAAAGTAAATTAGATGTGGTTCAGGGATTTATTTCAAACCCTAAATGTTTAAGGAAGGATTTTCACACAGTTCTGAAAGTACTTTTCGAAAGTGTATTAGTAAGGGTTACTTTGTTAAGATTTGACATCACTAAGATAACCCTTCAAAAAATGTGGGCAGTAATAACATGACCACGCCCACTTTATTTGCCGATTTTGATTTTATGTTTTACGAATTCTCTTTTGATTACTATTTAAAACAAAAGTTTACGAATATAAGAATTTACTTTAATAATCAGAACTTAAATATCTGTATGGACCACGCCCACTTTTAGAAATTTAACAAATATATGTATATACAATACATTTAAAAAATTCCTTTTAAATTTGACTCACAAGGACCCTTACCGTGAAAGGACATAGGCCTGTCTGCTATGCAGACGATGTCGTAATAATTTTAAAGGGAAAGGATCCAAATTATCTGTATAGAAGAGCTGAAGAGGCTCTGAACACGGCCTTGAGCTGGGCTCAACCGAGAGTTCTCGTTGTTAACCCGGCGAAGACGGAAATCTGTATGATCACAACTTTGCTTCCTAGACAAGAAGATACCGGTGAAGGACAAAGTTAAGATGTAGTCCTTGACCGGAAATTATAATGGATGACTAACACAAAACCATTCGACGCAACAAAAACTGAATTCAAAATATGGGTGAGAGAATCCCAAAGATCCTATGGGGTGGCCCTGATGAGAGCAAGACGAGAAATCTCCTCAAACTAAGCAAGTCTGAGGTACGTATTCTAAGTGGACACACATGATTAGGAGCACATCTACACAAAGTTGGACGTGAGGATTCAGACGAATGTAGAATGTAGGCATTCGTCCAGGAAACAGAGTTTCTGAACATTGAAAAATAATACATTCAGTGAACAAATTTTTTTTCATGAAAAGAAGCGCACAACAGGCCCTTTAGTGGCCTAGGTGTATTTCTTCAGATTTGATGTAGTATACATCCTCTTATTAACCTAAACGAATAAATATTCTATATAAAAAGTAGGCGTGTCCTTATTATAACTACGCCTACTTATTTAAAGCATTTTCTTATAAGTCTTGATTCAGTTTATTAGTTTTTAAGTTATTGCTTTGTACTCAATAATACCGAAAATTGCACTAACACACGAAGTGTACGTGGGCATGATATAACCGCCCTTATTTTGATGGGGTTATTCTAATTCTTATTATGAACATATGTAGGTAATATGAAGTATATACTTCTAAATTTAGACTTTTGTGATTGCAGTTAAAATCGTACAATTTCTTAGAAGTGTTTGGAATATCAGCCAACGTGAAGTTCGTACTATTTACGTGGAGGTAAAAAGCCTTATTCGTGGAGTATGCTTGTATAGAGGCTCACCGACTTCAAGCACAGAAGCGTCCGCGCCAAATTCAATCAAAATTGCGACTTGTAGCGTGCGCATAAGATTTACATGGAGACACAGACGGACATACTGACGGACAGACCGATGGACATAGCTTAAACGACTTAGAAAGTGATTCTAAACCGATTAATGTATAATATTTTAAGGTGGATATAGGACCAATATTTTTGGTTATAATATCCTTTCCACTATAATGGTATTATGAATAGTTTCTTACCAACATCTAATTACTTCAAAAACACATTAATTAAATGATGTTTGCTCTATTTATTTTAATTATGTTTCTATAAAAAATAATAAGCATTTTAAAATAAAAAAATAAAAAAAAAATATTTAAGTTTAAAAGCAGCTCACTATAAAGCAACATACAAACCTGTTTCAATAATATGTTATTTTTTCATTTTTTTTTTTTTTTTTTGTTCGATAAAGAAGCGATTCTATCAAAAACATTTTATTTTGAAAGTGTTTTTTTTAAGCAAAATAAAATGTCTCAGATAAAATATATTTTAAACAAATTTATACACTGAAAAGTACATAAACTTAATGAACTTCCGGAAAATGTTCAACATTTATACACATTAAAAATGAAAATATTTAAAAAAAATTAAAAATTTTTTTAACGAAATAAACATATATGAAATGTAGTGATAGTTGACCGTAAAGGTCTTAAATCTAAAAGATTTGGAAAAAGGTTGTGAAAGATTTTTGGAAATTTTTATTTGCAAAAGGAGAGACTAAAAACTAGCAAATTTTAGTTATTATTATTTTTTTTTTTTTTGCAGCTAAATTTAAGTTCAGCTAATTGTTTTTATACATGAGACTATAAACTAAACTTGAAAATGTTTAAGTTTGATTTTTTTTTTTTGGAATTTTTTTTAGCAAATTTGGAAATATTTTTTTGTAATATTAGTAAAAGCAGTTTTAATTTACACTAAAGGCTAAATTTTTTTTGTAATATATGATTAAGACAAACATTTATGGTACAACAAACACATCTATTATTAGTTTTTTGGTTAATAATTATTACAATCAATTAAGTTTTCTGGCAATACCAATTATTTTGATTTTTTTTTTCGATAGTTAATAAATTTAGATAATTTGTTTTTTTTTTGTTAAGTTGGTTTTAATTGTGACATAAAGTTCTTAATCTCACCTGATTTTTATCAATTTCACCGTCTTGTAATTCAGCTTCGCCTTGTTCTTGGAATGTAATGATAATCAAGGCCACGAATATGTTTACAAAGAAGAATGGAAATACAATAAAATATACGATATAAAATATGGACATTTCGATCCGGAAATTTTGTATTGGACCCCTATCTTCATAAGTGGCAGCCATGGAGTGTTGCAGTACTCTAAATTAGTTTTTGTAATACAAAATTGTTGATTTTGTTTGGTTGGGTGAATATATATTTTTTTAAATTTTTTTTAATAAATCAATTAAGGTGTTAAGATTAAGTGTCAAGTGTTTTAAGTTAATTAATAATTAGTAATAGTAGAAATAAAAATATATTTATAAAATAAAACTTAGTAAACAAATGATCTTACTGTGGCCATCCTTCGCCCGTTTGTACTGCAAATAGTGTTAACATCGCTGCTGCCACATTGTCGTAGTGAAAGCTACGTGGTTTCCAAATGCGTAACTCCGGTCTGGGCAGCAGTTCTCCTTCTTCATATTTAAAATATGAACCCCTTTTTTTATGGTTTGATTTAAAGTTGTGTGTTTGTTTTTTTTTTCAAAAGTTAAAGTTGAGTTTGGTTTTTAAATTTTGTTTTATAAAAAATTTTTATAATAAAATTAAATTTTTTAAAAAAAAATTAAAACTACAAAAATCATAAAATTGTTAGCTATTTTTTAAAATAAAATAAAAAAATGAAAATCTTCTACAAAATGGTTTATGTTAAAATGGCTTTTTAATGGTTGTGTAAGTGTTGGGTTTGAGTTTTGTTTGTTGGTGGTGGTGGGGTGTGAAATAAAGCTGTTTTCTTAAAACTTAATTTACAGTTTTATTTTTTTCAAATAATTAGAAAGATAGTTAGAGAGACAAATAGATGTTACACAAATAAGGCGTAAAAAATAGCAAATGTTACAAAATCGATACATAAAAAAGCATTTTGGTTGATAGGAGTATTTTAGCTGTTGTTAAAAGAAAATATTTTTTAAAAATATTTCAAAATTATAAAATTAAAAAAGCTTTAACTTAAAATGTTTTCATAATGAAATATATGAGTTTTTGTATGTAGACTGTTTCAAATGTTTTAGAAGAGTATATTTGTGGAGTTTTTTTTGGTTTTTTGTAGACCTAGTTTATTTTTAATTTTTTTAAGGAAATTATGTTTCAATATTGTGAGCATTCTTTTTAAATTTAAGCGTTATTTATTTTTTTTTTTAGAAAGTATGAAAGTTTTATTACGTTTTACAAAAAGTTTAAATGATACAGTGTTTTTGTTGCGGGTTGAGCAAAGACTTTATGAAATTGTAAAATTTTGTTTAAAACCTAAATTAATACCTCTGGCAAGTAAAGCAAATGGTTTTAATATTATTTTTTTCTTTTTATTTTACAGATAAATTCTTCAAATCCGAAAAGGTAAGCAATATATATATTTTATTACATTTTTCCAAAAATGTTTTATTTTTTCTTACTTATAGCTGTATTATGACAGGGTTTTATAATGAATTTGGGAAGTTTTTTTAATTTTCTTTAGAAAATTTTCTTTTTAAACTTTATACACGCTTTATAGCAAAAGCTTTTTTTAAGAACTTGAAATATCTTGTTTAAAATTCCTTATCTCTTTCACATATATAAGAACCCTTAGTCCCATGGATATTTTAAAGTTTTTTTGAGGGTTAAAAAGCTTTTTCTGAAAAAAAATTTTTTGTTTAAATTTTTACTTACTTTTATGGTATAACAGTTTGAGAAAAGTATTTTACAATGACTTAGTAAATTTATTTATTTTTAAAAAGCTTTTAAAAAACGAATTCAAAGCTGTGTAAAGAATGTTAAGCAAAAACGTCCACTTCTTAAAAGCTTTTAAAAACCCTTATAAGTGTAGACGTCTTTGCTTAACATTCTTTACACAGCTTTCAAAATATTTATAAAAAAATCTGTTAAACAGAAAGTTTTTCAAACAATTATAAAAAAGCTGTTTTAAAAAAGCTTACATTTGCTTCGAATACACTTTTTTAAAAGTTTTGTTAGTAGAATTTTCTTTAATAAAAATCTTTATAAAGTTGTTTAATATTTGTAAAAAAAAGCTTTTTATTTGGAATATTAAAAAAAAGCTTTTACAAAGAAAAGTTTTTTATATATATTTTTACTTTAAGAAATGTACTTTTTGAAAGCTTTTTTAGAAAAGCTTTTTCAAAAGAAGTGGAGGTTTTTCTTTTTATAAAAAAGTGGTTTTAGAAAAAAGCTTTTTTTTAATGGATGTTGGGTGAGGCTTTTGTTAAATATTATTTAAAATATTTTCAAAAGTGTTGAAAATCTTTGTAAAAAAGTTGTTTTAAAAAAAGCTTTTGGTCATAATTGCATTAGCATGTTATTTTCCAATAGGATTTAAATTGCTTTGTTTAATAGCTTTCAAAAGCTTTTAAGAAAACTGTTATTTTGGAAGCAAAGCAATATAAGTTTTAAAGTCTTAGATTTTCATTAGAAAATGTTTTTCAAATTCTTGGGAAAACCATTCCGAAATACATATTTATGAAAGGCTGTTTTATAAAAAACCTTTTGAGAAAATGTACTTTTTGAAAACTTTTAAAATTCTTTAAAAGCTGTTTAACACTTTCTACAAAAAGCTTTTGAAATATTTCAAAGAAAGCTATGTTTGAAAAAATAGCTAATGCTTTCTTCACAGCTTGCAGCCTGATATAACAATAAATTGATAAAAACTTCTTTTCGTAGTTTTTGAGATATCGTGCGTTGAACTTGACGGACGGACAGCATCGTTAAGTGGAATGAGAAAGTGATTTTGTGTCTATTTAAACATCCTCAGATAGGTGTGGATTCTGAATTTTTATTCGTTTTAAACAATATTTACAAAACATAATACCATCCGCACTATAGTAGTATAGGTTATAAATGCCATAAATATACCGAAAACCCAGAGTTTTCAGGATTTAGGTGAAGTTATTTCAAAGAAGAAAAAAGATATGTCAGATATTAGGCCTTTATTTTAAAGCTTATAGAATAGAGTTTCAGATGGCATACACTTTTGGATTGGCGCGGTTATAATGTCTCAAAATTCCGTTTTCAGGACACGATATCTCAAATTTTAGACGTCATGGTGATGTAGATTCGGATTCAGCTCAATCTTTTAGAAACGTTTAACTTAGTCTCATGTTTTCGACTTTTTTCAAATGTTATCGACCTGTGTAATTCCTTTTACAGAGGAGTATTTTTCTCATAGCGTCTGAGTTTCACTAAAGTAGTATATAATGGTTCTTTTCCTTAATTCTGGTACTTTTTCCTCATTATGGTACTTCTGCTTATATATGTATATTTAAATACATATTTTGAAGTCATATGCTTTTATAAAGTGGATTCCTTTTTAAAAATCTTTGCCAAAAAAAAACACTGTATCATTTTATAATCAGTAATTAATAAATAAATTCTTTTTGTAAAAGTTTCATTGCACACGAAGGCAAACAATCAAAAGATTTAAAATCTTTTTATTTTGTTTAAAAAAATGTTTCTTGTGGAAAAAAAACGTTTCTTTTGTATTATATTTACAAAAACAAGTAATGAGTGTGTTGTAAGATTATTAGATTTTGTTTTTTTTTTAACTTTTTAGAACATTTATAACAAATAAGAAATAAAACAGATAGGAATGGTTTATTGTTTTTTTCAAAAATTAAATTTTTTAACTAAAAAAAAATGCTAAATATTATATCTTCGATTTTTTTATGAGTTTTGGTTAACAACTAATGAAGCTAAAATGTTTATATATAATAATTTTGTTTTGTTTACGTTTAGCTTTAACTATTTGCTAAAATTTTAAGCTTTTTTTTTCTTTTGGAAAATTAACTAATTTAAGAAAAATTTTTTTAACACTAATTGTTTAATAGTTTTAGAATTTTTAACTAATTAAATATATATATTTTTGGATATATTGTTGCTAGCAGCTTTAAAGTTGGGCAATTATGTTATTTAATTTTAATTAAAAAAAAAACAAGGTAATTCAACTAATTAAAAATGAGCAGTAATATTGTTGTAGTTGCTGTTTTGTAGTGTTTTATTATTTCTTTTTTACTAATAAATCCAGACTTGAGAATTTCCTGCGTTTTTTTTTCATTACTTTAGAAATATGCAAAATCAAAGGCATATCTCTAAGTTTATGGTTTGTTTTTAACAAATTGCTTTAAGTGAATTGGAATTTAGAGCGCGTGTAATTTTTTTAGTTTTAAAAAGCTTATTAAGAAATCTTCTGGCAGTAGTATGGACTCTTTGGTATTTTAACAAAAAATAAAATACCCAATTCACAAGTCAGAAAAAAAAATTAAAAATTAACGCAGTTAATAGTTTATTTAATGTGATATGATTTAAAAATTATCATTACTTTAAGTTCAAGTCCTTTTACTACTCAAAATGCAAAATTTATTTAAATGTCAAGGCAATTCTCAAATAAAAATTCCTCATTAGCTGAATTTTCTTTCTTATACGAGTTTTGTTACAATATTATGGATCTTTTGTTAGTTACTCTTTTTGAAGCCAGTGTTTTGATTTTCAATTTGTTGAATTTTTGTTGATCATATTTTTGTTTAAACTTTCCATTTTTTGGGGGGATATTTTTTTGATTTAGTTTAGTTTTTTTCATTTTCAGCATTGTTTGCTTGCATGATTTTATTTACTGGTTGCAGTGCAGCAGCAGCAGTAATCAGGCAAATAAACAAGCGGGGAAACTTTAAAATGCTACTCTTACATTCTGTAAAATCTGTGCACGCATTTTGTTAAAATTTTCTTAATCAACTAAAAAAAAATGTCTGCAAAATTAAAAGAAAAGAAAACTATTCATTTAAGTCTTTTTTTATATATATATACATTTATGGGAAATTTAGAACTTTTTATTGCACGTTAAAATACCGTTTGTCTATTATTGCATGATTCCAGGCGGGCCAAAGTTGTACTTTCGTAAGAGTGTGATCTTGTTTTGAATGTTATTTGGTTTGAATGTGTGCAAGTTTCAGTGTGTTCTTGTTGTTTGATTTTGAAAGTGTTTCAATTGTTTATTTGTGTACAGACTTTCAGTGCAATTAAAAGTAATTATTTTAAAGTCGTCTTCTTCTTTTTTTTACATGGAACTTTAAAATTTTATTTAATATTTATTTCTTTTTAAGTTTTATTGATTTTACTTTTAACACTTGGCGTCATCGATGGTCATTGCTTTCATTTTAAAATAGAAATATTAGAAGAAACAAAAAAAAAACATCCTGAAGTTTAAATTGTTTTCATTTGAAATATCTAAAAAATGCGCTCTTTTCACAGAATCTGGTAGAATTCATCAAATCTGATTTCGTTTGCTAATTTCCTATAACTTTGCGAATGATGGTAGTTTCTAAATTAAGTTTTTTTTTTAGTTTTAATTGTGTTGAAAGATTATAACTGTTATAAAGAAATTGTAATTTAGGCCATAAGTCCATTTTATGGCATAGAGTCTCTGACGAAAATCAAACTTTTATCTTATAGATTAAAGGGCCAATTCATTCTTTACTTCTATTAATTTTATAGTATATACATACACAGAGGAAAAAGAGTTATACACGCCTGGTACCAAATTGACAACAAACTGTTTATAATTTTTCAATAACATTCGTTGTCAAAGTATATACATACGTACGACAATACTATTTAATGTCGACAACTTTGCAACAATTCGTTGTCGAAATCTAAATTTTATACACATCCGTTGTCTAAAGCTCACTGTTGACAAACAATCCGTTGCCAATAGTGAGCTTACCACGTTTTTTAACATTTAGACAACGGATGTGTATAAAATTTAGATTTCGACAACGAATTGTTGCAATGTTGACAACGTTGCGTTGTCAACATTACATAGTGTTATCGTACGTATGTATAAACTTTGACAACGGATGTTATTGAAAAAATATAAACTCTTTGGTGTCAATTTGGTACCAGGCGTGTATAATTCCTTTTCCCTTTGTGTAGATATTTGTTTAGAAAATGTTTAAGTTTACCAATATCATTAAAACAAATTTGTCTGGAAAACATCAGTCGCCGATTTCGCAAATTTTTACTTGCGGCTGTTAAAATCTTAAATGGGTTCTTAGAAATTCTGCTTTTTTATAATAAAGCGGAAATTGCATGATTGAATTTATCAATCTGATTTAAAATTTTCATAACAAAAATTCCAACTTAGTACAAATAAAGAACAATGTCTAATAGACTTTTGGCCTTATAAGTTTAGCAAAATTATCACTTTATAATCTTTCGTTTTTCCACAATCAAAATCTGGCTAGCTAATTAAACTCCATCATTAAATATTTAAAATATACATAGATACTTATTTAACACTTTATATTTCTATATTATTAACCTAGTTTTAGTGATGACATTTTTCAACTTTTTAATATTATTCGAATAATATTTTGATTTACTGTAACATCTAGCAAACGTTATCTAATATTAACATTGAATACAACATTTAGTGACTAACGGCTCTGCAGCAAAATTGATTTATATATAATATATTGCTAATTGTGTGATGACTGCAAAACTATATCAAAATTATTCGAATAATATTGGAATACTTTAGTTGAAAGTTAACACATACGTAAATTTATTCGAATTAAATTCCTTTAAAGATTTTATAGTTGCTTCTCTTGCACTTTTGGACGAGGTGGTCTACTGGCGCCATAAGACAGACATGTCTTGTGACATTTTTAGTGTGTTCTCTAGCAGCTAGAGCTAGAGTGGGCGTGGCACCTCCCATATAAGGAAAATCCTAAATTAATATATCTGAGAAAATATAACAGTTAGAGTCTTAATTTTTTTCGGAGTCACTTTAGTATTAACATCAATGTTTAGGACAAAAAATGGGCGGACCAGAATGGGGGGCGTGTCACCTCCTATATGAATTAAATACTAAAATTCGTTTATATGGAAAACTATTGGAGATAGAATCTTAAAATTTTTTTTTCATAAGGAGATCTTGGCACCTGCCATATGAATTAAATATAAAAATTTGGTATATCTGAGAAACTATTACAGCTGAATTTCTAAAATTTTGCAAGGACAACTTTGACATTCTTGTGAATATTTGGATAATAAATTGGCGGACTAGATTTTATTGGCGTGATATTTCCCATATAAATTAAATGCAAAATTTCGTTTTTATAGGGAACTATTGGAGCTTAAATTTAATAGGGGCTTGGCACCATCCATATGAATGAAATAGAAAAATTCTTATATCTGGAAAACTGTTACAGCTAGAATTTTCAAAAATTGGTAAAGTAGGGTTTCCATTATATTGATTTTAAGGTAACAAAGCAGTCTGATGTGTAACTTTCTGAACTTCACGACTTCAACACAGCATCAGTCCTATCAATATCTGCAAGGCAATTTTTTTCTTCCTGATCCTGGTTTTAATCTAATATTCAAATTTTCTTTTTCTCGTAGTCCATTTTGACCGAAATACCAGTTGAAAATTAATGATTAGCAAAGATAATTTCTAGCATACGTTTTGAAGCTATCAAAAAAACTATATAATAAGACCAATGATATTTTGGCTAAAAGAGTTTTTTTTTTACTCATAGGAGTGGTTCAGAACTGAGGTCAGAGAAACCTATAAAATCTATTAGATAGTATAATAATTTTGGAGCTTCATGGTGCACTGTTTCGGAATATATACCACTTTGCATAATTTTAACTGACATGTCAGTCTGGAACCAATGGCGCTTATACATTTGTGATTTTCTACTAAATCGTGGCTTAGACTCAGAGAGTCCTGCGCAAAACATCATCCAATTGCAAATATAATGGTTGTCTATAGAGCAGAAAATAGACTCGAAATCAGATTACCGACAAGGGATAGTCATCTTTTGTATGCTAATACTGCTCTTTAAGACTATGCGTTCTAAAACCTGGATTGTCTTATTGTAATAGGTTTGAATGACTTATCAATAATTAGAGTTACTCTCTGTCAACTCCTCTGCAAAAATTGAGACAACTCCGCAAACGCATGTAAAGAGTACTCCTCAAAGGACTGGTCCAAAGCTATACCAAATATAATGAAAAATCATAGTCCTTTTAACATTGAGATGTCCTAGGTGAGGTCCACGTAATCCATCAATGCATTACATCGGAGTAATCCCAAAACAAGTCCCTTACTGAAATTTTTGTTGTACATGAACCACAACATGGTCCTATGTAATGCCCGGCCATGGATCATGTTGTTTTCAAAAATAATAAACATGATCCATACCTGAATTACATACAGGATTACTAAACGGATCATGTAATACAATAAAGTTTACAGGCGAGTAGTTTTTGGATTAGGTACACCAATGATTTTTGCAGGATCAGACTTCACTTTATCGAATTGATATTGGTTCTTAGTTATGAGGTGAATTACTACTGACAAGGAATATTCAATTATAAAAATGTTCATAGTGGAAACTTTTCACAACAGAATGCTCACATTCCTCTGGCCACAGAAACTAACATGATCTATGAATGAACGATAGGAAAATCGAAAATTAGAATGCTGTACAACACCAATTTTACAACAGCACAGTTTGAACTCAAAACTGTGTCGCTAATGAATCTAATCAAATTCATTAGTAGCAGTTGGTTTCCTCGGGAACAATGTTCCTTGTGAGCTTCCCATGTAACCCCAATATCAAAGCAATTTTCTATAAATTCATATTTTGGAATATTGATAGTACCAAGTTCTGGACTATATCCTAGTTATATAAATGATGCTTAAACAGTTTACTTAAATAATTTGACAGAAATTACGGAAGGGATTCAAGTTAAGTCTAAACATTTTTTATTAAAATTCCAATAAATGTACTCAGATCAACAAATGAATGCCTCGCAAAGGCTTACCCCCTTATTTTGTAAAACACTTCACCTTGCGTTGAAAATATTTTCATACAAATTTTTTAAAATACAAAAACAATTTATATGAAAAATGAAATAAAGTGAGGGGAAGGGATTTACAAAATAACCCCCTTAATCTCTGCATTGAAATATTTATCTAAAATAGTTCGGAAATTGATTTGCACATCATTGATAAGTTTATGCGACTATTTATAATAAAAAGTTATTAATATCGAGATATTAAAATATGTACATATATGTATTTCTATAAAATTACCTTTTATGCTGAAAAAAATTCATGTATGTGTTAATAAAATTAAGATATTCTCTAAAATATTCTAAAGTTTTAAATGTCATCACTAAATTTGTAAATTTGTTTGCTGCTATTTAGCAAAACAACACAAATAATATGAAATACACTAAATGTATTTACAAGAAATGAAAATCATCTAAAAATATTGGAAAAACTAAATAAATGAAAAATTAACATTTAACATTTAATAATGAAAATCATAAACATAAATATTGACTAGAGCCAAAACTATACATATAGTTAGTCAATATGGGGAAACGGAAATAAGTACATGTATAAATAAACAGGAAAAGAGCGAGCGTACTAAAAAGGAAATCTCAGAAAGAAAAAAAAAACATAGAAGTAGTAGAGAAATAGCAAAATTAATATTTCTTTGTTTCTTTAGTTGTTGTAGTAGTTTGTTTTCTTTGTAATTAAATCATGGAAAATATGGACTAGGTTCGAGACAAAAGATATTCGCGAATCTAGTACGTTGCGTAAAATTATTGAAATGAAAACGAAGTCAATACAAATGAGTTTGAGAAGAAATAAGTAGAAAACTGAGTGTAACCGTGTGTGTGTGTATGTTTCATTTAGCTGTAATTGTAGCTGTTGTAAATTATTATTATTATTATTAGTATTGGTAAAATTAAACACTACTTTGTAACTGTTTAAAAGTTTTTACATTTGTATTTGGAAAAAATAACGACATTAACTCATCTAGCTGTTTTAGAAACGTTTTAGTATTGAAATGAAGATTTGTTTTTGACAACAAAAAAATATAGACACATGTTAAATTAGTTTGTTACTAGCACTCTAAGTTAAATGATGTTTGAAAATAATAAAAAAAATATAATTTGTTTTCCTAAGACAAAACAGAAAACTAAAAATGAATTTTTAAAGAAATTTTGTAATACTGAATTTGGTTAAAAACAAAAAATAACAACAATTTCGAATAAAATTTAAATTAAAAATTAAAAAAAAAATAAGAATTAAAATTTGTTTTTCTTTTACTTACTGGCACTCTTCGGCAGTATGTTTACTTTCGTCCGTACAATAAAAAAATTTCCCATTGAATAATTGTACACCAATGACAGAAAATATAAATTGAAATAATATGTACACGATTAGAATGTTAACAACATTTTTCAATGAATTTACTACACAATCGAAGACGGCTTTCAATTTGGGTACACGTTTGATTGTTTTTAATGGTCGCAGGACACGTAGGACACGCAACGATTTGATTGTTGATAAATTTTGTCCAGCACTGCTACCGCTCATATCGAAACCAAAACTAACAGCAGCGCATATAACGACCACAGCATCCATAATATTCCAGAATTCTCTTAAATAGCTGCCAGGATGTAATATAACACCTAAATCTACAATTTTCAGTAACATTTCTATTGTGAATACGCCGGTAAATGCATAATCGAAATAATTTAAAATTTTATTTCGTGGTGAATTCTCACGAACGGGATCTTCGGCCGCTAACGCTATCGATGACAATGAGATGACGACCATAATGAAAAAATCAAAGTAACGTAAATTAACAACCCAATGGGCGCCACGTCGTATGCTGTGTTTTTTGATTTTTTTTTTTTTTTTGAGAATTATTTTCAATATCCAATTTTCAAATTTTATTTTGATATAGATTTTTGTGTTTTTTTTTTTCAATCCAATTTTTAGGGCGCGGCGCATTATTTTTGAATTTGGTGTTTTTTTATTTAATTTTCAAGTTGATGGGTGTTTTTTGTTGTTGTTTTTTTGAAAATGTTCATGATTTTGAATTTGTTTGTTGAATGATTTTTGATTTTTAGCAATAATGATTTTGTTTGTAGTGGTGTTTGATTGATTGATTGGTTGGTTGGTGGTTGTTACGTGCATCATGCAAGCATTATGGAGCGTTTGATTTTTGAAATTATAATTTAAAATCATAATTTTAAGTTAATCAAAAAGGCAAATAATAAATGTTTACCATAAAAATTAAAAATGGAAAATATAAAAGAGAAAAATTGTTTACATTAATCATTTGTTACGTTTACCTTGTTCAATAAAATGTTTTTATCTTTTTTGTTTTTTTCTTTTTTAAGAAAATAATCTTAATAACTAACTTAGAAAGTTTAGATATTAGTTTAAATAATTTTTAAAGTTTTAAGAGATATTTTGTAAATTATAAAATTAATAAATATTTCGGCAGAAAAAAAAGGATCTGGAAAAAGTAAGAGTAAAAACAAACCATTACGTTTTTCACTTTCCTAAGGAACTGCGAGAGAAACTGAACTAAATATAGTCTTTGTATTGGTATTGGGACTATAAGTAGTCCTATTTCTTAAAAATGGCTTAAAAAAGATACAACAACAACATGTAACTTTGTCAACATTGCAACAATTCGTTGTCGCAATCTAAATTTTATGCACATCCGTTGTCTAAATGTTAACACACGTGGTAAGCCCACTTTTGGCAACACATTTTGAGATTGCCACGTTCGTTAACTTTTAGACGTTCATAAAGTTTAGATTGCGACAACGAATTGTTGCAACGTTTACAAAGTTGCGTGGTCTACGTTACATGTTGTTGTTGTATGTATGTATGTATATACTTCGCAATGGATGTTATTGAAAATTTTGGTGTTAATATGGTACCAGACGCGTATATTTATTTTTCCCTCTGTTGGCAGAACTTTACTCTCTCAGGTAAACTAGAGATTGTCAGTTCACTGTAACTTGGTTCAAACTTTAGGCAGAGTCATATGTATTGCCTTAGTAATCCAGATATTAATATATTTTCCTTATATATTTCCCTTACATAAATCAACTTTAGCCAATAATGTCTTTTCTGATTTAAAATTATCTATCGCCACTTACGATCCCTGATAGCCAATAAAGTGATAAGTTTGAAATGTTTTCATGCTAGAGTAGTACTGTTTTCTAAAAAGGAGTTTATACAAAACATGATTTATATAAAAATATTCAGATATCTCTAGACTTCAAATTATCTTACGTTGGTTCACCGTATTGTCTCTTAGTAGTTAGAAGTGTGGACATCTTACTATAAAAGGATTTTAAAATATTTCAGCAAATACCTTTTTGTGTTTATAGGGTAGAAGGGGGATCATGCGCCATTGAGGCACATCTGTCCCCCTTCTACCCTTCAATTTAACGTTCCAATATTATGTGTTTTTCCCCTGCACATATTATGTTTTTCTTCTGTAATCTACTGTAAATATCACACGCCCCTTTACTATTCCTTAGTGCCCGTCTACACTAGGAAAATGTTTTTTTGGGAAACTTTTGATTTTGCGTGAGAGAAAAAAGAAGGAAATATCATTCATCTTCCTCGCGGTACGAAGGTTCGCGTATTCGGAAACTTGTTTTGTTATTCTTCTCATTCGTACAATAAGAAATCAATGCAATTAACACGTAGTTTCTGAAACAAAAGTTTATTTGTGTAGACATCAACTTAAGATTCCTAGTGTGGACCAGCACTTAGTAGTCAAGAGTGTAAGTCGGTTGGTATTTATTGTTGCTTTTAAAGATGAATTTTATCTTTCATTTTCATTCAATAGATAAAAGACCCTATGGGGGAGGTATTAACAGGAATACTGTATATATTATAACTTTTGGTGCTATTTATACCCTACACCACTATAGTATTATAGCTATTATGCGTTTGTGCTGATGTTTGTAACACCCAAAAATACCTACCTTAAAGTATACCTATCGGCTAAGAATCACTTTCTGAGTCGATCTACCTATGTCCGTCTGTGTGTCCATGTAAACCTTACGCCCGCTACAGGTCGTAATTTTCATTACAAGATATGACAAGGCCTATTGAAAATTGTTAAAATCGGTCGATTATTTCGTACCGTATTCCCCGAATAGGACTTTTGGGTTATAAATATGTTAAATGTTCTTGTATCACTTCAAAAATCAGCAAAAATTAGTTTCATCTAAATGATACTGCTGATTTTCGTAATTAACCGGCCTCATTTGACCCTATCCCTCATACAAAGTCCCCTTCAGAAAATAACTTGATGTTAAAAATTCACTTATAAACACTAATATCACGCTAATATTCTGCATAAATAACTTATATAGACGTAAATGGTCCTTTATAAAGATAGGACCATATTAACCCCCCTACCCCCATATAACCCCTCTTTTAGAAAATCCATTTTTTGTCAACAAATTGTTAAAATGTTTCTGAATTAAGGTAAAAATTCAATTAAATACTTTATTATTAAAAAAATAATAAAAATTTTAAACATAATTACTGGTGTAGGGTATAAAATGGTCGTATATGTCCAACTATAAATTTCTACTTGTTTTATCTTTGATACTTTTAAATTATACTAAAACTCGAAAACTTTTCCTATAAGTACTTTTTACACTAGTGTTTTAGTACTTTATTTACTTTAAATCATATTTAAAATAGATCAATTCTTCTTGAATCAATGAACTACCTGAGTAAAGAATGAGTACAATGATATCTCTAAATTAAAGAAACTGACCAATTATATACCCCGTCAAATAAGAGGTCAAAATAAAGGACATAAAAATACTTATTATATCCCTAAATGGTACATTTTAACAATAATGCTAAAAGACAACCTATTTTTTTTAATAACAATTTCCAGATCCTTTTTTTCCCCTAAGAACACTTAAAAAATACATTATATACTTAAATTCTTAAAATACAGATACACACATATATATAAAAAAGATCAAGAGAGATTATTTCTAAAATTAATTTTTCTTCAGAGAGAGAAATATATATAAAAAAAAATATATGATAAATTAAAGAGAGAAATAAAAAAAGAGTATTTACGGATTTGTTGGTGATAATATAAACATTGATGAGTATGGCAACATTGGTTTTGGACCCTCCGTAACTTCTTCCTCTTCTTTCTTTTCCTCCTCTTTCTTTTTGCTTTTCTTAACGGCCGCCGTGGAACCATCACCGCCATTCTCCACATGGCTACCATCACCTTGTAGCGCTTCCATTTCTTTTTCTAATTCTTGTAATTGTTTCTCTTTATCTTCTTCGACTTGTTCCTCTTCGGCAGCAGTTAATTCTTGAGCATTTGCCAAATTATCGACGGCGATAGCCAAGAACACGTTTAGCAATGTATAATTACCGAAGAGTACCAAAACGATAAAGTAACTGCTCGATACAGGATCGTAATTGTTTGTTTGATCGTTTGGCATTTGAAGTAGTAATTGTTGTTGTTGTTGTTAAGAATTCATGCAGAAGAAGATATAAATCGTTATGGTTTTTTGTTTTGGTATTTAAACGTTGATGTTGGAAATATTTTAATTTTGATTTATTTTATTTTTTTTTATTTGATTTGGTGTTTTTTTATGATGAGAGAGAGAGTCAGAGAGTAAGATAGTGTGTTGTGTTGGTTGAAAGAGAAAAATATTTGTGGGGAAAGAGAGAAATATATAACATTTCGGTATGAGGATTAAAATTGCTTATATGTTTAAGTTTAACATGTTTTCATTATTTCTTTAAAAGTTTAAAAAAGTTATAGTTTAAAATAAAGAAGGGGATAGAGATTTTAGTTTTTTTTTGTTTTTTATAAAAAAAAAATTAAAAATAAATTTGCTTTAAGCTAAACTTTAAATTTAAAGCTAAAATAGTTTAATACACTTGAGTTTTATTTTTAAAAAAGTAAATTAAAATTGATTATTTATACATTAAATTGTAATAAATGTTACAAATGAAACTGATAACTAATGAGAGGAAAGCTTTAAAGATGAATAGTTTGTAGGTTAGAAAAGGTTAAATGATTTTTTGTTTTAATTTTAAGAAATTTTAAGAACATCTATTTATTAAAGTGGTGAACAATAATAAAATAGATTTTCTTAAATTTCCTAATTGAAGACATCAAAAAGTTATTGTTTGTTAATTTTTATAACAAAAATTTAAACAAAACTTTTTTTTGAATAAAATTCTCTGTTGCTCGTTAACGTTAGTCTTGCCAAGTGAGAAAAAAGCTCCCGTAAATTCAACGTTTTTTTTTTAAACATCAAAAGAAATTGTTAGTTAGAGAAATAAGGTTAAGTAAATATTTAGAAATTTTTTTGTATAATAAGTAATATTGTTAAATATTTATAAAATTAAGCAGTTATGTATATACATTAAAAATATGTTTAAAATAATATAATTAAATTTATTATTACTGGGAAATATCAGTAAAATTACAAGAGAATTAGACATTTTTTTAAAGAGAGAGTTAGTGATAGCAGGATTTTTGAGAGTTATAAAGGTTTAGCTGTAAAACTTTTTTTCAATAAGCTTTAAAATACTAATCCGTTTAATAGGTAGAAAAAAACAAGCTGCAAAAATTACATAGAAATATTAGTTAAAAAGTATAAAGAATTAAGTTTTTTATAAAATAAATTTGATTTTTCGCTAGAACTCGATTAAAATCCATCACCTAATTTCATAAGTAAACTTTTTTTTGTAAAAGCTTTAAGCAAGCTTTTCTTTTTATTTCAATTTGCTGAGAGTAGTAGAGAGTATTTACATGAAATTATATTTTTTTGCAACATTTTTATAATCTTTTTCTTTTGATGTTTTTTTTTGAAAGTTTTGAAAATTTAACTTTAAATTTTACATTTTGTAAAATAAAATTGTGAGTTAAATTTTCTTGTTTGTGGGAAAAGATTATAAAAATGTTTAATTTTATATTGTTCCCTACAATTCTTTGTTTAAAGTTTTCATTTATTTTTTTATTTTTCTGGATAAAAGTTCAAATTTTGTTTCATGCATCTCGTTTCGAACATGCCTCTAAAAATTTTGCATTTAAGTGTTTTATTATTTGCTTTTTGTTAAAATTTCTGTGTAATTCTAGCTGTGTAATTAGTTGCGTATTTTATTTAAATATTTGACCGATAAATGACATTAAAAAAATTTATTGGATTTGGATTGATTTGATATCGAATTTTTAATGAAGAAATAGCATTCTAAACTCCTTTGGACAATTTTTACTAGGACCAATAGGTGCAAAGTTACACTCATTTGAATAAAACCCTGTATGACCAAAATGTCCAATTTTGACCCCCTCTAAGTCCGGCAGTTTTTGACCGATAGAGCTGAAAATTTGTGTCTGGCCTACTATCCAATAGTACTAACCTTGAAGAAAATTTCCTCAAAATTGATTTTTTGAGTTGGGTCACTTGACATGAAATTGCCTTTACTTTGTTATTACGTTTAATATGTTTTAACTCAATTTCAGTTCTACTTATTATACATATATCAGAACTATCATATTATAATGCCGAAGTTCTATAATGGTATCAATCGACAGTTTTTGCATTCTGTTAAGGTGTGTATTTCAACAAGTATATAAGGCACTGAAGCTTTTTGTTGGACCCACATCCTTTTTCCACTATCATTTTAATCTATTATTACTACTTGCTGCATCAGCCTTCTTAAAAACTATTCTGAACTACAATTAGTACTTACATAAGTATCTGAAGTAGTTTTCCATTGGCTCTTCTTTTAAAAATCTTGGAAAAATAACTAAAATTATTATTATTATTATTTATCATTGATATAGAAATGAAAATTATAAAAATTTCTTACAGTTTACAACTCTGTGTCATTTATCGGTCAAATATGATTTTGTACGTAACGTAAGCAATTAACTCATGCAATTTTAGGTTAAAGCGGTCGTAAATCGTACACCACTTGAAATGATTCTGCTAATTAACAGTCTGCTTTTATTAAAAAGATCGTGGTAGTATATAAGAACATCCTGATCGAAATTATTAAATATAATAAGATTTTCAGATTTTATATTGAAGCTTTTCTTTAAGAAAATATTGAAAAATTTTCAAGCTGAGAATTCTGTTGATTGTATGATATGAGGGTCTCAAATCGGGGTTTCCATTACATTGCGACCAATTAAGGAACGCTAAACGTCCCTAAAATAGGCATTCGAGTTCTTTGATCATGACGACCGTATTGTCTCAATTAATTTCCCTCGAGCATATCACCTTGATTGATTTGTAATTGCCATCCCAGGGTAAATAGATGCTAGCAATACCTCTGCCGGGACTAAAAATTTGTGATGTCTAATGTATCTTCAGCCTTTTTTTGGAAATGATTTGACCTGGGATCCAAACCATAGCAACTATCTTATCTGGTATTACCGAACCGGAAGGCCGCAGGTCAGGGTTTCGAACTTTGTCTTGTCCCGGTTATTGGAGTGGTACACGTGGCGGCTGTGGTTTAAACCCAATGTTGGTTAATAGTGTAATATATACCAGTCTGGATGCCTCATTGATGCTGTTGCCAATTCAACAGAAGTCTTTGGAAGATGTGACAGTGTTCTGGAATAGCCTTAAACCATTGGGTATATCTTAATCTTTGTGTAGTATGGCCTCAGTATATGTATGTTTGTGAAATTCAGTCAGGTTGACACTTGGTTGTTGCTTGTCACTCCGTAGATGATCTTTATGATCAGAGAATGGAACTAATGTAAAATTGGTAAAATTTCGGGAAGTGTCATCCACTTCCTGGTAGATTACTACTTGCTTAGTACCTGGTACCAAATTGACACCAAACTGTCTATAATTTTTCAATACCATCCGTTGTCAAAGTATATACTATGTACTGTTGTCAACATTGCAACAATTCGTTGTCGAAATCTAAATTGTATACACATCCGTTGTCTAAATGTTAACAAACGTGGTAAGCTCACTATTGACAAACAATCCGTTGCCAATACGATACGGTATCGCTCATGAAAATGTTGTATTAGAATTGGTCCATCTCTGATGATAAAGTAATACAACAGATGCGTTTTTAGGGCTTGAGGAAGCCCCTCGCTGTTGATCGGGCTGGTAATTGTCTTCTACACAGAAGGAAAAAGAAATATACACGCCTGGTACCAAATTGACACCAAACTGTTTATAATTTTTCAATACCATCCGTTGTCAACAATGTCAACTGTTGTCAACATTGCAACAATTCGTCGACAAACAATCCGTTGCCAATAGTAAGCTTACCACGTTTGTTAACATTTAGACAACGGATGTGTATAAAATTTAGATTTCGACAACGAATTGTTGCAATGTTAACATTACATAGTATTGTCGTACGTATTCCGCAACGTTGACACTTGGAGAGAGTTAAGATAACTCGATTACTGCAGCAAAGCTCTAGCACATGATGCCGGCAGAGTTATGTACAAAAGTTGCCACCTCAGTGTTTTTTACTGAAGTCACTCAAGAGCTACCGACGAACCGGACAAAGTCCTCAGGACACTGTCATGTTAAGCCCTAATGAAAGGAACTCATTTAAAGCACATTGACATTCTTGTCTCAATTTAATATCTGTTAGATCAATTACTACATTATTATCCCGTAGTAATTAGTAATGTAGTCGATTATTTTTCTTCAATTTTTTTTAAATCATTCTGAAAATTATCATTTTGTAGAATCTATCATTCATAGAGAGATTAATTACACATACACTTTAGTGTAAATTACCCCTGATCTTTTCGATCCAAGGTATCCGCAAGATGTCCCGATTTTCTTACTTAAGATCTTATAGTTCCAGTTGCAAAAGCACCTCTAGATCGGATTTTAACACTCCGTTGTTCGGATGCGAAGAATTGTCGATAAAAGTGACCCCACATTTTGGATTTGTTTTGGACCAAAAATAGATAAATATAATTTTTAACACATTTTCAAGTGGCGTAGGTTAGACAAATACAAACCAACCGCTTTAAATATTTATAGAAAATTCTCTAAATTGCAGTTAAAATTTGTTGATTTAAAAAAAAGCACTTGTGTTAAATTTGTAAGCAATGGATATATAAACAAAACTTTTAAGCTTTTGTAAATTTAAATAAAGCTTTTAAAATTTTCTTTAAAACTTAAAAAAATCAAAATTTAGAATATTTCAAAAGCGGTGTAGCGTTGTTAAGAAATCTTTTTTTATAGATTTAAGTGCTTTAAATTATAAACGTGCAAAGTTATTAATATTTTTAGTTAAGTACTTTATTAAAATTTAAAGTTATTTTTTTTTAATTTAATGCCTTCAATTTTAATATTTATTTATTTTTAATGATTAGGTGTAAAATTTGTTTATTAAACTAAATATTGCTTTTAAACATGCAACTAAAAATTTACTCTAAAAGGCATAAAATTTAAATATTGCCAACTAAATAAAAAAGGAAATTATTTTTTTAATTGTTTTCATTACTATTAAAAATATGGCAACGCTACTTGGTTTAAATACATTTGATACAAAATTGAACTAGTTATAGTAATTAAATATTTGAATGTTTGTAAATGTTTTATTTCAGAAAGAACTACTACGGTTTGTTTTTTTATTTGTTATTAAAGTATTATTAACAAGTATTTATGTAAGGTGAGAAAAAAGCTTTTGTTTGGCTTCTTCAACTAAGTTTATGTTTGAATGAGAGTTTATGTTTGTAAGATTAAGTTTAAAGTTTAAATTGGAAAGTAACGAAAAGCTATCTAAATTAAAATGAACTTTTAAGTTTTGTAACGAGAAACTTGAACAAAATATTTATATAACTTGTAAGTTATGTAAGTTGTAATTGTTGTAGTATTTATTTTTTTATTAAATAGTTTATAAGTAATTAATATGAAATCAAGCTATTTAATACCTGAACGAACGATTAAACGATTGATTTAGCGAACTATTAAAAGTTTGTTAATTTATTAACTCTGGACGAAAACAATTTCAGTTTAAGAAATTGCTGGTTTATAAAATTTGTAAAAATGGTCAATAAATTGTAACAAACTTTTAATGGTTTTGGTTAGATTTTCAATTATTTTGAATATTGTTGTAATAAGGATTAATAATTTGTTTGAACAGGAAGCAGTTTAAATGATGTTTGTTTATATTGATTTTATTACTTATCCTTATTTTGATTTGAATTAGCACATGGATTGTACACATTAATGGTTCGACGTTCTAAACATCATTATCAATTGTATGAAATTTTGATTTGAATTAAATGATTGATTGTTTGATTGATTTATTTACAACAAATATTTTTGACAACTTAACAAGTAATCAGTACCCTTCGAAGCTTTTTTTTCGTTTTGTAAGTTATGTTTTCTTGTTATTGTTGTTTTTTGAATTTTTAATGATTTTTGATTGGATTTTCTTTTGGTTACAAATTATTTTTGTTTTTTTTTTTTCATTTGTTACAAAGCTCTATTTGACACTAATTTTATGTTTGAAATAAAAAAGTATTAAATAGTGCTTTTTTATCCTTGAATTAAGGGTATGGAAGGGATTAAGGGGTGAAATGCTGTTACTATTGTTTATTAAATTTTTTGTGGGTTTATAAAATGTTTAAGGAAAATACACAAGAGCAAACATTTGGATATGAGGGGCACGCTATGAAGGTATTTAGTATATGAGATTTGGAATTGATAGTGACTATAACTAGTAATGGATTTTTAATTGTTTTTGTAACTGTTTTGGGAAAATTGCTGTTTTGAAACTATAAATTTGTATTTTATAGTTAATCTAGTAATTTTTTAACTAAAACACCAATTAGACTATAGAAGAGATTTATGAAGATCTATAATTTTAAGGTTTATAAGGGTCCTAATTAAATCCAAATAATACTTCGTTTTAACATCAGGCTCGGATCTTTATAAAAAGGCTGTAAGCTAAATTACAACTCTTGTTGGTATGTAACGTTTGGTATATGGGGAATTTCGCGTCAAGTGACCCAACTTTAGAAATCGATGTCTTCCGATTTGGATGAAATTTGGACCAGGATGTTAGTACTATGCGATAGTAGGCCAGACACAAATTGTCAGCTCTATCGGTCAAGAACTGCCAGAGTCAGAGGGGGTCAAAGATGGACATTTTGGTCATACCGGTTTTTACTCAAATGAGTTTAACTTTTCACCTATCGGTCCTAGCAAAATTTGTCCAAAGTAGTTCAGAACGCATAACTCTTCACAAAAAAAATTATTTTTTTATTTTGTTTTTTAATAATTTTCGTATAGAAAAAGTCTGTTTTCGTAGACAAAAAGTCTTCCTAAGGAAGACTGGAAAAAATAAAGTGCCAGATATTGAAAAAAATGTTATTCTTGAGTTAAAAATAATTTTCTTTGGTAGATATCCCACTCGCATCCCATTATGGGACTATAAAGACCTTCAAGGAAATTGTTTGAGCTTTCTTTTGAGCAAAAAAAAAAAAAAAATTATTTTTAAAATTTATAATTTTTTTTAAATGAAGTTATGAAGTAATAGCAATGTGAACTCCTTTGAACAATTTTTACTAGGACCAATAGATGAAAAGTTACACACATTTGAATAAAACCCTGTATGACAAAAATGTCCAACTTTGACCCCCCTCTAAGTGCGGCAGTTCTTGACCGATAGAGCTGAAAATTTATATCTGACCTACTATCCAATAGTACTAATCTTAGTGCAAATTTCGTCAAAATCGATTTTTTTTTTGTTGGGTCACTTGACATGAAATTCGACACTTTGTAGTCTTGATAATAGTTCCCTCTGTAATCTTGACTATAAATTATTCTACAGAGTGGTCTAGATTATAAACTATATAAATCAATCCGTAGTCATAGACCACTCTGTGGTTTCAGTGTATATCAGATGTATAGTCTTGACTATACATCAATTCAAGATCTTGCCTACTGATCCACAGTCTTTACTATAGATCAATCTATAGTATTGACTACTGATCAATCTTTAGCCTTGACTATATATCGATCCACAGTCTTTGCTATAAATCAACCTATAGTATTGACTACTGATCAGTATAGTCTTGTCTATAATTCAGTCTATTTTCTTGACTATAGATCAGTTAACAGTCTTCATTGTTTATTAAATTGACTATCGATCAGCTTATAGTCTAGACATTATATGGTAGTATCGACAATAGATCCGTTCACAGATTATATTGTTCAAAAACTAATTATAAGACTTTATATGAGTGCAATGGGATAATTGATCCGATTCTACTATTAAGACTTTTTGTATATGAAATCACTTTTTCGTTGATAAATCACTGAAATCTTGTGCCATTGTTGCTCATTCATCAAAGTTTTGTTCAGAATCGGTCCTATATTTTTCAAATATTGATCAAAAAATTTCGATCTTTTAATGTAGACTGATTAAGGACCTTCTTTTAACTCGATTTCTTTTAAAAATTCTGAATAGTTTCTTTCTTTATGATATTTTTTCATAAATGTCGTGTCGGTTAATTTTTTTAGTTTAACTTAACCAATAAGTGATTCCCAGATATTTGAAGTTTTCAAACTTCAAAACCAATCTGGTGCAAATATTTCAAAATTGTTATACAACATTAAGTTTATAATTAAAATTGTTGATATCACCTCTTTAGCAACATTATCTTTATCAAAAAATAATCTTTATCAAATAGTTCGTTTGCAAAAAGCACTCACATCAAATTTGAAGCTTTCACGGCCGGCAGAATTTAAAAAGCTTTATAAAGCAATATTAAGCAGTTTTATTTTAGAAAAATAACATTAAGCATAAAAACAGCAATTTTTAAATAACAAATTTGAATTCAAAACCAATTAAAAACATAAAACTAAAAAATTCTAAACTAAAATCAAAATGATTGCTCCTGTGTAGATCCCTTATTTTAAAAACGACGTTAAACTAAGTTAGAAAGAGAGAGAGAGAGTTCTAAAACTTTTTTACTAGCCCAATGAGATACTTCTGGTTTTGTTGGGTGTAAAAATTAAATTATATAAAATATATATAATAATGATAGTTTGAAAACTCTAAAAATATTAGGAAAGTTGAACTACAATTAAGAAATTCGATTAAATTTTTTTGTATGTAATTTTTTTTTTTTTTTTTTTTGATAAAAGATGATGATAGTACATCAAAGGTATCTGAAGAAGGAAAGATTCGTATCAAAAAACTAAACTAATAATATCCTAGTAAGAGTTTTTTTTGGTTTTTGTTAATTAAAAAAGCGATACCACATTTAGTTAAATAAATTAAAAAGTACAAACACAAGAAGACATAAAATTATACAAAACTTAAAAGATTTAAACAAAAAAACACAAAAAAAGCTACAAAAATCTTCAGACTTTTCTCATCATACCGATCTAAACTAATTAGTAATTTAAAAAAATTTTTATATTTTTTGTTTTCAATTCTGAAGAAAAGGGTTTTAAAAAAAGCTTTAGCAATAATCAATCACAATTCTTGTGTTTAATTTGAATTTGTATATTTTTACAAGGAGAAAATTTTCAAAAATTCAACTTAAAATTTAAATAGAATAACTTAAAAATAAAATAAATAAAAATAAAAGATAGAAAGAAAATGAAGAAATAAAATAAAACTGAATCAAAATTAAAACTTACACAGAGTAAATCATTCCTCTTTTAGCGCCACCTTGTGATATAATACCCTGATACATAACTTCATTCCAATCTTCACCGGTTAGAATTTGAAAGACAGTCAATAAGGCTATAGGGAATGTGTTGAAATTTGTTTCGGGGGTACCGCTACTAAAATTAAATTGCCCACCAAATAATTGCATGCCAAGTAGGGCAAATATCAGTATGAACAAGAAGAGCAGGAACAACAATGAAATGATGGATCTCATCGAGTTCAATAACGAAATCACAAGATTTCGCAACGATGACCAATATTTGGTCACTTTAAATATACGCAGCAAACGTAAAGCTCTCAAAACGGATAAACCGAATGAGCCACCCTTAACTTCAGACCATATAACTTCGAATATCGAACCACTAATGACGACACAATCGAAACGATTAAACGATGATTCGAAATAAATCCTTGGACTCATCGCATACATTTTTATGAACATTTCAGACATGAAAAGACCCAAAAATACATATTCAGCATAGTCTGTAAATAGAAATACAAAAAATAGAGAGACAGAGAGAAAAAGAAAACGAAATCAAATTAGTTATTTTATGGGATTATAAGAGAGACTTACACGTTTTAGTTGAAATTTTTGGAACATATTAAATGTCCTTTTGTTATGTTTACAGGGAGATTTATTTTTATTATTTTTTTCGAAATGATAACTTACATAAAAAATCTGACAGATATTTGGGTTGACCATAATGTTCCACCGCCACACATACGGTATTCAGAAACACCAGCACAATGACAAACCAATAGAACCATTGTTTCTTCACGGTCTTACGGATCCAATAGCGAAAACTTTTCTCTTTGCGCCAGAAACCCGTACAACTTCCTTGAGGTTTTGAACGAGTTTTCAAATAACCTAAATAAAAAAGTGAAGAAAATGAAATATTTGTATTATAAATATTACAGTTAAATAGAGAATAGAGAGAGAAATTTTTAGAAAAAAATTAAGCTGTAAAAATTATTACAATTAGTTTCTAATACTAATGCATTTTATGTTATAATTTTTATTGGTTTTGATTTACTGGTTTCGATTTTTTTCGAATCTGTTGGTTTTAATGTTCGATTTTGATAAATGTTAAAAATTTTATTTTAAAGGTTTTAGCGAGAGGGTGTTCTAAAATGCTAGCGGTTTTTCTTTTTAATGTATTGTATGAGTGTAAAGGTGCTTTTTTTGGTTTGTTGTAATATTTTATAAATGATTTGGTTTGATCTTATAGGAATGTAAGTCGTTTTCTATATTTTTGTGACTAATTTATACGATTAAGAGGTTTTTGTTTTCAGTTTTACTTAGATATTGAAATTTTATGATCTATAATTTTGAAGTTAAATTATGATATAGAAAATTATATTAAAATAGAAAATTATATTTAAAAAATGGTATGTTGGAGAAAAACTAAAATGGATTTATTGATTGTTAAGCGACCAAAGTAAGAGGTTTGATTAAAGTTGAGCTTCTTTCAATCGACTAGGTTTACGATCGAAAAAGCTCTCAAACCGTTATTAGAATAGTGTACAACGGTTATGTATGTGGTTTACTAAAATATTGCAATATACATGGGTGTACTAGATGGAAAGGGAGATTAACTCCAGTTTACAGGGATAAAACTTTAGCAAACATGAAACTGCTAATCAGACGTGAAATTATTAAGGATCATGTATTCAAAATTCAACACTACTTAAAGTAAAAGTCTTAAAACTTTGATAGTCTTAAAACTTTGATAGAGATAAAACTTTGGTAGGATATTGAAGAGATAATGCCAGTAGAAAATATCCTAGAACAGGCTCAAAGAATTGAAAAACTCCAGGGAGGTATCTCCCAAATTACTTGTGTAGAAGAGCCGAGGAGGCTCTGAATACGGCCTTGAGCTGGGCTCAACCGAGAGGCCTCAATGTTAACCCGGCGAAGACGGAAATCTGTCTTTTCACAAGAAAGACAAAAATTTCTACATATACTGAACCTTGCTTCTTGGGCAAGAAGATACCGGTGACAGACAAAGTTAAGTACTTAGGTGTAATACTTGACCGGAAATTAAAATGGAAGCACCAAATAGAGGATAGGATCAACAAGGCACATCGGTGCTGGGCGATATGTAGGAGAACCATAGGCATGAAATGGGGTCTTAGTCCTACTATGACAAATTGGCTTTATAAAAGTGTAATTAGACCAATTCTAGCTTATGCTTCAATAATCTGGTGGACTGCTTTGGACAAAAAGTGTAATATCAAACTACTACAGGGAGTTCAGCGTACATGCTGCTTGGGTATAAGTGGTGCCATGTGTACTACTTCAACCAAGGCTCTGGAAACGTTGCTAGATATTCCACCCATTGAAACATATATAAGATATGAGGCGGCGCTTACAGCCGAACGGCTCTTTACTTTAGGCGAACTGGCCAAAAACGGTTATAGGACACGTCATCAATGTATACTGGACACATTGGAAGGTTATACACATTCATCGGACGTGCCTGATCGCATACCAGACACTGAATATGTCGGAAACTTTGAAACGCTAATCCTAAGAAACGCTAAGATAGAATGTCTTGGTCAAGCGGAACATTAGAGCAAATACCAGTAGGAATCCGTTGCTACACGGATGGCTCTAAATTAGGGGACAAAGTGGGTCTGGGGTTCTATATTGAAGACCCAGAAACAGAAATATACCACCGTTTACCTAATCATAACACAAGCTTCCAGGCAGAAGTACGAGCAATAACGGAATGTGTAAATTGGATTAGAATAAATATGGCGCCCACAGGGCTTAATATATTTACCGACAGCCAGAAGGCAATTTGTGCGATATCAGGTGATAGAATTAAATCTAAGACCGTATTGGATTGTAAGAAAGCTTTAACTGAATACTCTCCCAGAGGTAAGGTTCACATCATATGGGTACCAGGCCACTCGGGAGTAATCGGCAACGAAAGGGCGAATGTAATAGCTTTAAAGGGAAGGGAGCTCGATGTAGTTAACCTGACAAACGCAAAACCATTCGACGCAACAAAAGCTGAATTAAAAATATGGATGAGAGAATCCCATAAGGCCTCTTGGAATAATGAAACGGTGGGTAGAACCACAATATTTCTATGGGGTGACCCTGATGAGAGCAAGACGAGAAATCTTCTCAAAATGAGCAAGTCTGAGGTTAGTATGATGGTACGTATTCTCAGTGGACACACAGGATTACGAGCACATCTATACAAAATTGGACGTGCGAATTCAGACGAATGTAGAGCATGTGGAGAGGACAGTGAAACTCTGGAGCACTTTCTTTGCCATTGTCAGGCATTCGTCGAAGTTAGATCCAAGTATCTTGGAAGTGATGTTATTCCGGAAATAACATTCTTAACCAACACCGATTGGAAGATTCTTAGGAATTACGTCCAGGAAACTGAGTTTCTGAACATGGAAAAATAATACATTCAGTGAACAATTTTTTTTTTCTTGAATTGGAGCGCACAACAGGCCCGATAGTGGCCTAGGTGTATTTCTTCGGATTTGATGTAGTATACATCCTCCTATCAACCTAACCTAACCTATCTCCTTAAGGACATATTAATCTATGACCCTTCTTTCATTACATTATTGCAACCTTGATTTATATTTGTCCTATATGAAGGATACAAGCTATCCCATCTTTTTTCTCATATAGTACATTACCGTACCTTCCACTCTGCTACTGAGTCATATTAAGACGGAGGTATACATTGATCAAATTCGCCTTTTACGGTAACACTAAATGGGAAAACCGCTCCTTAGTCATATTCAGGTGGAGGCTACACCTTTAAGTTCCATTGAGTATCCTACTTGGACGATGAGGGGGACCTGTTCATGATATTCTCCCTCTGTCTTCTGAGGAATAGCACATGAAGCTAAGACCTATGTATATCTATAACTTAAGGAAGTGTAAGGAAATACCAAATACTACCATTAATAAGGTCAAGCAAATACGTACAGGAACCGATCAGAAGCCAAAAAGACATACATATAATTACACATGACTGCATCTCAACAATCCAACTCTAGACCAAAGTTAGTTCAGAATCCCTTACAGAAAAAACACGAAGAAACATCTAAAGGCTTAAGAAATGGACAAATTAATCTGATCTGACGAGGTGTTCCAAAAATACCCCTTGCTATTTTATAATACTTATGGCTAACCGGCAGCACAACAGGCCCTATAGTGGCCTAGGTATGTTTCTTCGGATTTGATGTACTATACATCCTCCTATCAAACTAACCTATGGCTAATTTCGTGTCAAGTGAACTGACTTTTAAAATCGATGTCTTCCGATTTCGATGAACCAATGTTAGTAAAAATTTTCAGTTCTATCGGTCAAGAGCTGCATAGGGCATGACCACAAAGCTCTGCCTAAGGCTGATGTCAGAGTGGGCGCTATAAGCGATGCGAAGCTTTGAGCTACAAACTTTTGCTTGTGTTTTCTTGCATCAAACTTCGCTCTCACTCTGACATGACACATAGGAAAACACAAGCAAAGGTTTGTAGCGCAAAACTTCGCATCGCTTATAGCGCCCACTCTGACATCAGCCTAAGCTGTGAAATGTTACACTTATTTGAATAAAACACTGAATGACCAAAATGTCTAACTTTGAATCCCTTTAACTCCGGCAGTTTTTGACCTATAGAGCTGAAAATTTGTCTCTGGCCTATTATCCAGTACTACAAATGTCATCAAAATCGATTTTTTGAGTTGGGTCAGTTGACATGAAATTGCCCACATAAATATTTTTAAACACTTGGATATACCCACAAAGAAAGTCCACAAGTTTTCGTCATTACTGAAACCTACTTGTGTAACTACTGTTTTAGTCTGTTAGACCGAACAAAAAAGCAGAGCACAACAGACACGTTGGAGGACGGATTTGATGTATCATACACCCTTCTTTCAAACTAACTAACAGAAAACTGCTTTAGTTAAATCTAACGATCTGTGGTGGGATAACACACTATTTTACTTTTTTAAAAATATCGAAAAATTTCTTCAGAATTGGATCAAACATTTAAATTTATTAATTTCTTAAAATTGATGAGACTAAGTGAATTGTTTTAGCTGATTTATTGAGGAATGAAATTTTTAAATTAATTCTTCAATCATTGAACTATTTTCCCTAACGAACAACTAATGAATAAAATTTGAAATAAAAACCATAATAAATAAAACAATGTCTTATTACAACTCAGATGTCTTCTACAAATTATGAAAATGATTTGCCAAAAGCCATTTTTATAATATGACCAAATTCTAAAATTTGCAATTTCTTTCAATTTCAAATTTGTGTAAATTATACTATAAAATGTTTTTAAAGTGATACAATTTCATTGTTGAATTTTTGATAAAAAACAAATTGTTAAATGATTCTTAGAAAAAAATTACTTACACAATTGATAAAAAAAAGTTTCGTTGTTTTTTTTTTTTATAAAAGAAATTAAATAAAATTATAGCATTAATATAAGATTTAATAACTCGAGAAAAAAGAAATATATATATATTTTTTTTTTAAATATTTAATAATATTTTTACATTGTTTTGTAACAAACAACACATTTAGAAGGAAACAGGAATTAATAAAAAAAAATTATTTAACAAATACCATAAAACAAAGAAATACAAATACAAAATTAACAGAGAGTTTAAAAAACAGGACAATATAAAATAAATTATTAAATATTTTATTTAATAACGAATAATTTAATACTACAAAAACCATAAAATAACACTGTCCAAAATATATATGTACGTTTATTTTAATATTAACATATAATTGTATTCTTCAAAAACTTTGACTAATCTAGGGACATTTTTTTCACTTTATTTAATTAAAAACTTTTTTTTTAACTTTTTATACAAATAATAAAGAATAAATTAGGTTTTAAAATAAAAATTCAAGCTTTAAAATATAAAAGGATTTATAATTTTAAGTATTGAAAGGTTTTAATAAATGTGTATTAATCTTAAAAGTCATTTAAAAGGATTAAAGTTGTATATCGGCGGAGAAGCTTTCTTCTACAATACGAACTATAATATGTACTAGTTCTTGTTTTTTGCTACTTCGCTCCGGATCAGGGTCCGGTAAATATCTGAATATTAACCAAAGAAGTGCTTAATACATAGTTGAAAAGGAATACATTTTTGCTTAAAATCATAGATCTCACGGCTATATTTCATTACTGAACAATAAAAGTCTTCAATGGAAAAAATTACATCGAAAATCTAAGTTGAAGAAATCCATTAATGTAATTCTGAAAAAGCAACCCATTAAGGAAATGCTCAGCAAAAGCAAAAACCTACATAAGATCGAGTAAATTTTAAGTAAAGGCTCTAAGAGAGCAACAAGATTTAACGAGAGCCAAATATATGTAGTTCCACAGAGACACTACAATATAATGTAGAGAATCCACTGCTCTAGACTTAGAAATAACTCCTTTGAAAAATGCAAAACGCATTCGCGATATAAAAAAGCTTTTACATGGTCCTTCGAGCCAGATTAGTGCCATGGTAAGTGACTAACAACCACTTGGATGTGAAGAAACTTTTTTCATTATCAATTATTCTCTATTTATCGCCCCTATGATTTTTGATTGTTTATCTAAACTTCTACGAAGTATAGAACAATCACCACTAACTACATTTTTAAAATATTTTTTGAAGACAATGTGATTTTAAAAAGTGGTCCTTAAATAAGACGAATTATGGTTCGATTATCATAAAAAATCTAACCCGATCTGTGCAGTATAAGTAGATCTGTGTCTTAGAAACAAGTAAGAGGATGTACAACTCCTAGAAATACATATCTCTTATGGAAATTCATAAATTATTCAACCTCACAATAACGCTTGTATATGGTCCTTCGAACCAGATCAGTGAAACTTTAAATTCATTAAAAGGATTTCAAAGTGATTTATTGGGGTTAGAGTAATATTAAGAAGTGATTATTAAATGTCTTACTATTGAATTTTATTTGGAAAATTAAAATTCCAAGAGAGAGAGAGAGTTATAGGGATTATTTTTAATCTTTTAAAATACGTATTCAAAGGATGGTTATTAAGAATATTTAACTTAAAGACAGACTTATGTGGCTTTAGAGAATATATTTTCTGTTCTCTGTATAGCATCTATGACCAGAGAGAATAATTCTGGTTTCTGTAGTGATAAATTAAGCTTCTGACTAATTTTGCTTGTTTTTAATAAGGGGGCGAGTTCTTAAGCCCGTGAATTTTTGAATTTCGAGGTTATTAAATGACATCTGTCAAATAACTTTTGTAAAAATTCGATCAAAGTGTTTCATTTAGTTTGTGTTTGACAGCTATTGATAAGGTGATATGAAAAGAACCATCACATACCAAGGCTAAGCTTGATAATAATATGGGAACTGTAAACCATCAATTACAATACACTGAAAGTGGTGACTTCGCAGACTCGGAAGATATCGAACGTCCTGTACGACTAGTCGGTCGGATATTCAAAGTATGAAAGATTTTCGATGCCATAGGCATCTCACATGGCTCTACGAATTAAAAAATTTAAATGATCACATGATAATTTAAATGAAGAAGCTTTCCGCTATATGGGTGCTGCATTTAATCACCATCAATGCAAGAAATAGGTGAACGCATGAGAAGTTTTCATGACAAAAATTCATGATTTTTTTATATTATTCTGCGGATTTAGACCCGAGTGACTATTTCTTGTTTCCAAAACTGAATAAATAGCTCTGCGGAAAGAGATACGTATATCGAAGTGCTTTACGTGAGCAAATGCCCTGAGGGCCTTATTTCACGATGGAATTTTTCATCCACTGGGTAACCTTGTGAACGGTTTACCACCGCGCCTTTACATGAACCGGCTGAGCCGGTTCATGTAAAAGCACTTTGCTGAAGTACTCGAGCGATCTAATCCCTTGCCATAACAGGTGTAATGAGACAAGCTCTAACTAGATCTAACTAGATCTAACCCCGACAAAGGAGAACGCAATCATTGGTTAGAGTCGATAGAAGCAGCGGACCCAACATCAGGTGAAAACACCCTATTTATGTTATGAGAAATGCTCTGTCCCTACAAACATTCTCATCATCTAAAGACTCACCCCAGTTCATTCCTGGACCTCTTAAAGTCGACCAACCACACTACTGAGATGAATTTTGTTGGTTTTGCAACAGCACCTAGAAATCTATTCTGTAGCCCGAAATCCCATGATCACTCGAATGGAAGGCAATCACTGAAAGCTAACCTGACAATTCTCCAGCATATACCGGCTCCCTACTACACGACCGGTAAGAAATACCGATCGGGTTCAGGAATCCAGCATATGCTTCTTTATACACAGACCTGTGTCATTTGAAAAGAGAATTAACCAACGAATTATGTATAGGATATATCAGCCCTTAAACCTTAAAGAGACCAAAAAAAAGAAATCATCGCACAAAAAATTACTTTTTTGATGGCCTGTACAAATCTTGTTTTTTTTTTTGAATACGCAGATTTATTGACTCGCCTTCGTAAATGTGTAAGCTTACAGTCATGTGAAAGAGAACAAAAGAGAGCTCTTTACCTATACTTGATATAGAGATAACAAAAATAGAGTTAAAGCTTCAAATATTATGAAATATTTGACCAGATAAGCTTCCCTAAGTTACCATTCTGTTGCAATAAAAATTTTACGTAAGTGATTTACACTGAACATAGAAAACTAAATTTGATCATGAAAATATTACTTAAAAATTACTTTTAAGTTAAATACACTGAACGCATTTAACAAATATTAACAAACTAACAACTCTTGGAAAAAACAACTCAATTTAAACACAAAAGGGAAAAAAATTAACAAAATTAAAAACCAAGAACATTATTAAAACTAAAGTTTTGGCAAAAACAAATTGGAACTTAAATAAAAAGAAATTACCTGCTTCGCCTTTTTCGCCACCTTCTGTAGACATATTAGCGAGTTTTATTAAATAAACAATTTCACAAAAAATAAAAAAATAATTAAAGATAAAAAAATTACACAAAAATGTTTAAAACAATGGAATGAAATAAAAATTGTTAGAAAAAAAAACATAACTCAAAAGAAATAAAATCATACAAATTAAATACATTTGAAAATGTGATAAAAATTAAATAATAAAGTTTTCCAAAAACAACATTTATGTACAAACAATTTGTATTAAAATTAATTTGTTTATAATAGAAACTTTTTCATTGGTTAGTAAAGTAATGCCTGATAATAATTATTTCTGTGTAAAATTTATGTCACATGTGCTTTTTTCAGTATTTGAAAAGTTTTAGTACTCTGGTTTTTTCAGGTTTTGTTTTTCTCATTTGCAAATTTATTTTGTTAAGTGTAGTTTTGGTAGTAACGAATTTAAATGTTTTTTCTTGAACTGGTTTTGGTTTTTGAAAAAACAAATAGTAATACAATAATTGAATTGATTTTTACACAATTTATACAAAAGTTTTGTATGTGTTTTAAATTGAATTTGACATATGACAAATGAAAATCAATAAATTGAAACATACCATCATCACCATAGTCCTCTTCACCCTCCTCCTCTTCGGTATCTGTGGACTTGGATTTACCCAGACTTTTCAGTTTTTTTCTTTTGGCAGCATTACGACGTCGTGCTGGAATGTAAATGGAAAATATATTTAATATAATTTTATAAAATTAAGAACACGATTTTAATACCCTCCATAATGTGCATTCTTTCCTCTTCGGTTGTACGCTCTTCGGCTAATATCACTTCCTCTGTGTAAACATTAAGAGAGAGAAAGAGAAAACAATATTAATAACAAATTCTCTTAAGCATATTTAATTAAATATGTTAATAATAATTTAATTAAATTATTAATTAATTTTAGTGTTTGTTATATTTTTTTATATGGTTTTAAACATTTCACAATAAAAGTGTATGTGTTAGTGTTAAGGATTAGTAAGAGTTTAAGTTTATTTTAAGTATAAATTAATTGAGTTTTATTTTGATTTTTAACAAAATACTATACCAGCTCTACATATCCACTGAACATAGCCGTTTAATTCTCTTTCTAGTTGCTGTTGTCTTCTAAGTTTAAGAAACTCTTGTCTATTTTCTACTTTTTCACGTTCTTTTGCGAATTCACTACAAACAAAAATATTTTTCGTTTTGGTTTTTATGTTGTATATTTTACAAATGAACATAAAATTATATAAAAAAAAATTAAACATTTACATTCACAGAGTTTTATGAGAAAGAGTTTAAAATTAAAATATTTAAATTTAAATAATAATTAAAATCTAAACAAGGAAATAAATAATAATTTTAGAAAAAACGCAACTAAACTAAAAGGGAAATGAAATGTTAATGTTTTCGGTTTAAAGCTTAAATAAATAGACTTATAAAACTTAGTAGACAGAAATGAATTATTAACTAAAATTAAACTTAATTCTGAAAGTTAATTATTCAAATATTTTTGTATTTCTTTTATGTATTTTAATTATGAATTATTTGACGAGGATGAGTTAGTTTTTACCAGGTTACTAAAGATCAACTTCTAGTTTTGGAATGTTAAATTTAGGTATTTATTAGTTAACGGGATAACGAGCGAAATACTTTTTCATTCAAATGTTTGTTAACGTTAGGACTAAAATCAACTTTCTTAACTATTAAAAGGATTTAGGAAGATAAGTACATACAATGTTTTCCTTGTGTGGGGATATCGGTTTACTATTTGCATAGTATTGACCAGAACTTCACTATGTGATTTGCGAAGTTTAAAAAAGGTTTTCTGATTCTGAAGACGTTTCCAAACCACAGAATCAAATGCTTAACGTATTCGAGGACTTACAATATAGTATAACACATACACTGGGGTCTTAAAACAGCCCACCACCACCCCCTAGGGTTACAAGGAACAGGTGATCGGATCAAGTTCAACTGTTTGCTTAAAAGCTTGAGCTATCTAATCTTTTGCGCCCCGCTGATCCGACAAATGAAGAGTCAAATACTGACTTCTAGTGAGGATCCAGCGTATCGCTAGAGACCGTAATGGCTCCGGAGACATTAATACAAATGCTCAGCGATACTTCTGAGGTGACATCCCTTCATTCGGCAAAATTAACTAGAGACATATTAAGTAGCTATAAATATGTCACTAGTCCATATATCAGACCTTTTCATCTACAGCGACAATAGGACTGGACAAGTCCAGCTGGCAACTGCTTTTCACTGTACTATTGTATACCAGTTAGCAGTGAGTTTATAAACTGCTTAAGCTCTCGTAAACATACGGTGAGAATGCAATATAAATGAGCTTTTAATGAAGGAATAGCTATGAAGATTATTGATCACAGTCGGTGGAAATCCTTGATTTTCCCCAGATTGAGACAGCCAAAAACCCAAAGTATTGCGAACATTTTTTGAACTGAAGGCACTAAGGAAAACCAACGTAGCAAGTCTCTAACAAGGCATGTCGGATTCTTTTGGAATAGTAGAACTCTGATGACGCAAAATGTAGCATTGATTCGAATACTAACGATCCCGGTCGATATAAACAACTGCTTTATGATATAATTTCTGTTAAAACGAGACAAGGAGATTTCTTAGTAAAATTGTAATACTACTTCATAGATTATCGTTAGATCATGAGCTATAGTTGACGCAGAAAGTAGTTTTGATGTTTCAGCTGTAATAAAAATGTAGGAATAGATTCGAAGACTAAAGATCCCGGGCGGTGGAAACAACTGCTTAATTACATGATTTCTGTTATAACGTTAATCCACAAGGAGTAAAATTGTAATATGATTTCATGGTTTGACCTTAGATCATAAGTCATATTTTTCCAAAATTTAGGTTTTAAAAACAATGTAGTAATGATTTGTTTAGTCTTAGGCTGATGTCAGAGTGGGCGCTACAAGCGATGCGAAGTTTTGCGCTACAAACTTTTGCTTGTGTTTTCTCGCATCAAGCATAGCTTTCACTCGGACATGAAACATAGGAAAACACATTGAAAGGTTTGCTGCGCAAAGCTGACATCAGCCTTACTTGATACGCCAACCTGATATTTGACGACTCCTTGGTCTGACTCTAGAAGTTTTATGGTTCATCATCTAAAGACAAGGAATGCATTTAACTACCCCATCTTATGGAAATGTCAAATACAAAACCCCTTCATGCCACTGGAACTAATATGATCATAACTAATCAAACATTAGCTATTATTGGGGTCACAGACTGACTAGACAAACAAATTTCCACTCCAATACTTCATTGATATGAATGAATATGAAACTTTGTGAGACCGAGGTTAACAACCTTCTAATGGTAACTTCTGGTTTCGTAGATCATTCCCACGACAATAACATCTTCGGTCTGGAATGAAACGAATCATACAGTGCATAACAGTAGAGCCACATGATCGTAGAGGTGGTATAATTAATATAATAGCCACCTAGTGTTCGTGCTAAAATCCAAGCGTCCTATACAAAATTTCAGCATTTGAAGTCGGACTGCCCAACAGATTGATGCCTCAAACGCGGCCATGTATTAATTATACATTCCGAGTACCAACACTACGAATAATATTAGTAAGAGAGATCATCTGAAATGTCAACGACTAGGGTGAAAGTGATTCCCACAATTAAAAGTCAGACTGCCCAACTGACTGAAAAGATCTTCTGCAGATTATTTCTCTGACGCTGCCATGTATTAGTCATACATTCCGAGTACCAACACCACGAACTATATTTGAAAGGAAAATCACCTGAAATGCCAACGACTAGAACGAACGTAGTTTCCACAAGTTCACTTTTGTTAAATTGATCGAAAAATGTGAAATAGAAATGTATGCGATCGATGATTTGAAAATAATTGAGTGAGTCCATAATTTTTCAAGTGTATTGATTGACAGTGCATTTACAATTATTCAGAATAATAGTAGTTGTATTTATTATTTAGTTATTTGTTTGTTGATTTGTTGTAGCAAATAGACTTGTGGTGCATAAGTGTAGGTATTTTATTATCTTGTAGCTTATTGTATTGTTATTGGTAACATATTTTATAATATTACGATGATTTTTTACTTTTTTCTTATATTTTATATAGAAACTTGCAATCAAAACACCATCACAGAAATACAAATGATCCATCCAATGTAAAAAAATATATCATTATTAATATTTTTATATGTATATGTTTTTTTTTTTTAATATAGAACAACGTATAGACATACAAACGTATTTGCATCAGCTGGTATAATTTATTAATAACTAAATGACTAAAAAACACTGAGAGCATACACTCTAAATACTAAAGATATTTATAAGATTTGTGTTGTTTTAGGAAAGGAGAAACAAAAAAACAAAAGACACTTGATAGTAAGCGGAGAAAATTGTTTTAACATTTAAGCCATTGAGAGTGATCAAATATTAAAAGCTTTTAAGCTTATTAGGTTTCAATAATCTTAAACTCTTTTTGACTCAAGTGTTTTTTATTTTTTAGGGGTTAACTAACTAATTTTTTGGATTTGAAAAAAAAAATTACATGATTTGAAGAAAGAATTTTGTAATATTTATAGAAAAAATGTTTTGTTTTAGTTTGATTAAATTAACATGTTTTTTTTTTTTTTTTGAAAAGGGGAAATAGTAAATTGTATATAACTCAGAGGAGGACTTTTAGCAATAATTGCTTTGATTTTGGTTTCTAAAACCAAATGTGTAACTGATTGTTTTGTTGGGAAACTGATTTGGTTTTATTTTTGAAAGTGTATATAAACCTGCTTGTGTTATCCAATCAAGATATGATACCATGGCCGTTTGAAACATTGCACGAAAACGACATTTTTGAAATTCCATACGACGTTCAACGCGATTACGTTCATTGGAAAATTCACTTGAAAAATTTCATAAGAAAATAAAATAAATAAACAAAAATTAAAAATTTTTTTGTTGGCTAACAGAAAAACAAACTAAATAAATAGAAAGAAACTTAGTAGTAGAAAGTTAATTGAGAGTAAATTATTAGAAATAATAAATTAAGTTAGAGTTTAAATAAATTATATTATTAAAATAGCAGAAATTTGTTGATAACTTTAAAATACATATATGTAATAGGAAAATTAACAAAGTCTTGCAAACTTACCCGCTAAGAACACCAAGAACTAAGTTGAGCATAAAAAATGAGCCTATAACTATAAGAGGCACAAAATATATCCAATTAAATTGTGAACCTAAAGCGTCGTTGGTCTGGAAAAAGATGTATGGCATATTGGTTGATTTTAATTAAATTATTTTTTTTTCAAATAGAAAAATAAGAGAATAATTATTAGATTATTAATATTGTTTAAGTTACAGGTTAGATTGAAAGATTTATTAAAGAGATTGAAAATAAAAGCTTTTAAAAGCTCTGCTACACAAAATGTTCTAATTTTAAAAGAAGTTCGATTAACAACTGGAACAATTGTTAAAGCTTTTGAGTTATTAGTTTTCTGTTAATAAAGAAATGGATTAAAAAGCTTTCACTTTATAAAAGTTCAGCTTGAACTTTGAAGAAAGCTTTTTTGATACATGTTTAAATGACATATTTAGAAATAAATATAATTTCAAGATTTGTTTAGAATAACGAATTTCCTTGAAATCATAAAGAAAGCTCGTATATAAAAAAGCTTACATTTGCTAAACTTTAATTTACTATTAAATTTTACAAGATTTCAAAAAAACTCTTACAAATATTAAAAGCTAAACAAATTTCATACATATTTTGATTTTATAAAACGAAAACTTTAAAAGTTTACTGCTGGGACATAAGGCTGATGTCATAGTGCCTGCTACAAGCGATGCGAAGCTTTGCGCTACAAACTTTTGCTTGTGTTTTCTCGCATCAAGCTTCGCTTTCACTCTGACATGACACATAGGAAAACTATGACATCAGCCTAAGGCTTGTGCTTTAAGAATTTCATATGTTGGGCACAGAAAAGCTTTTATATACAAAAGTTCATAAGAAAATATAAAATTAAGCTTTTTTTCTTTCAATAAATATTTAATCTCTATAAGAACTCATAAATTAAAAGCTCAATGTAAGCTTTTAACTTATATATTACCAGCTTTTAAAATATTTTCAATCTCTTTAAATAATTCTCATATTAAAAATGATATTACATAATATCACGACAACATTGTTATTATTTACAAATAGTGTTTAAAATATTAAATATTTTTTAACTATAATATTTAGATACTTGTATACATTTTAACAATGCAATGATGCCTTATAGTTATGTCATGAAATTAATGAAAAATGTCAGTATGTTTAAGCCATATTTAAAGCATTTGATTTTTTATAAATTTTTGATTTAAATTTTTAATTATTATTTTCAATTTTAGCATAAACATTAAAGTAATTGTAATAAGCTCAGATTATAAGCCTAATTATTATAACTTTTTTTTGCCAAGCATTTTATTATAAATTTGTATTTTTTGTGTGCGCTGAGTGTTTTATTTATTATTTTAGAAATATGAATAAAATTTAGTTTTAAATAATTTACCAATTCAGAATGATTTTACTACTTTAAAAGTTATACATTTACGAGCAAAACTACTTACACATTTAGATATTTTAGAGAGTTACATTTATATTAAGAGATATATTGTATTTTTATATGTATTTAAGATACAAGTTCAATTGATGATGCATTTTGCTTTTCAAAAATGAATTCTTTTAAGTTTTTGTTAAGAATTTTGTTAACTAATTGTTTTTATAATTAATGGAAGTTTAACTTAACATCCTGTCTGGATTATTTACCAATTGTGGTATAAATCGTAATCAGAATAATATTAGTTCTAAGATCAGACTTTCTCCCCGCGACCCTATTAGACAGATGATTTTTAGCGCAAACTTTATAGCCAAGTTACAAATAGAGTGTTAATTCATTGTGCCAACCCACTACATTCATAGAATAAACTGCAAAATGGAATGTCGGACATTCCATAACAACAATATTTGCATCCAAAGTAGAAGGTACGATCGCCAAAGTTCGAGAATATTCCTTGAAATTTTTTTGATCTATTTATTGTAAAGTCGTTTTCGGTATAACTCATCATCATTCGACTATTGCAATCCTAAATTTATTCTGATACAAAACAGAGATCATATGTCATCCGAAACCACTAGACTGATAGTCAAATTAAAAATCAAAAAAAATTGAGGCAGTCGGCCATTTGACCGACTCACTTGCGTCCTAGTGGTCCCGTTGGGATACCCTATAACGGATATTATAAGGAAGACATTACATGTGCGTGATTGACATGGTATTAAACCAGCCAGAGGCACGATTGAACGATTCTATCTTATATTAGATAGAGCCGCAAGTTCATGCAATGTTGGACTGTTTAGAAACTCAGTCCTGATATTTGCCAGGGCCGGACAGAGGCAGCGGAAGTGTTCTACGGTTTACTCTTCATCCTCACTTTGACAACTCCTGCAATAGTCATTGTATGGAAGATTTAATCTTCTTGCATGCGCACTTATAATACAGTGCCCTATAAGGATGGCTACCAATATACGCAGTCTCATCCTGGAAAGCCCCATCAAACAAAAAATCCATCGTTTATAATATAGAGGCCAGGTCATTCTTGATGTTGAGCAGTATGTCAGTGATGACCATCTGGTCTGAACAGACCCATAAAGTTCATGCTGAATAAAGGCTTTACAGCATGAAATCGGAACACAAACTAATGTATCAGTATCCCTTATGTGAAGGCGGGAACCAGTTTTTACCAGTTCGTCCGCTTTTCTATTTCCGGGAATATTAGAGTGACCCGGTACCCAGTGTAGTTCTAGGCACGAATGATTCGCCATCTCGTCAAGAGACACCCAACATTCGCGAACCAGTCTGGATGTCGTGTAGACACCAGATAAAGATTATTCCATTGCATATCCTATAGTACCTCATCAATTAACCGCTCTTTTTATAGCTGAGATTTCAGCCTGTAAGACGCTACAGTAGTTGTCTAGCCTAAAACACACCGCCTTATTTAAGCGGGGGATAAAGAAATCACCATCCACGCCTGAAGAGGACTTAGATCCATCAGTATAGATGTGAAGTGTTGCACCCTCTGAGAAGGATGGATCGTTCAAGAATATTCCGAGAATTTTTTTCATCTATTTGTTTTTATCTGAATAGATCTGAAAAAAGTATTACATCAAAAGAATAATCTACTATAACTGCTGTTGGAGAATATTCCTAGAACTTTTGTTGTAAAGCCATTTTTAATATTTTAATTAATAACCAGAATATTTGACTATTAAAAACATGTCTTAAAACTATTCTACCCTCCTTTGGCTGTACAGATTTGATACACGACAATAACAGTAACAGTGATATTATTAAATTCGGGCCAAAGTTTTGAATATTATGTTCCAGAGGCAAAATTGTAAATCTTTATCTAAACAGATTTGAGACAATTATCTCGGGCAACAGATCGTTCATGATGAGAATTATTACTTTCTGTTTGTTATAAAGCCTTTTCTAAGTAAAATTTAAATGAAAATTATTGCATACCACTATAAACCCTAAAATTTTTGATTCACTAATTGATATTACAAATCTTATTACATATAATTCATGTTTTCATTGAAAATGCATCAAAATAGAACTTTCATTAAAATTGTTTTCATAAATATGGATTTGTAAATGAAATGAAAGAAAATAAGTTATTTTTGTCTATTCTTTGTTTTTTTAGCAATAAAAAATTAGAGCGCTACCGATAAACGATAGGCAATTCTGTATTAGGTAAATTATTATACACACACACACATACGCACGAGAAATGGTTCAAGTCAGAGAGAGAGAGAGTAGAAATATGTTACAAAAAGGAACTCAGCTTATATTTTTTTATTAAATTTTTCTTCAGAAAATAGCACACTTTTATCGTATAAAAAAAATTTTATGGAAAACAACGATATCATTTAACAATAATAGAAAATGTTTTAACAAAAAGTAGAAAGATCAACGTTGTTTGAATGTTTTTGAATATTTAAAGAAACATTTATACAATTAAGAGAAAAATACAACAACATGCGTTTTTTGTTAACAAATTAGTAGTAGAAATGAAGTTATTTTTTTACAAAGTTTTACTAGAAATTAGAAAAATTAGCAAATATTTAAGAAAAGTTTTTAAAAAGCTTTAAGTGACAGCTTTTAAAAGACTTTATCTTGAAAATAGCTTAACTTTCTATTTCTGGTTGTAAACTTTTAAAGAGAAATAGCACTGAAGTTTGTAAAAGCACTAAAGCTTTATATTACAAGTGATAGTGTTGTATTAGAAATTTTTTTAACATTAGCTTTAAGTTCTCCCTTAATTATATTTATATAGCTTATGGTATTTTCTCTTATATATCAATAATTATACAAATTCAACAAAAGCAATGAAAGTTTTATAATTTTAGCATTAGAAGTTTTAGAAACATAATGAAGCTTAAATGATTTTTTTATGTAGATCATATACAGCTTTCACGATTATTAGATAGAAGAAGTATTTTTTATTTGTTTGTAGTTTTAAAAATTTAGAAAATATTTGGCCTATTATTGGCATTTACCCAATACAGTATTGCTGTCCAGCCTTCCATAGTGATACATTGGAATACAGTCAACATGGCAAAACCGATATTGTCAAAACTAGTTATGCCAGAATTTGGTCCATCCCATTTTTCCAAACACATACTCGTCGTATAATTACACATATATGCACCACCGCCTTTATCTGTTAGAGTATCCGTATTACACGGTGTTTCTGATTCACCTTCTTTCACAGGTTTATCTGTAATAATGAAGAAAATCATATTAAGTTTTTTCTTAATAGTTCTATGACGTAAGCATGGAAAAAGGATTAAAGCTTTTTTTTTATTAAGTTTGTTTTAATATTGGAGCGATAAATACTTGGATCTTCTAAACTATAACAAGTCTTATGTAAAGCACCCGAATAGAACTCGAGTCCAATGATGGCAAATATAACGATCGCAAACAACACCAAGAGACCAATTTGTAGTAACGGTGCCATTGCTTTTATAATGGACTTTAAAACTACTTGTAAACCTGTGAATGAAATTCAAATTTTGCATAACACACAAGAAAGAGATAAAAAGAAAAAAATATATTAGTAAAAATTTCTTTCAAAATGTGGAAATATTAAAATTTTAACTACTGTTTTAAATAAACTAGTTATGGCTAGTAAACTACTATTTTTGATAAAATATTTAAATATTTATATTTTTTTTAATATACTACAACTAAAAACCAAATTATAATTTAAATTTACTCTAATTATTTAGTTTAAAAAAAAAAATAAAAATGATATATGTTATTACTAATTAACTACTCACTAGGAATTCCAGAGACTAATTTTAAGGGCCTTAGCACACGTATGGCCCTAAGAGTTCTTAGATCTACTTCGGGCCCTAATTGTGGGAATTGTGTCATGAATCTGCTCATATGACGTTTTTAATATTTTGATATTTATTTATTTTGATTTTAGCAATAGTTTCAAAATATTTTTTTTTTTGATTGGTTTTAAATAAAAAAAAGAAATTAAAAAAATACAAATATATTTATTTAATAAATATAATTCAACTGGCATTAAATTTTCTAATTAAAGAAAAAAAATGTTTACACATTAATTTGTTAATAATCAAATGAGTAGAAAATGAAAACATAAATTATAAAATTAAAATTAAATTTAATGAAGCTACATTTAAAGCAAAAGTTGAAATTAAAAGAAGTTGAAATCAAAAAGAAATTCCACACGTTTTTTTTCGTTAACAAAAAATAGACCCAAGCAGCTAAAGCTAAATATTTTTGAAATTAAAGTTTTTATAATGAAAACTAAAATAATGATTTCTAAATTTATATTTGGTTTAACCACTAGTAATAAAATGTTTTTGTTTTCACACAAAAAAATTATAATTATAAATATATTTTTCTTTACTACCTCTAGGTTCGTTTGTAATTTAAGTTTTTTGACAGTTTTATGCTTCTTTATAACTCCTCAGTTTCTGAGTTATATGCTTAAATCTAAGAAACTATATTTTTTATAACTAATGAATGAAAGTAGTGAAACAGTTTTTAATAAGTCATTATTGTTGTATCTTTAGCTTTAATGCTACAGAGAAACTGTTTATTTGTATTCTTACCGTCATTATTTGAAACGACAAAAAGAAACCGTTCTACCAAAACAATTAAGAACTCTGATTAACTTGTTTGACTTGAGGCCAACAACTGAAAATTTGACTGAATTCGACTGCAAAAAGCATTAAAACAGATATAAAGTTCATATCTTGAAAGACTTTCACATTGTACCCCGTAAGTCTACTAGGATCTACATACGACGAAAAAATACGAGATATCGTTTCCTGATAGAGTACTTAGGTTAAATCATATTCTGCATTTAGACTTTCGTTAAGCATGAATTCATTGATCAGATTCAATACAAATGATTTATGGTTTAGTTGCTTTCAAAAGCGCTGGCACGAGTGAATACTTCGTAATGTCTGGCCGCATATTAAGGGCGTTTTTTTGGCGCATACTCGCTTCAAAAGAATCAGTTGCATTTGGTACAGGGTGCATGTGATGTTCTGGCTAGATTTAAGCAGCTTTTACTTAAATGAGACATTGATTTTTGGCTTTGATATCAAATTGGTTGGTGGGGCAAAATGGATGCATTATTCGTAGCAAATAATGATTCGTTACAGAAGTATTTCGTACATGCATATCTTTCAAGGTCTCTTTTTTTCAATATAGTATATGGTATATAATATCTCTGCTTTTGGATGAATGCAGCTGATCTCAAAAGTTTTGGAATTGCTGTCTAAATAGCTTTTGTTGCGTCGAATGGTTTTGCGTTCGTCAGGTTAACTACCTTGAGCTTCCTTCCCTTTAAAGCTATTATATTCGCCCTTTCGTTGCCGACGACTCCCGAGTGGTCTGGTACCCACATGATGCAAACCTTATCTCTGGGAGAGTATTCAGTTAAAGCTTTTTTACAAATCAATATGATCTTAGATTTAATTCTATCACCTGATATCGCCCTAATTGCCTTCTGGTTGTCGGTAAATATATTAAGCCCTGTGAGCGCCATATTTATTCTAATCCAATTTACACATTCCGTTATTGCTTGTGTTATGTTTAGGTTAACGGTGGTATATTTCTGTTTCTGGGTATCCCAGGGCCACTTTATCCCCCACTATCCACTATAATTTAGAGCCATCCGTGTAACAAACGATTCCTACTGGTATTTGCTCTAGTTTCCCGCTTAACCAAGACATTCTATCTGGGATTAGCGTTTCAAAGTTTCCGACATATTCTGTGTCTGGTATGCGATCAGGCACGTCCGATGATTGTGTACAACCTTCCAATGTGTCTTGTGTACATTGATGACGTGTCCTATAACCGCTTTTGGCCAGTTCGCCTAAAATAAAGAGCCGTTCGGCTGTAAGCGCCGCCTTATATCTTAAATATGTTTCAATAGGTGGAATATCTAGCAATTGACAATAAACTTCATAGAGTAATGCTTCTAATTCTAGGTCTTTCAACTTTTTGCAAAGCAAAATCTTCACACTACATTAGAGGGAATAAATTTTATTTATGTATCCTTAAAAATAACATCAAATAAAGATGACAATCAGGTTCAGGTATTTTGAAGTTTTACTACACCCAATGTTTTTCAGCAATCTTTTAAGATCACGGGGAAAAAATTTTAGAGCATTTCTTAAAAACGCGGTTCCTCGAGACACTCTAGTATACATATGTATGTATATAGGTTGAAAACCTCGTTCCTTTAAATAATATTCTTTCGTAAATATACTGTATTTGTACACGACTAAAAGTTGTTTCAGCTCAACTTTCTTCAATATTATTATGTACTAGTATAAATATCAATATGACCGCTTAGTTGACAAGTTGATACAGGTCTGTTGTCAAGTTGAAACCAGTGCGTGGACAATTTTCTGTTGTCGAATTAAGTACGGCATGGTGATAACGTGATTCACACAGTAATAGTGTCTTTTGTTAAAAAGTGAAAAAGTTCTTCTTTTTTTCGTAACTTATATCGCATTGATGTCCAAGGATATACCTTTCTAAGTGGATATTTAAGTCTAAAGTTTTCTTTTAATAATAAACTTATAAAAACTGTTTCAAATTATTTATTTATTCAACTACAAAATTAAAAATTTTATTAATAAAAATTAAGACACATTTAATGATACATATATTTATTACACACACACACACACACGTTAAAAAGAAGTTATCTAAATTCTTCGCAGTTTTTCTAAAAATAAGAGATTATTATAAAAAAATATGTTTTAAAAAATTAACGGCTACTCATAGTCTTAATATGAAGTGTTAGAAAATATTTATTTTCAAAATTTAAAACAGACTTTTAGGAAATTATTTATTTTCTATATTTTATTGTCAAAAAAATAATAACCTAAAAGTAAGTCTCTTAGACAAAAATGAACTTTCATATAAAGATCTAGGAAGCCGGGAAATATTTATTTTAGTTAGCACGGCTAAAGAGACACATTTATTTTTTATTTAACCAATTACTAAACTAATTTTAGACCATAAAGTTTTTATTAAAACTACTAGTTTTTGATAAATTAAAAAAAAAAATAATGAGACCCTAGCGGTTACTAGAAAAAAATTTAGATTGTTTTTTTTTATTGGAAAATGTTTATAGTATTAAACTAGCCTAATAAATACGATATCAGTTGGTAATAATTTTGCGCTAATTTTAATATGATCTCTAGATATTTAAACCTACGTAATGTATTATTGCGTTAAAGAAACTTTTATGAAAGAGGAAAATCTTACTTGGAATTCTTGAAACAAGTTTTAACGGCCTTAAAACACGAAATGATCTTAACATTCGTAGATCGACATCTATATTGGCCTCGGCAAAGATTGTCATGGCACTAATTACGTAACAATTATCGGGGTTTCAATAACAAAAACACGATCGTTTGATCACACGAGATAAAGTTGTAAAACCGTGAATTGGTAGATAGTATTTTTTTTTTATTAAAAAAAAAAATAATTTCGGTTGCGCAAATCAAAAAAAAAAGAAAATAAAATTAAAATAGAAATTAAAAACTCAAATCAAAATTTAAAAATTTACAAAAAAGAAAAAAAACGGAATGCAGGATATTAAAGTTCAAATAAAAGATAGTAATAGATGAAAGAGAGAAAAACAAGATGTTAGAAAAAGGAAAAACAGCACAATATTTGCAAATAAAATAAGTAAAAAAACCATATATAAACAATTTAATAAAACATAACCAAAAACAACTAGTCATTAAAAGAAAATTAAAAAAAAGGAATGTAAAAAAATATAAAGAAATTGTTGGTTTCCTTTTTTCGAATATAGACTTAAAGCTGTAGAGAGTTTTGTTGTTAAAAAAAGAGAAATACATTTGCACATACACTCACAAATACATACAAATTTCCACACACAAACACATACACACATACACACACACACATAATGAAATGAAAAATAAAGAAAATTGAAATGAAAACATTAAAATAAAAAAATAACATTAAGTCGTTAAGGACCGACTTTATGTGATACCCTACACCAATATAAAGTAATTTTAGAAAACTTATAATCGGTTTTTTTTTTCGTCTTAACGGATTTGATCTAGTTTACGTGATTTTAGGAGCTCGGATATGGAAGTTATGGTTTGATCCAAATATGTCTTCATTGCTACTGTTAATTGTTCTGAAAATTCTATGAGATTTAAAAGTGATTTCCGAAAGAAAACTTTATAATGGGGCCGATCCGCCTACTATTTTAATGTTTTCTTTCTAGTTAGAAAAACCACAACATTTTTAAAATTTTGTATGAATTTCTTACAGTTGGCATCTTGCGTCTAATCTCAGAGGACCGAGAAATGAAACGATTTCAACCATTTCGAAATATCTTCATAATTGAGACATACAATTTATCTACAGACAGATGGACGGACATTGCCTAATACTTCAAATGAAAAACAATGGTGTAGGGTAACCTAATTAAAGTCATATTCACACACAAATTGAACGCTTTTCAGAAAAGTGTCAAAAGAACTTTAAATATTTTCCAAATTCATTTAACACTTTCAAACCACCCCATCAATTTGTGTGTGTGTGTGAAAGAAAAATTTAAAGTCTTCGAAAAAACCAAAAAAGAAATTAGAATTAATATTTACCCCGTTACTACTACGAAGAAATCCATGATGTTCCAAATATTCCTGAGGTAGGAGTGTTTATGCAAAACTAGACCTAAGGCAAGGATCTTGAGCGATGCTTCTACACAGAAAATGCATAAAAAATAGGTCTCCGTTTTTTCCTAAATAACAAACAAAATTTCCATACATTAGTTACACTTTTACGTGGTTAAGCATAACAGTTGTTGGCCGTTGTTGGCTATTGAAATTAAATATTAATTGAAAACAATTGCCAACAGTTTGAGATTAAATATTCCACACTATATAGTAATTATGTTAAGCTGTTTCACATTTCTAATTGTTTTATTTTGTATGTGTTTTTTTTTTTTTTGGCAAATCAAGTTTTTTTCTTTTAGTTTGTTTTGTGTTTTTGTACTTACCAGCTTTTGGGCCAATACCGTTTTATCACACTCAGGCAAATGTTCTTCTAATGCCAACACAACACAGTTGGCAATGATTGTCAATAACACAGTGTACTCGAAGGGCGGCCATTCTATTATGAAACGTGTGTATTTTCTAATTGGATTATCCTCGGTGAGGATAAATAATGATGTGGGACCACCACCAGGTGGTGTTTCCTCTTTCTTTGGGCCACCCATTCTATCAGCTAAGCGATGGGCTCCCCTTCGACCCGAGTGCCCCCCGCTTGTGGAGCCCTGTTGATGCCCTGCTAGCGCCGCTTCCTGAGCCGCTGCCAACCTGCAAATGAAATGAGAAAGTAAATTAAGATTTTAATAAAAATTTAATTTTAATTAAAATAAAATTTTTATTATTTCCTACAAAAATTTACTAAATTTCTAAGTTCTAGAACAGATGCAAACAGAAGCATATCAGATTCATGAACAGCACCAATCTTTGCCATGTGGCCATTACTTCTGGAACTTAATACTTTTAAGATGTAGGTATTCAAGCAACCAGTTCTTTTTTTTTAAAAAAATCACAAATTTAATTTTTAATAAGAATTTTCTGCCTTAATTAATTTCCATTAAAATACAAAATGTTATAAAACAATTAACAGTTATATATTCGTCTGTGCCGAATGTAATATATGTATATACCCTTTTCCATGGTGTGTTAAAAAACAATCGACTTTTACAAAAAAGTACCACAAAGTCCCCTACTATAATTTTTTTTAATCAAGTTTAAATTAAAAAAAATCAAAAATCATCAACGAAAAAGTACTTAAAAGTTTATTCTTATAAATTTTCATTTCATCAGGATCCTATATGAATGCTACTATTCAAAAAAGTACCACTTGAATGACAGAAAAGTACCTTATATAAATTTTAATTCATTTTATTTAAACACTCAGCATGTTTAATTTTGCGTTTTTTAGGTTAAATATTATAAGTACCAAAAAATACACTCTTCTATCATAATAGAAAACTTATCAAGTACCCTTTGAAGATCGAAAGAGTACCTAAAAGTCCCTTTTCATAGGTTCTCCTTTATTCCGAACTCTACATGCTTTATTTTTCATGTTTCTAGGTTCAATATTAGAGAAATTTCAAAAAGTACCTTTTGAAGAACGAAAAGTAACAAAAAGTCCCTTTTCATAGGTTCTTACTTATTCCGAACTCTACATGATTAATTTCATGTTTCTAGGTTCAATATTATAGCAAATTCAAAAAGTACCTTTTGCGGAACGTAAAAGTACCCAAAAGTCGCCTTTTATAGATTCTCATTTACTCCGAGCTCTATATGATTAATTTCATGTTTTTAGGTTCAATATTATAGGAAATTCAAAAAGAACCTTTTGAACAATGTAAAAGTACCAAAAAGTCCCCTTTTGTAGATTTTCATTTACTCCGAGCTCTACATAATTAATTGTATGTTTCTAGGTTCAATATTATAGAAATTCCAAAAAGTACCTTTTGAAGAACGAAAAAGTACTAAAAAGTCCCCTTTTAACTCACTCGGGCTTACATTCTTAATTTCATGTTTCTGGGTTCAATATTATTGAAAATTAAAAAAGTGTCTTTTGAAGAACGTAAAAGTACCATAACGTCTCCTTTTATAGATTTCAATTTACTCTGAGCTCAACATGATAAATTTCATGTTTCTAGGTTCAATTATAGAAAATTAAAAAAGTACCTTTTGAAGAACGAAAATGTACTTATAAGTCCCCTTATATGGGTTCTCAACTCATCCGTGCTCTACATACTTAAGTTCATGTTTCTGGGTTCAATATTGTTGACAATTAAAAAAGGACCTTTTAAAGAATGAAAACATACAAAATGGTGTCCTTTAAAATGTTCTCACCTACTCTGGGCTCTACATGTTTCATGCTTCTAGATTCAATATTATAGAAAATTCAAAAAGTGCTTTTTGATGATCGACTCCGGGCTCTTCATGCTTAATTATGTTTTTAGACAATAACGACACACAGCTTCATTCGTAACGTGTTGTTCTTGCTCTGTTTTATTTTTGTTTATAAACAAAGTACAGGAACAAAATTTACCATTTAAAGCTTTATGTTGATGTGTTTTTTTTTTTTTTCTTTATGTCAAGGCATGTACAACAAATTCTGATTGATGAAATTTTCAGAGGTTTTCTCGCATTTTTGCTTAAATATCCGTTATTTATGGACCGATTTCTCGAAAGAAATGTCTGGCAGAATTGATGAAGATTTGTCTTCATAAAATTGTTTTCGACAAATATACAAACGGACAGACAAACGGACATAGGGCATTTGGGCAATTTCATATCAAGTGACCCAACAAAAGTCGATTGTGATGAAATTTGCACCACGGTTAGTTATCGGTCTATTTGTTTCGCTCTATCGGTTAAGAACTGCCGGGAGTGAGGGAGTCAAAGTTGGACATTTGGGTCATACAGGGTTTTAATCAAATGAGAGTTCACTTGACACGAAATTGCTCATATGTCTATATTTTATAGGATCGGAAAATCATATTATAGAAATTATAAAGGCGAAAGTTATAAGTCAATTATGGACGTGTAAGTCATTTTCTAAAGGTGAGCTTGTATGGGGACTGGGGTCAATTGAGGTCCGATCCTTACAAAAGACACCAGTGTCATTTACGTTTATATAGCACTTACTTGAGCCGATTTGTGTGGATTTGGGCTAAAAACCTCAAATCGGAAGGTCCGATTGTTTGGGGTCTAGGTGAAATAAGGGACCGATTTCAACTATTTACTATGGGCTTCGCCTTGGTAGAAATTTCATTAAAATATTTTGATAATTGCTGCCTGTACCTTGCTCACAAGATTAACATGGAAAGCCAGACTGCCGGACGAACAGACGGACTTGTGTTAATCGATCCAGCAAGTGATTCTAAGGTGGGTGTAAGTTCAATATTTTTGTGCGATAGAAACATCAGCACAAACTTATACTACCATCCCCACTATGTAGGTGTAGGGTATAAAAAATACCAAAAACTCAGATGTGATTTTATAGGGCAGGAATATATCTATATATGTATGTAACTAAATTACAATAATCAAATATTAACCCCCTAAACTTTCCGATTTCCTATAAACCCATAACCAATTTTATATCACCATTTACTTTTTCTATAATCAAATTATATTAAAATTTTCTATAATTACTTTACTTGAAATATTATCCCGTTATTGCTACTATGCACATAAAAGAGAATCCTGACTGTATTCCATTAATATTTCTTATTTTGCTAAATCATAATAATACTCAAATTTACATATTAACTCATTGATGACGTCACACACTCAACATTGGTATTCAATCAATTCAAACACTCAACAATTCATGTAGTGGTTGTTATTGTTTTACAATTAACAAAACAAACAAACAAAAAAATAGAGATCATGATCTCTTACTCTCAATTTTACACGAGAACTCATTAAAAACAAATTCAAGCATGAAATCGATATTTTCTTTTCTTTTTAATTAGTTTATTTTTGCATTTGCAAAAGCGTGGTTTAAATTCGTTGATCTCAAGTAAGTGTTTTAAAAAAAGTGTTTTAAAATGTAAAAGTGTGCTAATATTAAATTTAAAATAAATAAATTTTAATAAACTATAAAAAATATTAATTTATGTGAATGTTAAATATAATATACATCCTTGTATCGTGATTTTAATACGTGTCGTGAATAGTGTCGGAAAATGTTTGTTAGTTTAGTAGAAGTAATCAGCAGTGCAATAATTTTCTTTAAATATTAATAATTTTATAAAAAAAATTAAGTAAAAGTAATAATTTATATGAAATTATAATAAAGGAACCCCTTTTTGTTTTATTATAATAAATTTAAATAGAACTTTTTGTGTATGTAATAATTTTTTTAAATGTCTATTTACTGCGATTATGTACGTGTTGTTGTAATACACAATTTCATGTCAATGCTTGCTTTCGTCGATTCCTTTTTGATATTTCGTCTTTTGTGTTTTTTGCAAAAACAAATTTATGTAAATAAGAATCATAAGAGAGTATTGCTTTTATTAGAGAGTTTTTTTGAGAGAGCTTTAAATAGAGATTATTCAAAAACATGTAAACAAGTACAAGTAATAAAAAAGTGTAAATAATATCAATGTTAAATCGCTGCTACATATTTTTCTTCTATTTTAAAGGTGAGTGTAGTTTTGTTCAATAATTTATTTAGGGAATTAGTTTATTTAATATACATACATATTTAAAACATTTTGCATTATATTTGTTGTAATAAATTATTACACTAAATCATAATTTATTATACATATTAATTTTGCAATTTTGATATTTCCTGCCTTTTGAAATTAAAATAGACCTTAAAGGGAATAAGCTAATTGGAACTTTTTTCACAAATAAGCTTTCTCTGTTGATAAGGTTGATCTGGTATTAAAAATAAGTATATGGAAAAAGTAATGCCGATATATGTATGTATACACATGTCATATGTATATTGATATTAATATGAACGTGAAGGATATTTTCAGCAAAAGTAATTTTTATTGGGGCTTAAGTGAATTGTGGACCAAACCCTATATAAATCAAAACCGTCTTTAATTTCTTACAAGAAATCATTTTTGTCGATTTTCTTATATATTTAATTATGGACTGATATTTGATACAGACACTTGGTTTACATAGAACTTGAATTTGGGTTCTTATAAAACTTGTTTATACTAAAGTACATGGTTATACCTGTAATTTTAAACTAAGTAGATATGAATGTTAAGGAGATGCAACATGTAAACCCGTAATTTGGTACTTTTTTATAACCCATGTATGTTTTTAACCAGTGAACGTAGAAATTTAGAGAATAGAAATTTTTAATTCGTTTGTAACTTATCGAAAAAAAGGAATATAAATTAAGTACTTTTTTGAATTCCAACGTTTAAGGGGTGAAAATTGTACCTATTTTTATACCTTTATCATAAAATATTGTTTTCTGTTTATTATCTTATACTAGCACATGAATACTGACTTCCACTACAACTTTCTGGAACAGAAATTTTATTTCGTTAATGGGGAGGGAAAAAGTACAAAAAGGGGTAAAAACGTAAAATTCGGTTTTTTTTTAAACTCAATTAGCCAAATTTGCTAAAATTTTTAAAATTGGTATATTTAATAACACTTAGGGACGTTATCTCAACCTACGGTCATCGTTTAACCGGTGCATACTCCGCTAGTTAAATTAATTTTTATATGAAAACTATCAATCTATGGTTTCTATAAAATATAACCAGACAATGAGAATGCTAATCCGGTACCAATTGCTAATTTGGTACATTTTTGTTCTTAAAATGGCACTTTTTGAGTTTTCTTTAATATTAAACCTAGAAACATGAAATTAATCATGTAGGCCCCGGAATTATGTATATGAGAACCTATAAAAGGGTTTGTTTTTTTTTTTTTTTTGTTTTTCAAAAAGTAATTTTTGTATTTTCTATAATATTGAACCTAGAAACATGAAATTATACCCGGAATTTTGATACTTTTTCTTTCTTCAAAAGGAACGTTTTTAACTTTCTATAATATTAAAAATAGAAACATGAAATTAAGCATGTAGAGACCGGAGTAAGTGAGAACCTGTAAAATGGCACTTTATGATACTTTTTCGCTCTTCAAAAGGTACTTTTTAATTTTTCTCTAATTTTGAAACTGGAAAATGTGAAATTAAGCATGCAAAGCTCGGAGTATCCGGAGGATCCAGAAAAGGGAACCTTTTGGTACTTTTTCATACTTCAAAATAGAATTTTTAAATTTTCTGATAGAAGGAAAATTTATAAAAGGGTACTCTTTGGTACTTTTTCGTTCTTCAACTGGTACTTTTTGAATTTTTTTATAATATTAAACCTAGAAACTCATAACTTAATAATGAGCTTTTTGGTACTTTTTCATCTTTCTACTGATACTTTTTTGATATTCTGAATTATTGAACCTAGAATAATAAAATCGAACACATAAGATCCTGATGAAATGAAAATCTAATCTTTGGTACTTTTTCGTTTCAAGATTTTTACCTTTTTTTCAAAAGAGTTTTAAATCAAATATTTGTTTTGTACTTATTTATAACAAATTAATGTATCTAACAACCACTTAGGCTAACAGAACGTTCACACCTATTAAATATTTGAAGAAAAATACGTAACCAACGGTTTTTTGTATCTTACATGATATTTAAAATGTCAAAACACACAATAACATCTAAGGTATTAAATTTAAATCAAAATGTGTATGTATATTTTAGGGGTCACGTAATTTTCGTCTAATATTTGTTAGATGAGAACGTATGAGAACGTTTACATTAACAAACAAATATTTTATTTATTCCCATTGGTGTATTTATAAACACATGTACATAATCAAAACCTTTTCATTTATTTATAAATAGCATTTACTAGGATATCTAAAACTTTTACAATAATTACAAGGATTCAAATAAATCTAATATAGTTTCAAATATACAATACATATGTACATATGTATGTATTTAGAAAGAAACAGGTGAATAAACTATTAAAATTAAATGTTCCAAAATACTTATTTACATATAGATCAATGGTGCCCAAAATCACTGTTCCCTATCACGCGAGATAGGGCAAGAATATTCTGCTGACGTTGCGTTGACTCACCTACACTATAAGCTTACTTGTGTATTTTCTTATTTGAGCATGTGCTAGTTGATTATCTCTCAACTTGCAAAACAAAATCAACTCAGTTGCTGATCAGCATTTGTCGAAGTAAGATCTGTACGCAACTTTTTTAAAATCCACACAGAAATACAACAACAAAATTTTGAGAAAGCCGAATTTATGTAGGTGAATGAGAGAGCACAGCTGATAGTTTTTTATATATGAACTTTAATGTGCGCTGTCTGTCAAAATCCATAATATCAATTTGACAGTTAGAATATACTTTTTAGTATGCAGTCATTTTATTAGTACAGTTTTATTTTGGGTTACATTTTGTTCTCTGCTGCTTTACCAATACAAATGAATGTGTAACAGTGTGTGTATGGGCAACACTGATATAGATACATACAGACACACATATATTTGATTTTTTACGGGTCGCTAACGATTTGTAATACTTTTGTAAGTTTTTATATACATAGGAACTTAGGGCAACATATTACACATTCTGATTTCAACGTCTATGTTAACACAAAAATAGTAATTTTTTAAAGTGCTTTAATTTCGTTTTGAAGTAAAAATAAAAAAAAATCTTTCATTTCAAAATTAACAAACAAAACCATAAAAAAGGACCCCAAATACATACATAGTTGTATATTTATTTATGTTTCTATTTCAAGTTCATAAAATTTAATCCAGCTGTAGACAATACTACTCGTCATTTTCCCTGTTTACTTTATTATTTGTTTGTTTTTGCTAATATATTGACGTGTTTTTTTTTCTTTCATTCAGTCATATCGACATTATGACGTCAATGTTTGATTAAATGTCCTAAAACACAACTACAATAAATTAGACACGCTGAATGAAAATTTTTAGTCATGGAGCTTTTATATTTACCAGCCCCATAAAATGTTACACGTTAAAGTAAACAACGAGTAAACAAACAATCTATAAAATTTTCGAGATTACGTTGAAATCAAAATAATATTTTATGAAAAAGTACTAAGCAAAAAATAAAATATATGACTAGTGTTTATAAAAAACCGACTTTTGGAAAAACCGGTTTTTCGGTTAACCGAAAATTGACCATTTCTAGAAAACCGGTTTGTCGGTTAACCGAGTATAAAAAAACCGGTTAAACCGGTTAACCGAAATGTTTGGAAATCTTTAAAATATTATAATATTTAGTTGAAAAAGTCATTATTATGAATTACTTAATAAGATATTTGCACTTTTTAGTATAGATATGCACATTAATATATCATAAGAAAACAAACTTATATAGATCTGAAGATATTATTGATTCGTTAGGTATATGGAAGTTGCCATAGGAGGGATAAATTGACCTTTGAATATATAATCCATCTATATCAATAGCAAAAATTATGTCCAGAACTATCAAGGCTCGCGACGATTTATCGGGAACGGAAGTAGACGACGACTGTCTCGACATAGACAGTGACCTCCCTTCGCTCGCTACGCCTGTGGTTGTTCAAATTACTGTGAATGACTCTTAGGAATATTGACAGGTGTCATTCTGACTTCCTGTCAATCAACCTAAGCGCCATTACAGTTTGTGAAAAACCCCAGCAGCATAAGTTCTCGGACGGCAACAACAATCCTTATGTTTCGATAAATAAAGTCCGTTTTGAGAACGTTTGTGAAACTTCTCGATTTTTATTATACTCACGCAGTAAACAAGTAAGTGCATCCTGAATTTTACCATCAATGTTATTTATCCGTCTTAATAAATAACAAATTTCTTCATATAATGGTTGGAATTTGTTTAAATAGTTAATTTTTTATTGGTTTAAATGCCAACTTTTTACTAATTTCCTGATTATCTGAAATTGTAAATCTCCATTTTATATACATAACATTTGTTTAACAATCTTAGGTCTGTTTTCATATGCACAAACGGAAATAATGTTTAGAATTATCTATCCAAAATGTTTAAAAACCACAATAAAAAATCAGAGAAAACATACAATTTTGTACCAAAAATTTGTTTTTTTTTGGAACCGGTTAACCGAGACTTAAAACCCGGATAACCCGGTTAACCGAAAACCAATGTTTTAAAAAAACCGGTTTGCGAAAAACCGAAATATGCAATAAAAACCGGTTTTTCGGTTATCCGGTTAACCGGTTTATAAACCCTATATATGACAGTTTTTTTGTTATTGTTTTGTAGAATTTTCTTTAGAACAATCAGCGATTTTGGGGTTTTAAGCGATTCCTCGAAGTTCTTTGTAAAATATGATAGTTTCAGGACGTTGTAGGATAGCTACTATTTGTATATGTTGAACAAAATTTGTAAGTGCTTTGTAGAGGAAATTTTTACAGAAATCTGATATGTAATAGAAAACATTGCTAGACATTTCAGTTTTTTTTTTTTTTGTATGTCATTGAGAAAGGTTTAGAATCTCTTAATTGTATTTTTTTTAATTAAATTACAAATTATATTATCACTTAATTTGAAGAGCAGGGTGACTATAACCGTAATTCCGTTA